TAATTTTTTTTCATATTTTATACATGTGTTCTCGTACCTACGCTATACACTACCTTCACCCGGGTGACCCGTGCCACCTGCGGATCCACCCACGGATCCACCCACACCCATGATAGTCTGACCCGTACAGGTGCAGGTAGGCATTCAGAGTGCCACCTACCCGCGGATTGGGTACGGGTGCCACCCGGGTGGACCCATGTCACACCCTATCCGAGCAATTGAGCTTCAGCTTGAAGGAGTGTGTTTGGCCTAATGGATTTCATTTGTACGTGGGTGTTTTTTCATAAGCGTCCCATCCAGTAGAGTGTGACAGCAAGCTGAGTCTGGATGGGTGTTTGAGAATTGTGTGAATTATTATAGAATACAGGATGGTCTTCGATTAAATCAAGTAACACCTCGAAAACCGTAGGGGAAATTCGAAGCATGTTGGTAAAGCGGTCGTGGTCAGATGGACTTTTGGCATATTCCCAAGCAAGGTGTAAACTACCCGCTTTCGCGGCAATGGGGGATCGTCCTTGTAGGTAGCGAGTTTGCCGGATCGCGAGAATGCAAGATATGTCACAGTGCAGCTGCTGTGCTGCTTCTTCTACAGTCTCTGCAGGGTGAAATAAGATACGAAGGACAATAAGGATGAGGTATGAGCGCAGGTATTGCTCGTGCAATGTGTGACGAGCCATCTGTGATATGTTTATTGCACAAGCCTTCAATGACTACCTTAGCATTGTATTATATAATACAGATATGTACAAAGCGGGATGGCGTTGCTGTGCGGGGGGTCGTAGGCGTGGGCGGTGGGCGTGGGCGACATGTGCGCCCCCGAACTTTGAGCGTCCCTATTGGCCCACCGGGTGACTGTGACTCAAAAGTGGAAATAGACCAAACTTTTGCGGCAGCGGCAGCACAGCAGCTCCGGGTTTCGTATCACGACCACAGCAGGCGCGGCAGGAGTCAGGACCGCGTCAAAATCGATAGGCCCGAAACCCTCTGGCAAGTGCCACATCATCAGCTGACAAGCTGCAACAAAAGTTGTACAAAAGATGTTGCGCACTTGACGCCTTGTAACAGAAAAAGTCGTTATACTCATGGCAGAATACACTCCCGATTCCTTCAAAATCCTGCTAGGAAAACTTGTCAAGACTCCCGAGTATTTCACTCCGGAAGACCTGAAACTCGCACTTCATCATCTTTTCACCCCCGATGCTGCCCTTCCCGCACAAATAGGTGCATTCCTTACTGCCCTCCATATAGGAAGAGTGGAAAGACGCCCAGAATCCCTCGCCGCGGCTGCTGAAGTCCTGAGAGAGCGCGCGTTACAAGCAGCCATCGAAGATGGAGACACAGATTTTGTTGTTGATATCGTTGGAACTGGAGGAGATGGTCATAACACGTTCAACGTCAGTACCACAGCAGCCGTTGTTGCTGCAGGCGCAGGCGCTAGAGTGATCAAGGTAGGATTAATCTGTATCTGCTGCAGCAACCTGGCCGATGAGTCGAACAACAAGCATGGAAGCAAGGCTTCGACATCTTCATCTGGATCAGCGGATCTTCTGCAATCCCTCGACTGTTCATTTAGTGCCCCTTCACCAGGCACTCCCCTTCCCATATCTAAGGTGCCATTCACCTTCATCCTCGCGCCTCATTACCACCCTGCGCTCGCTATGATTGCACCATACCGCAAGTCCTTGCCCTTCAGAACCCTCTTCAATATCCTTGGACCCCTTATAAACCCTGCACGTCCACGAGGCATGGTATCGGGTGTGGCTGAGCGCGAGCTCGGTCCTACGTTTGCTAAATCCTTGCGTGACGGCGGGGTCGAGCGCGCTTTCGTGGTTTGTGGAGCTGAAGGACTTGATGAGATCAGCTGCGCAGGTGACACACACGCGTGGCAATTGGTGGATGGCACGATTACCGAAATCACACTACACCCAGAGCTTTTCGGACTGAATGTCCATCCGCTTTCATCCGTGGCTGGCGGAACGCCGACAGAGAATGCAGGGACGTTCAAGGCGCTCCTCAACTCGGGTAATGACATACCAGTGTCATTGACGCCCGTTCTGCACTTTGTGTTGTTGAATGCATCGGCGCTTCTGGTTGTTGCTGGTTTAGCTTCGGACTTCAAAGAAGGGGTTGCGCTAGCGATGAATAGTATAACTTCTGGAAGTGCATGGGATGCACTTTTAGCGTTTCGGAATGCTGGTAGGGAGGCGGTGAAGGAGACCAACGAACTTGGAAAAGGGAGAGCTTGATGCGATTATTAAGATACCCGCCCCCACACACGTGCGTTATCAAGTTCTTCCTATCAATGTATTCGATATCTCTTGCAAAGTTTGCCATTGTAATCAGATGCTTGAGACAACAATCTTGTTAAACGTTAACCCTAATGATTTGCTGAATAGAGTGAACCGCGCGAGGTATCGACCAACAACATCGATGATTGGTAAAAAAAAAATCGACCCAGAAACTGTGGTTCTTGCATATCGATACGTTCAGTGTGTATCCCAACCAATGGATCCTTTACCTCCCTTTAAATTGACTCACCCTTGCACTGAGCTACATTGAGCGGCCCGAATCTGCAGTTAAGCCTATCATATTACTGTGATGCTGACTCGGAGGACTTTCTCTCTGACTCTGAATCGGAACAGACACGGTCCAAAGCGTTTAGCTAGATGATAATAATACAATGATGATAATAAGTACGCTAATAAGCAGGGAGTTTTCTCCTGACCCCCTAGTCCAAACACGGTCACGTGCTGCATTGTGCCGCGCGTCTATTTGTCTAATGCCTGCCTCTAACAAATATTTGCTGCAACGCGTCAAACTACCACTCAGCGAGAGGGCTTCTAAGGAGAATACGCTTTGAACATCAACGTTTTATCTATTTGCCTTTAAACCTCCCACAGTCAGTGTACATGCATTCGACGCTGTCGAGCCACGCAGTGAAATTTTTGAAATCCATGGGCCGGCCCATACCCACATAATGCCATAACTGGTATTGCGACTCTTGCCCTCGACAATGCGCTCTCGACCCATGTAAGAGGATCTCCACCTTGCAAGTTACTGTCAAATCATAGTACGTTTACTTTGTGTACTCCACTAGTTGGTCTCTACTCATCTAGCGCCGCAGAAACCAGAAGTCCGATTAGTCAAGCTGTCGGGCTGCAGAGCTCTCATCACCTGGATGCTGTATTCACAGTAGTGCGATCTATTGAGGTGAGTGAAGCTTGAAGCTTGAAGCTTCGCAGTCCACAGTCGGTTAATCTTTGTCTAGGATGAATATGGAGAATATTTTGCCATGTAGACCTTTTCAGCCCAAAGTTTCCCCCCATTTGCTGATGCATTATTGGCAGATCCCTCGCGATTCCAGTCCTTAGCAGCTGAGGCTGCAGAAGCGCTTCGCATAGCGGAGAAAGCGAGGATCGCAGTTGTCGTCTCCTCTGGAGGCGGCAAGTTAACGCTCACATTTGGTCGGACCAGATCAGTCGTAGTTGCACACCAGATGGATGCATACTATGAAGCGGTCCGTAGTTTCTCAGGCATGTTCTACGCTTATGAAAGTTGGCTACTGCTGAGCAGATAGCCGATAGGATTTCTTCGTTGGAACATGGCGTTCACGCTTTTTTACTATTGCAGTTCTTTCGGGTCAAACTATCTCGACATATTATCGAAGGTGGGTTCATTACCGTCTTTATTAGCTGCCACTTGATTATGTACTGCGTTCAGAATTCCGACTATGATTCAAATTTCATGCCGCCTTGAGGTACTATGACTATATCAGAACATCTAAGAACATCTGCCTCTTTCGTCGCCGCCTTATTCGACATAGGTCTTAATCCGTGAGTCATATAGCCTATCGTGCATCGCTGAGAATAGCACAACCACGGTCTCAGTTGTACAATTCTACCTCATGTTGGGCATTTTCTGGCACGTGTTGCTGCAGGAGTAATCGGCAGCTGCACGAAGTCGGCCATCGGGCTATAATTATTTGTCCCCTGTCCGAATATTTGCTACTCAGTTGTCATATTTTCGATCTAAGCGTATCCAAGCTGGACTCATCAAAAATATTCCGTGTAGGTGGTACGGATTGAGCAGATTGTTGTCGGGTTATTCAACCCTCCCCGTCATGCTCTCGAACCTTGATGGGGCGCAAATCGAGGATCGATTCATTGGTACGCAACGCTCCACGTGTTGCAGGCAGCCGAGACTGACAAGAGGGACAAGCATTGATGCGGTTATCTTCTGCTTTGGCCTCAGTGCTTTCTTCTAGGCGCCAACAACGCAGTAATTTTTAGGTAACATAGGTCATTGGCTACCGAGTTTGACATTAACGTTTGTAGTGTATCTATGAATACCGTATCGCGCCTGGACGCCGTGCCATGTTGTCTGTAAGACATAATTATGCTTGCTCTATGGACACAACTAACATGTTTTAATACTCTTTGTCGGTTAGGTGGTGGGGACGCGTTTGGGGATAAAGGTCTTCCTCCAACACTGGGCTTCTGATTTTTCGATGGCATGACATGCTAGCGGTTTGCCTTCTTATGTGACTTCACCGCAAGCGCCAATGTGTTTTTTGCTATTTAAGTTGTGAGATGTAGACATCCGGCTGCGTTCGGGTGTCTGTAGGATCTCTCAAAATCTCCTGATTTGGAGGATTCACCTGATCATGATCCAGACTTTCGAATGCTAACTCTCGTGTATCGCAATGTCATCAAAGGCGGCTACAGACTCTGTACGTAAAGTCATTATGTGTGGTTGTCTTGTGCTCATTCTCCTTCCATCGAGACTTTTCGTTTGCCTTTCCTGATTTACCATGCACGTAATGATTGTGCATGTCTGATAGCAAGCAGCACGGGCTCTGGTATTACTCAACAGCCCTTCCCCAATATGACCTTACGCTACGAGTCCTGAACTCTTAGATGGTTAAATTCACTTCTTTTCGAATGAGCAAGCTTATATATAACAGTGGTCGGTCCAGGTAAGTTTCGTTCACTGTGAAAAACATGACCTCTCCCGCTGAAACGAATGTTTGTTCAGCAACGATTAAACCTACTCCATTATCGCTTTCCACAGCACAGACAGATCGGACATTCTCGAAAGACTTCCGATACCTTCCCATTCCGAGACGACTCCGTTATGACCTTGACAAGCCTTTCCACTTCGGAATGTTACTCAACGTATCTTTTGGCATAGGTACTACTTTGGGTGAGCCTTGAATACAAGGACATCGTTCATAGGTACCTGATCGCAATCAACGCAGTCGTTGCCAACCTATACTATTGCCAACCAATTCTAAGTGAGTCAGTTTCACGATTTTTGTTTGTTGCCTCAATTAATCATGTTTGAAGTTCAATTATCTGCTTCTTTCCATGTCTCCTATGACGAGGTGGCAAGGTGTGGATGTTCAAAAAATTGACCGAGATCGGTGAAGCTAATGCTCGCACAGAATACCAACGCTGGTCCAAGCTGGGTAAGCTACCGAATTCCTTACGAAGGGCCACTGTTAAGGATAGACAAGGTTTGGCATCGGCCTCCTATTCATAGCGCCACTCGGTGATATGCTTCGCCGGCGCCAGTTGATAATGCTCTTGATTGTGTTTTCCACTGTCTTGACTATAGGACTCGCCATTACAAACAACCTTTTGGTGTTTGAGATCATCTCTTTTCTGATTGGGTTGACGTCCATCACCCCCCAGATTGTTATACCACTGGCCGCTGATCTCGCTCCTCCCGCCCGTCGCGGATCAGCTATCTCAGTCGTCCTGTCAGGCTTTTTGCTTGGCATCCTCCTCGCGCGCGTACTATCTGGCATAGTGGCCAATTTCACGAGTTGGCGAATCGTGTACTTTACATCTATCGGTATCCAGTGTTTTGTCCTGGGCGGTGCATACCTGTTGCTTCCGGACTATCCAGTACAGGACCGGGAGTTATCCTACTTTGGAATTTTTCGTTCCATGGCGAGATATGCTATCACCGAACCTCTCGTTGGCCAGATCATGCTGATAAACTGGGCCGCCAGTGCGTGCTACACCAATTGGTGGGTAACCCTCACGTTCCTACTTGGTGGACCACCATATAACTACTCCACGTCAGTGACATTGTCATGCTGCCTACTCATTCATTGACGAAATGGCGTCAGGATGGTCATCGGCTTGTTTGGCCTGGTGGGAATGTTGGGCGTAATTGTTATGCCATTCGTGGGCCGTCTAGTCGACCGACTTGTGCCATGGTGGTCCGCCATTGTCTCAACGATACTTCTTCTTGTGTTCCAAGCAGTGCAAACCGGAGCAGGGGGCACAAACATCGCCGCGGTCATTATCTCCTGTTTTGGATTAGACCTGTTCCGCCAAACCCAATCCGTATCACTCTCTACGCTGTTGTTCAGGTACAATATCATCTGGTTGGTGGTTCCCTCATACTAACAATTAATTAATCAGTCTTTCAGAGACTGCTCGCTCGCGTTTGAACGCGCTAATGATCATATCAGTACGTCAATTTACACATGCTGTCATGAGTCGGCCCGACCTGATGAGGTATTGACCTCTTGCAGATTTTTCTGGGTCAGATTACTGGGACGTCTGTTGGTACTCACGTATTTGTCGAATATGGATGGCGGGCCGATTCTGCGCTTTTTATAGCCATGTATGTCTTCCAGTTCGCAGTGTTTATTCTTAGGGGTCCTCATTGCCCCGGGAATCGGTGGTTCGGTTATGAAGGTGGATTTGAACTTTGGCACAAGCTACCATCTAGGCAGACAATTACGAACAATGACCCTGAGAGTGCAGGGAGCACGCTTGCTGTAGTCTCCAGCGAGAAGAAGGATGCCGAAGGAAAAGTTGCTGAGGGATTCTGCTAGTCCGATAAAATGATTCGGGCTATCAAAAAAAAATTGTACGATCCAGTCGTACATGACACCTTATTCATTCGGTTTTGCTTGTTTAGATTCTGCATCACTGAATCACGTATACCACCAGTTCACCCACTTCGTAAAGATCATGCAGAGCATTGGTTATTTAGAAAATTGCTCATTGTACCCAATTGTCTCCTGAAAAAAATATCAATCATTGTTAATATTGTGCAAAGTTTGAATGGTATCTTTATCGAGACTTCAAGCTTCATGCTATGCATGTGCGCAATGTGAATTGAGTGTCAAAAACGCCTCTCAGTGTCAGCCTGGCTCCTGACGTGTGCCCAAAAAAGCCTCGGTTTGCTTACGTAACTCGAGGTTTGTTTTGTGGCTGTGTCGACTGTTGTGCGGCTGACTCGGACCATCACCACTTCAGCTTTTTCTGTCAAGAAGCATGTTTTCGCATGTTCAGTCAGCTTATCTTCCATGAGATCCCAATGGTCCCATGCCGCCATTCCGCCTTAAACTATCATGTGCGTCGCGCCTGATAACAACACGAGCACCAGTATCACTATGAATCAATGGTGTTTCCGTCATTCGGGCTTCCGCTACGAGTCTCGGACTCTTCGGTCATCGACGTCACGACTTAAATATCTACAGTATGTATGTCGGGGAAATTTATATATATCAGTGGTCAGGTCTGACAGAATTTTTGGTACGTTTCCTCTGTTACGTGAGCCATGTTATCTCCCCCTGATGCAAGTCTCAGCTCAGCAGCGACTCAGCCTACTCCGCCATCGCTTGTCCCAGCGCAGACGGATCTGGCGTTCTCAAAAGACTTCTTATGCCTTCCCATTCCGAGACGACTCCGTTATGACCCTGATAAGCCGTTCCACTTCGGAATGTTGCTCAATGTGTCTTTTGGCATAGGCAGTACTTTAGGTAAGCCCTAACACCAGGTCATTCATAGATACGTTTTTGAGTTCGACGCAGTTGTTGCCAACTTATATTATTGTCAACCAATTCTAAGTAAGTCAGCTCGCAATTTGTATTTGCAGACTTAACGTGTATATCCCAAAGTTCAATTATCGGCTTCGTTCCATGTCACGTATGACGAAGTGGCAAGGTGTGGATGGCTCAAAATCTGACCGAGATCCGCGAATCTAATATTCTCACAGAATACCAACGCTGGTTCAAGCTGGGTAAGGTTTTACTATCTTTACAAATGGCTACTGTTAACTAGGGACAAGGTTTGGTATCGGCCTCCTGTTCATAACACCACTTGGTGACATGCTTCGTCGGCGCCAATTGATATTGCTCTTAGTTATGCTTTCAACTTCCTTAACCATAGGACTCGCCATTACAAACAAACTTTTGGCGTTCGAGATTATCTCGTTTCTGATTGGGTTGACGTCTGTCACTCCTCAAATTATCATGCCACTTGCCGCTGATCTCGCTCCTCCCGCCCGTCGCGGATCAGCTATCTCAGTTGTTCTGTCTGGGTTTCTGCTTGGCATCCTCCTCGCGCGCGTACTGTCTGGCGTAGTGGCCGATTTCACGAGTTGGCGAATCGTGTACTGTATGTCTATCGGTATCCAGAGTATTGTCCTGTGTGGTGCATATCTGCTGCTTCCGGACTACCCAGTGAAGAACCGTGATTTGTCATACCTTGGCATATTTCGTTCAATGGCGAAATACATCGTCGCCGAACCTCTCGTTGGCCAAATCATGCTGACAAGCTGGGCCGCCAGCGCGTGCTACACCAATTGGTGGGTAACCCTCACGTTCCTACTTGGTGGACCACCATATAACTACTCCACGTCAGTATACCTGTCTTATCATCCACTCCCTCGCTGATACAGTAGTGCCAGCCTGATCATCGGCTTGTTTGGCCTTGTTGGGGTATTGGGTGTAATTACTGTGCCATTCGTTGGTCGTCTTATTGATCGGCTTGCGCCGTGGTGGTCCGCTATTGTTTCAACTGTGTTACTTTTGGCATTCCAAGCAGTACAAACCGGTGCGGGAGGCATAAACGTTGCTGCGGTCGCAATCTCTTGCTTTGGATTAGACCTGTTCCGCCAAACCCAATCCATATCACTTTCTACGCGAATGTTCAGGTACATTATATCAAATGTTTTGCAGTGCTGTCATACTAATCGACAACGAACCAGCATTTCAGAGACTGCGCGCTCGCGTTTGAACGCGCTGATGATCATATCAGTGCGTCAATTCACACTCTGTCATGAATCAGCCTGATGAAACAACGAACTGTTGCAGGTTTTTCTGGGTCAAATTACTGGGACGTCTGTCGGTACTGACATTTTTGTTGGATATGGCTGGCGTGCAGATTCTGCGCTTTTCATGGCTATGTATGTCTTCCAGCTCGCGGTGCTTCTCCTTAGAGGTCCCCATTGTCCCGGGAATCGGTGGTTTGGTTATGAAGGTGGACTTGGATTTTGGAAGATGCCGCTGTCTAAGCAGTCCCAGTCAATTGCGAGCGATGACCCCGAGAAGGCAGGGGGCAGTCGCCTGGCTGTAGGATGCGGCGAGAAGGGAGGCGTCGAATGAGGCGAGGCTGAGTAGCTCCGCTGATCTGAAGCCGAAACTTGACACGCGGTTGTACTGGACATGTTATATGTTTGCAACATGCATACCGCCAGTTCACACTTTTATGCTTTGGGTGTAGCTCCTGTAACGCAACAGAATTTGTGTTGCTCCAGATTGGTGCAATTCTCTGCACTCTATCACCTGACGCTTCGATCAGGTTTTTATATCCTGTTATTGGCAAGTCGTGGGGGCTTCGGAATAATTGTTCGCTGAAAGGCGCTCTATGGTGCTGCTGTGCATATGGTCACATTGCACGGTGGATCGCTCCCAGACGCATGTGCCAGATGAGTCACCATGCCTTCGACGAATTCAGTCGCGGGGTTTGATATTAGTTCGTAAACTATCACACCTGCACACTTTTGCGCTCATGACCGTATCATAACGACCATTGCGGTCGCATTTTTGCAAGACTTACAGACTGCTTACAATGAGTATCACCAGCTAATAATCAGCTTCAAGGGAATTGTGGGCCGCTAGATTATCTGAGAGTCTCCTTTTTGAAAGTTTCTCAGCCATACTAAATATATGCATGTAATCTTGAAGCACATGAGAGAATATTCCCTGCACTCATATATAGGAAACCTATCCTTACCAATGCCAAGGGCGGACTGCCGTGTCATTTACGTAAGTAAACCGTGAGTTGCTGGCTGTTGCTGACTGTTGATTAGACCCGGAAATCCGGTTTGAGCCTGAAATTTCAAATTTAAGGATGTCAGGACGTCATGAAAGGGTGGACAGCTGTGCTTTCCCTCAAGCATTCGGGCTTTGTGTCTTATTCTCAAGTGCGTCTTTTTCTGAGTTTTTTTTCGCGTTTCCTAAAATTTTGCAACTTCCGCGCACACCATACGGTCGTCTTAGCCTACTTCTAGTGCTTCTCGTCATCTTGCGTATCTTGATACTTGACGCAGCCTTCGTCGTAGACCTTAGTGTTGTTGCTAGCCGTCGCTGAGAATTATGTCTCTCTCCAGCACTGAGAAACTAGGGGCGCACGAGTCTTCCAAAGCAGGTGCCGAAAAAGTTGCAGCGTCCGCAGAAGAGAGTTGGCCCACAAAAGACTTTGGTTTTATACCGATCCCGAAAAGGCTCCAATACAATCCCGTCAAACCTTTTCACTTCGGCATCTTGCTCAACATGTCCTTTGGATTTGCTAGCACATTCAGTATGGATTTCTCGGTAGACGGTGAACAGATACTAATGACAAGACTCGGACAGTTGTCGCTAACTTGTATTATTGTCAACCACTGTTGAGTATGTTGTTGCAGAAAGTGATTAGTCGCGACTTCTGATCATGAACTTCGTACAGTCGAATTTTCGAAATCATTCGATGTAACATATGAAGAGGTTTCACGGTGTGTTATTTCGTCCGTTTCAACGAATCTGTGCTAAGTGTGATTCGGTTATCAAGTATTCCCACCCTCGTCCAAGCAGGGTAAATGAACTTATCGGTTTCAGAACGTTCACGACTTATTATCGTGGTCCAGGTATTTAGTGGGATTGCTTCTGATATCCCCCCTCGGCGACCTTGTTCGACGCAGACAGCTAGTGTTACTGCTGGTTGCGACATCTACTACTCTCACGATAGGCTTGGCCGTGACCAATAATTTCCAGGTCTTCGAGACTTTGTCCTTCTTGGTTGGCGTTGCAACTGTCACTCCCCAGATCTTGATGCCTCTAGCTGCAGATCTGGCTGCACCTGATCGCAGAGCGTCTGCATTGTCCGTGGTACTCTCGGGTCTCATGCTGGGTGTCCTGATCGCTCGTGTCTTGGCTGGCGTCATAGGCAATTTTACAACCTGGCGTGTAGTCTACTATATGTCAATTGGTGTCCAGTTACTCGTTTTTATTGGCGCCTACCTGGTCCTTCCTGACTATCCATCCAAAAACCGTGACTTGACCTACTTCCAAATCTTATTTTCGATGGCCAAGTATGCGGTAACGGAGCCACTAGTGATACAGGTGGCCATTATAAATATTGCATCCAGCGCATGTTTTACCAGTTTCTGGGTCACTCTTACCTTCCTTCTTGGAGGTCCACCCTACTACTACTCCACGTACGCACATGTCCTTTGATTGTTGGCCGCCTGAACTGAAGACCATCTTCAGTCTCATAATTGGTCTCTTTGGTCTCGTTGGCATGCTAGGCGTGCTCGTTGGTCCTTTCGCAGGACGTATCATTGATAGGCTGGTTCCTTGGTATGCGACGTTGATAGCGACTTGCTTGCTCATAGCTTCCCAAGCTGTACAGACCGCAGCAGGAGGGATCAATGTTGCAGCTGTCGTCATCGCATGCTTCGGACTTGATGTTGCGCGTCAGTCTCAGCAAGTATCCATGACCACTCGAGTCTTAAGGTCAACACAATTTTTCCTCCGCAAAGGAAACTGTTGCTAACTCACATTAATCATATCCCAGCATATCTTCCGCAGCTCGTGCGCGCTTAAACGCCATTCTCATTCTATCAGTGAGTTCCGCAGTGAGCTATCAATCGGAGTGTTGTTAAGCAAACCGTCCCAGCTGTTCATCGGGCAGGTGATGGGCACGTCTGTTGGCACCCAAGTTTTCGTGCAACACGGATGGAGAGCATGTTCATTGTTCATGCTGGCGCTGCAAGGCTTCCAAATCGTGGTTTTATTGCTCCGCGGTCCACATTGTCCTCGAAATCATTGGTTTGGATACGAAGGGGGACTGGAGGCGCGCCAACGTGTTGTCTTTGAGAGGGAGACAGCATGGAGTAGCGAGGAGAAAGAGGTGGAATACGATAAAGAGGCGCAGAAGGAGATACCGATGCAAAATGGTGAAGGCCTGCGGTCCGACACATCATAGATACCGAAGTAGAGGATAGAGCGCATGCACTGGAAATATTCAGTATGTATGATTGGATTGATGTTTTTGGTACTGGCTTACGGTCGCAAATCCACGTTTCAAGGCTGGATGTGATGTTGAATTTCCTTTGGATGTTTTAGGTGTGAGTCGCCGCGGGATATTCCCCAGACGGACTGTGGCCCAATCAGAGAAAAAAAATCGCAATCCATCTGTTGTTGGAGCCGATTTGGTGGCGTCAAAGTATGACATGTGGCAAGTCGGGATCTCGTACAAATACTAGTACTTAAGTATATCACGGAGCGAAAAAAAAATTGCCAAGTATGTAGTTCCGAGCTTTAATGTGCGGTTCAAAATTCAGACATGTGCCAAACATTGTACTAGAATAGCCGCAACCATGCTAAGGCGTTTAGCATACTCCACAGTCTATGGGGCAAGACTTCCTCGCGGGAGGGGAAACCCGATTTGACGGATAAAGGCTTCTGGCGCACCACGCCGATAAATGGCAAGGATGACTACAACCGCCATCAGTGCGCAATGATTACGCCGCACTTGCTGCGAGTGCCTGCATTTCTGGAAACTTCTAGTGTTTCAACCATAAGGAATAAGGGTACATTGTGGCTGGAGGCTAATTAATTGAATAAAGATGCATCACCTTGTTTTGTGCAGTTTCTGCGGCAGATAATGTTCCAGGGACAAGCGGCAAAGGAATTGGGACACCAGGGAGCAAAATGATGCATACGTGACTTGAGAAAAAAAAGGGAAGGAAGCCAGTGAACCCTGCAGGTAAGGGGCTATCATGTCGAAATCAGGCATGATGCTCGGATGAAACGGCCGCTGAACATTATTTTATCAACGGAATTGGCAAACTCCGACTGCAATTTGTGCCAACTTCCTTCACCTGTGAACTGGACGGGACTTAAGTTGGTTTAAACGCACTCGATCGAGGGAACACATCTTCTGAGAAAACACATAATATTCAGGGTAAGAACCTGCATCGTCGAATACATGTTGCATGGCCAAGCACGTACGTAAGGTATGGTTTGGGGTCAATGTTCGCAGTTCCAATGCAGCGAATCCCTGAATTAGGGGCTTCGATTTAATGGAACTTAAATCTTCCCCCCAGCAGACAGCTGGCAGCCTGCTTAAAAGGTCTACCAAGTTCAATCGGCGGTTAAGTTGTAAATCCGTGGCTTACCTAGTAGGCCTTATCTCAACCATGAGAGCTAGTTTAAAGTTTTCTACTATCAGAACCACATTCTGGTTTTTAATGGAGTTTAAGTGGTCATATATCATAATTTGACGGCTCACTTGATGGCAAACCTGCAAGAACCAGCACTACCAACATTGAGTCCCAGTCACCCAGACCATTATAGATTTGAAGGAAGACAAGTCGTCCCTTCAATACTTACCAAAGTTTCTAGTACTGTGAGATTCTGCAGAACGTTTTTGGATAGGATTGGTCAGCCAGACGCTTCTAATTGCTACTAATAGTACTATTCCCTGATCACTGATTTTTGTCGGCACACACAACCAACACGCGTAACGCGTTCCTTGTACATTACGCTGAATCACTCTCAGCTGGTATGTCCGAAGAAACAGACAGTGAAGGTGAATGGATTTCTAGGGTTCTTCATATGAGGCAGGATCTCATCCGTTGAGCGGCTTTAGTGAAACCGAACTTGGTCCTCCGTATCACTCCCATAGACGCTGATGCTACCTTGGAGCTCCGCCAGTCGGTTTTGTGGCCCAGTCTCTCAGTCGCAGATGTTCTTCTCGCTGAAGACCACATGGGTCTTCATTTTGGAGCCTTCGTGTCACAGCGCGAAAAGCCCATTGCCGTCATCTCGTTATTTAACGAGCCCTTGCCGGGACAACACCTTATAATATCTGGGAATGATAGTCCTTCCCAGAGAACGTCTGCACGCTTTCGTAAATTTGCCTGCGATCTGATGTACCAGAATCATGGCATAGGGACCAAGTTGCTTCAACATGCGGCTGAAGCAGCTCGATCGACGCTGGGTGCAAGCATCATTTGGTGTGATGCTCGGACATCGAGCAGTGCCTGGTATAAGAAACGTGGGATGGTCGAATTTGGTGACTTATTCTACAAGGGAGATGTGGAGTATATTCGGATGCAGATGTCCTTGGATGCAGATACTTGCAAGACCAGTGCGTATAACGCCATTTAGATCAGTGCCACAACGCCGGGCCGTGACCAAATGATAAGGATGATTTGGTACGCCGTGTTCTCCGCATCGATATACAGGTGATGAGCTCACGTTGACAACCATTGTCAGAATCATTGTGCCCGCGATAACTGCCATCCATCCGGCACATTGCTCCCCTTCAGGGGGCGTCTGAACTATTTGTCGTGACCAACAGAGTCAACGTTGTATGTCGCAAGCGTACCTCTGCATGATCTTCCCGTATGACGGATCAAACTCGACTTTCTTGTAACGGCTAGCTCCGTTGTGTCATCTAGAAAGATCTGCGCGGTCTTACCTCACTTTGCACCGGCCACTTGGCTCACTAATTTTTTTCGACAGCAGGAAAGATGCTGAAAATTTGCACGTGTCTCGCGCCAAGCCCTTCTGTAGGGTTCTGTGCGTCAGAAAATAATTCTCTTTTTTCGGGCGACCCCTGGCGGGTTCAACTAGAAAGCTTCCGTATAACAAATGGCGTCGGAGAGCCACCCCAACATTCAGGTATACTGCGCCCGTAAATCGTATAGGTTCAATTCCTGGGGCTTGTGCTGTGAATAATATTCAGTATGCCTGACCATTTTCGGCATGACCCTGGAGATTCTAGCTCTGAAGGTGCTACATTCGGCGAGCAACGTGTTCAACCCAGTAAGTACTCGCCGTTGCCATGAGGTGTCTGATCGTCGATCGGCCATCTTATGCAATGTCGCGACCACAGTCAGGCTGATCTAAGCATGCAATTATAGCGACAAACCAGCTGGGCCTTCTCAAACAATGTCAGTATCCGATATGTGTACCTTTCGTACTCTTTCGTATAGAAAGATCGGCTATACACCATTTAGGCTGGACACATGGAGACTAAGGGAGACTAGCGCAAGGTTGATAGTCGGGATCAAATACACAAAAGGGAACTAGTGTCTGTCACCGGTGGCCCTGAGTTTTCTTTTGCTTTGTGACGACGTGCGGCTTTTGTGTTCGCGATAAACGGGTGTCAGCCTATGTCAGCATGGCTATCGGCTGTGCCGCTAAGGGACGACACTTCCTCTTAATATCGCAAACTCAAATGATTGACGGGCTGATATCCATCCTGCCGTTTGTTTTCCTTATGCGTCTAGCCAGTGCAATCTCGATCGTTCCGGCAGAGCGTCAGAGAGCCCGTCAGCTGACAATTGTGTGTTGTGAGTAATTGTTCATGACGATGGGAGGAAGTTCGGATAGACACTGCGCCCATGAGACTCATCAAGCTGTGATATCTTGCCATATAAGAACCTCCGGGTCTGATAATGGAGTAGCGCTATTCCATCCCCCGTTTCTTACCTGTCCACACATTTATTGACAATTGGTGCTTGCTACGAGTGCGACGGTTGGCTGTGCCCCTCCGGCTCTGCTGTGTTCTATGAGTCCAAATCATATGGGTGTCATCTTCGTTCAAATTTGCCACGCCTGGATTTGGTTCATAGCCAATACAGTAGACCGGAGGTCACGCCCGCCTTGGCATTTCATGTTCACCGACTGTCCTCTTATCTTTTCCTATTCAAACTGTGCATGACAGAGCACACTGGCACGCAACCTTCAGTCAACACATCGGCAAGGATACATATCTCTCATTCCCCCTTATTGTCTAACAAATGTTCTACCAAACGCTGATACCGTTTCCTCGGAGTAAGTACATGTATCCATCATGAGGCAGTGACCATATCTCCGAGCCGTTAGGCTTTTTATAATCTCTCCACCCCACATTCCTCATACGGACATCCCAGCACACGCATCGGTGCTATAGACCTCGGAGGACCTCGGCTCGTCACGGATCAGTTGTATCAGTTATTCTGTTGATCATAAGATCAAGATGAGGAGCATAGAAGCTCCAATGAAAGGCGCCTTGATGCCTCTTGACGCATCCAGCCATTTTTCTCTGATTCTTCTGATTTGAGTCTTCGGTACGATTCCCGTCCTCTAACAGCCTCGTAATCTGTAGATTCAAGAGCTCGTCAATGATCTTCCATTCTCACAGAAGAATTTCTCACCGCATCGAATTTGGATTATTTGCCGGCTCGGAGGAACTTAAAGCGCGAGCAGCGGTGGTTTCAATCATTGATTTGAGTGTGGTATAAGGACCTATAAGGACTCTGGCTACGACTGTCCCCTGTCGAGACTAGGTGCAACGCGAGGAGATATCGTGCGGGTCCTACGGGGTCCTGGCGCAGTGGCTGGAGTCCTTGTTCGTAGTCCGCGGTTTCTGTTGGAAGTCAGTCCCATAGACAAAGTAGCCGCCTCCTGCCTCTTCGAGGTTGGCCTTGGGGTTTCCCTTACATCCTGGTTTCCTGGTCCAGTGGGGTATGACGTTGGGGGGGGGGGGGGGGGGGGGGGGGGCGTATTTACGACCCCCTCCAGAATTGGAAAAGGGGGGAGGCCTAAAAACGAATATTGCCCGTTTTTAATGAAATTTTGCTCTGGTAGGCAGAGGCCACGTGGAGTACAGGTCTCAAAGCATGAGTCTGGCATGAGCTCCGGAATGAGCCCATGTGAAGATACCAGGCTACTGGAAATTCAAGAACATCAATGATTACGAGTTCTTGGGCGCCATCCAGGGGCAGCCTTTGGTAAGGTCCGTAAGGACGATCGCAGCTGTGTGCCAAAGTCTGCCAAAGTCCGAAGGCTGTTGCAAGGATGGGCATTTCGGAAAGGAAGAAGATGTGATTATCATGACGTCGTCTTTAGGAAGCGGCGGCACTAGGCAGTTCCGTGTTCTTCGCAAGGGAAAAGCGGTGAGAGATCGAAGGACATCGATCGTATCAACGATGATACTTATCACCCAGTATCACCCCTGCACAATCGGAATGGAAGGGCACCGTGACTATAAACAGAGCCACGAGGCTGGCCAAGGGGAGGAACAGCAACGGCATTTCCACAAACCTGGGACTCATCAGTCGGTCCGAGTGTTATCCGCCCGATGAGTACTGAAAACATAAAATCAAGTAACGGATGGCATTCACAGCGGGAAAAAAATACAAGAATCAACGTTAGAAATCACATGCGGGGTATGTCGACATCGATGTCATTTCAGAAGCTCTTCTACAATCCTATCTTCCGATATATTGGCAACGTTCGCGCCACGGTAGTTCAATCTCCGAAGAACGTCGATCTGAGTCAGCATCAGCGCTGTCATGGATTTAAAAAAATTCAGCTTTTCCGAGACGTACGACTTTTGGGCGCTCAAAACCAAGACTCTCGAATTGATCTACATGGGCTCTCTCAAGACCCGCTATTGCGATCTCATCTCTCGGTGGCTCCTTCACTTCCATCTTCTTGACTGCAGGCCCTCCGGCATATATCTGTGTCCAGTACCTGGCTGTCTCGTCGAAGCTCCGCTTGCTAGTGGTATAATGTTTCGCGACCTCCGCGTCTTGCGGGTCATTAGGCTCAGGAGAACACAGCAGCGATTGAAGCGAGATCAGCGTTGATTTGAGAGTTAGGACAGGCGACCACGCATCCTTGAGGATGTCAAGACAGATAGCTCCGGACGCTGATGATATGTTTGGGTGGTACACTTTTGTGATGAATTTCATCTTGACAGGTTGGAACGGATATGAGTCGGGGATAACAATATCCTGTTACGAGGATTGAGAGTTCTGATTAAGCTACAAGTAGAAACCAAGGATGCGCACCACTTCAAAGTGACCACCCGCGTATGGCGTGTCCTGAGGACCTGGGAAGGATCCCTTCAGGTGAAATGGCGATGAATCGACTAAGTCAATTTTGATATTTGAAGATCTATCGTTCTTGCAGTCTGACCAGGGGTGAGTGAGAGAGTGAGCGATGGCACGAGCAATGATGATGAATGCTTACCAGCGATTTCTTTATTCACGCGGCGGAGACGAGCGTCCATGATTACAAAAAGGCTACTTAAGCTTAGGGCTACAAAGGATGGACGGTGAGCAGACGGTGGAACGAAATGACAGAACGGGGGAATGCAATTGGGGGTTTGTAACTTGTGCCCCATGTGAGAGTCACGTGGCTTTATCAATTTAATCGTGGACAACGTGACCCCCTACAGCTGGTTCGGAAATTCTTGTCCGAAGTCGTCCGATCGTATCCGTAAATTCAAAAAATCAAAAAAATTCAGAAAATTCAGAAAATTCATTGACGCTATCTACGAGCTCTCAAACACTCATTCCAACATACATCGATTGTAAAACTACCTAAAGCCCTGCTAAAATGTGGACCGCCGACGAAATTGACGCAGAAAACGAAAAATATCGTACCGAAGTACTGGCTGACGATGCCAACGCTATCGACCTGCCGGATAGTGACGAAGAGCAAGAGCTTGATGACGAGGAAGTAGACGTTGAAGATGAGGAAGTTACATGTGTTAACGAGGAAGTAGAAGGCAAAGACAGTGAAGTAGACGATGAAGATGAGGAAGACCGGCTGCCCCCCCTCCATATGGAAGAGGAATTATTGACCTCCGAGACCAGTGACCTGCAGGAGTTGCGCAGTATGTTTAAGTTTGTCGTATCATTGGATTTCGGTCGTGACATGCAGCAATTTTTTAGACGAGATTATTGAGAGGAAGGCAAAACTCACCATCAAGCTGCCCCCCAGGCGTCGTCGTCACCGAAAAACAGATACCTCGGGCACTCAAGAATATGCTAGTGATGCTGAAGATGATGCGAAGCCTCTACATCGCAAGAGGAAGCATACCTCGAAGCATTTTTCCAAAAAACCACGACACCACGGCAAGGTCAAACGCTCCCGTGGCCGATCTGAACAGCCCAACGCTCGATACTCTTTCTGCTGATGTGCAGAATGCCTGCCACCTCGTCTACTGTCCAACCTTCCCTCACCAGGTCCAAAGCCCGTTCTTTCATGTCTGTGCTGATTTGTCTGTATGGCATGGTCGATGTACGATGGTCTGGATAGTGTGAATGAATTTTCTGAATTTTCTGAATTTTTTTGAATTTTTTGATTTTTTGAATTCACGGATACGATCGGACGACTTCGGACAAGAATTTCCGAACCAGCTGTAACCCGTGAGATCATCAAAGACAACTCATCTCTTATATATACAACTCTATCAGTCTGAATCCCATAAATCAGGATGGAAACACCTACCATGCGCCAGCGTTTCGAAGAATACATCCTCAGCCTCCAAGAGGAGATTATCACCTCCTTTGAAAGTCTCGATCCCAATGCTCCAAAATTCAAGCGGGACTCTTGGTTACGGGCAAACCAAGGTGGGAAGGGCGTATCAGGCGTCTTCTTCTCCCCCCCTCCCACAGATGCATCACCCGGCCCTCAAACAGTTTTGGAGAAGGCTGGTGTCAACATTTCTGTCGTGCACGGCATGCTTCCCCCTGCCGCAATCAAGGAAATGCGCGCAGATCATTCCAACATCCCATACGACGGGAAGACCAGTCTTCCATTTTTCGCGGCTGGAATAAGCCTCGTCGTGCATCCTCGAAATCCCCATGCTCCCACTGTACATGCCAATTATCGCTATTTCGAGATTTCGGAGAAAGTCGCAGAGGGTGAGGGATCTGGCAAGGTTGTTGCATGGTGGTTCGGAGGAGGATCTGATCTCACGCCATCGTACCTCTACGATGAAGACGCACGTCACTTCCACACGACGTTGCAAAATGCCTGCAACCAACATGGCAGCGAACTATACCCTGCGTTCAAGAAGTGGTGTGACGAATATTTCTATATCGTCCATCGTCAAGAAACCAGAGGGATCGGAGGACTCTTCTTTGATGATCTCAGCACTGAGAAGCATGCTCGGCTCTCAGATGATGTCAAACGACCTCGATCATCAGAGGAGATCTTTGACTTCATAAAAACAGTTGGAAATTCGTTCATCCCCTCCTACTTGCCCATTCTTGAGCGTAGGATGTCGATGCCCAGCACCGATCAACACAGACGCTGGCAACTGTTACGCAGGGGGCGCTATGTCGAATTCAACCTTGTGTACGACAGAGGTACCAAGTTTGGGTTGAAAACGCCTTCCGCGCGTATTGAAAGCATCTTGATGAGTCTTCCAGAGACTGCAAGGTGGGAGTATATGACGGACATGGGAACAGAACTGGATAGTGAAGAAGGACGGTTAATCGCAATTTTGAAACAACCCATCGATTGGGCTGGGTTGGAGAAGTAGCGGCTGATTGTCAGTGGATTTGTACGTTAATGATGCGCAGAATTAAAATGTGACGGCCAAGGATATTGGTGGGACGTTGATATCCATTATTCTCAAATTTCTAGAAAAGGAATAAAACCGTGAAATCGATAAACTTTGATATTAAGATACATTCCAAAGTCGAGAAGGTACAATATTTACAAGACATGCGGATGACAGAGGATAAATCATGCAGGTTTGTTGATCTCCTGTTGCGTCTGACCCTTCTCGTTCTTGGCGTTCCCTAATAGACAAATTGTCATACGCGTCAAGAGCCATTCTGTAAACACTTACCAGTTGCCTGCTGGGTTTTATCGCCAGTCACAGCGCCGACAACCGAGTCCTTGTAACCGGTAGCCCTGTCAGAAACGCCCTCTGCGTATCCTTTAGCTTGGGCAGCCTTGTACTCGCCCTCCCCCTTAACATGCTCCTCTTTGCCCGCCTGCGACCAGGATTGCATGCCAGTCAGGTCGCCGATCTAGAAAGAAAAATCAGCGGGACGGCGGCGAGCGGTGTGATGAGTTCCGTACTGTCTCGACGGCGGTACCCTTGACGGAGTGGAATTGACCAGTGGTCTTACTAAAGGACGATGCGTGAGTTCTGGTTAACGATAGAGCGGGCGGGCAAAGCGCTAACCTTGGCTCTGGGGCAGACATATTTATGATGAGAGTATGAGTGATAGTTCGTTGATGGAAAGTAGTGAAGTGGGTTGTGGGATGTTGGTAGGATGGATTGTTCACCACCACGTCCTACTTATACTCCTCTGTAGGCGGGGTACAAAAGAGGCAAGCCTATGACGTCGAGCAGTCATGACATCATACGGTTTCAGAGGATGTCAATTCCAAAATAAAGATCATGTGAATTCAGTACGCACCTCAGACTGCCAAGCACCCCTGGATTAATGCACATGCAGGGAAGGACAGACACATAACCTTTGAGAGGCGCCGCAGATATTTCTCCCTGAGTAGCAGACCAAGCGGAATGCCAGACAGTTGCTATTTTCTACAGAAAGGAGATCCCGGCCAAAACTTCTAAGAGTTCCCGTCAACTAGGTATCTGGACTCACGCGAGCACAGGAAGCGCCACGAAGGGCTCCAATCGGTGAAAATTTGCATCCCGATTCGACGCAGCAGCCAAAAATCGCTTAGGCTCTGTAGCACGCAGGCCATACGTCATGCGCAGAAGTCGGATAGAATGGATAACCTTGCGCGATGCATAGCAGTTTCTAGAAGCGATAAAATTTTAAACCTTATTCATTCAAGTCACGACTGCCTGCAATGGAGCATGGTGGAAGATTGGAGTATAATTCGTCATCGTCTTCGATCGTGATGGCACCCCAATTGTCCGCTAACATGAACAAACTAAGGACGTGCCAGTGGAGACAGGCAGTGCACACGCACCCACATTGCAGCGGAGAATAATAGGTTCCTTCATGGACAAAGATGGAAAGTAGATGAACCGCTCGGCATGATGCAAGTGGGTACGATGGAATTTACCTAAACGTTGAACGTAGTAAATCCACTCATGCGGAACAAGGTAAGTCACGAGTCAAAAACATCCAGCTAGTGCTACTATAAAGTCCCCGTTATCATAACATGCTAGAAAGAGCTGCACCCATGAGGATAGATCGCAGGCACATATCAAACGACGAACTCACAAACTACGACACGAAGCCGATCATTCAAGTTTCTCAAGTTCCTCTAACCTCGATAACACCACGTCCTTGCTGGTTTCCTCAATCTCTCCCGCCAAAAATATCTCGTCTAGAATGGCGTACACCTGCAATTCTTCTGTTAGCAAGAATGCATACGAGGAATAAACACCGCCACACCTTGTAGAAATTGAAGACAAGATCCAGCTCGCACACGTTGTCGAAGAATGAGTCTGAATTAATGCCAGCGAGTGAGCTCAACTCGTGGGATGCAAATGAGTCGCCCACCAAGAATTTCGACAAAGAGGTGGATAGCCTCTAGGTACGCCAGCTCGTTGTCGTTAGCATCCACACATACGCAAAAGAATAGACCGGCATAACGCCTGTACACGATCTTGTAATTCTTAAACTGCACAACATCATAAGAGCTAGAAGATGCGCGACACGTCATTCCTCCTCACCTCGACAAAGTTCGACTGGTGTTTCTGGTCGCGCGGAGCGACTAGTCTGTGCACCTCACCTCGGAGTCTGACCTGAGTTCATAGTCAACGTCATGGCAGCTCTCAATGACGCCCATCGCACCTTCTCGTCGTCGTCGTACGGGACATACCACTTCGACAACCGTGTCTTCCCCTGACGGTTCTGAGCGCGATCATTTGAGCACGTAGCCTTTCATGCTGAAGAGTGCACCTGCCTGCACGAGGATGAACCTAATCATGGTGGCTCATTCGTTTGGATGCATTCCCGATCTTAGACCTTTGTTTACTTCAGAGGCTCTTGCCAAACAACGCCGCCAAATGCCACGTGGCTTCAAATTCACCACAATCTTTGCACAATCCATTCCCAAAATCAGGTAACTAGAAACTCATGTATGGAAAGAAAACAAACAAAAAAACTCAAGATGTATGTCGGAGAAAGGATATACAAGCACACCGCTCAACTTAATGCTGAGACATCTGCGCCAAATAATCCGAAAGCTAGAGTGCATGGTAAGCACGAGCCCCACACAAGTAAATGGATAGAATAATCACCTTCAATGCATTGGTTCGAATGCTCTCCCCGACGTTCTGGACGTCAGGATTCGCCATGACCCTTGACAAGACATCTCTCGCAGCAACTTCTAGATTCGAAAGACTGCCATCGCCCAACATCCCGCCATCTGAACTAGCACGCTCGAACTCTTCTTCTTCTTCCCGACCAAAGTATTGGCTAGAGGAGATAGATGTGGCGCCTTGGAAGTTCTGTAAACGAGACTGAGACTCAGAGACAAAAGCAGGGTCGTAATCCTTTCGGCCAAAGTACATGTCGGAGGAGATGGCTTTTTGGTTGCCAAACTTGTCTCGTGCGGTAGTTGGTGCGTCATCGATGCCAGGACTGTGCGATCAGAAGATGGATCAATTCTCCTGAATATCTGATCGAGAGTGGGATGTACCTTGATCTCGCAGTGGATGAAGGTGAAGCGACGGGAACTGCACCAAAGCCAAGCTTACGGAAGCCCATGCCCAGCCTCTCGAGATCTTGGCTATTGCCCTTCTGCAAGTCGACTTTGCCCTGTACCGCGTTCACCTGCACAGCACCGGCAGCCTTTACCCTCGCCTGCGATGCAGTCACCTTTTCCGCCTCTTTCTGTGCGCGCTCTTCCTCCTCCTCACGTTGTCTGTCATAGCCAAGTTGCTTGATACGCTCAGCTTCCTCTGCAGCTTTGCGTTCCGCTTCTGCGAAATCTATGGGCGTGGCTGCTTTTCTCGCGCCAAGGCCACCAAGCTTGGATTTCTTCTGAGACGTGGAAGTCGCTGATGAACCGATCGCAGAAGTAGAAGACGTTAAACGCGTTGCACCGAGCTTAGCAGCACCATTTGTAGAGGTACTAGAGTTCGATCGCATGGAACTAGATGATGTAGCTGGTCTAGAGGCGGCCGAACCCGTCGATGCTGGCCGCCCAATGATAGGAGGAGATACGAGAGCCGAAGAAGATGTTGTTTTCGGAGCAGCGGGCTTTTCCCATGAAGTGAAGAAATCTTCCTCTCCTTGCGCAGCGTCAGCGCTCACAGGAGAGGCATCGACACCATCAACCACGATGCGTGTAGGGAACCTGGGATAAACAATTAAATTAAATTCCCGAAAAGCGTGCCAACAATTCACATTGCAACATCTTCCTTCACTCGTCTCGCAAGTTCTTCCTTGTATAGCTCAGCAGCACGACTTGAGTACTTCTTCTTGGTGTCGGAATCGCTGAGAAGGGTCATGGCGCCGTGTCGCGTAAAAAATTCGGTCGCTGATGAGTTACCGCCTACTTTCATGGTACGAAGTTGGTTTAGCTGCCAGCTGTCGAGATTCGTTGATCTGCCATACCGTTAGCAGTGATGAGAATGTGCGGGGACAGTCAATATAGAAAAACAACATACCGGACAAAACTTATGTGTACGCCCATATTTCTATGGACGCTAGAACAGTCTAGGCAGATATAAACTCCAAAAGTCACACTGGACCAGGTCGGATTCCGAGCCTGACAATCAAAGCACATCTGCAGTCTCGGAAGTCAGCAACTACAACGACTCGGGGGGCTGAAATAAATGGACCTTATTGCCTTTCTGCAATCTCAGCACCTTGAAGATCTGCTCTGATTCCGCCTTTGAAGGGTCCGCCATGGCTGCTACTAGCAAGCTGATCAGTGAGCTTAAGTGTCCGTCGTGGAGAAGTCGAGGCTTGTGAAGTCGTATCAGGTGTTCTGGGGTCTGAGTCCTTAGGACCATATTACTTTATATTGACGTGGTGACTGAGGTCCGCCTGCCCTATGCCGAATTCAAAAAAACCCCTTGGTCCTGACTGACAACTCTGCTTGCCCTGTTCCCTCTAGCACGCGGTGGCATGTTCCTCTTGGTTTCATATTGTTTGCCCTGGCGCTGAGTACTGAGTTACCGTGAAACTGCAAATTCATGAGGTTTCCATCCTACTGACTTTTTAGGTTCATTCCAGACAACTACGCAATTCAGTATTAATCATGCGGTGTCACGTTCTGCGGGCTCACGTTTCTTCTTAAGTGGAGATCGCGACCGATGACGCTGTCCATGCTCTCCCACGTGGAGACACCTGTAGGTCATCATTGGCAGTCAATAATTGCCGGAGAAATAGACCTCAGGCTTGACTCTCGGCTACCATCATCTCACCAACTTCACCTGTAATACAATACAACATGGTTCTCCTTGTTACTTCTGATAAAGACGAGTTCAATGTCGACAAGGAGGTCATTGGGTGCAGCATTACCATCAAAACGATGCTTGAAGGTGAGTCGCTTTCATCGTCGACACCCATTGGAGTAAAATAATCTTGCAGGCTATCGAGAGCCTGGTCAACCTAAGATCCCTTTGCCTGATGTTTCCTCCAGGGTATTGAAAAAGGTTAGCAACTCGGATATCTGTCGACCAACTTTTCTTGTTTGGTGTAGCTAGACAGATGGGGTTTTCACGTTCTTTTCGGTGTACAGGTTTTGGAATACTGCAAATACTACAAGAACGGTGCCTTTCTCACCTCCAGGAACCAGCATGAGTCCCCCATGCCGATCGGCGTCAGCGAATGGGACCAGAAGTCCATCACTGCTGACCAAGATATGCTTTTCGAGATCATTTTGGCTGCAAATTATCTTCAGATCACGTCGCTCTTGTGAGTCGCAAAGCTGATACTGGCACAACGCCGCTCCCGCTGATCGGTTTCCCAGCGATTTCGGATGTCAAATGGTCGTCAACAGGACCAAGGGAAAGACCCCTGAAGAATTGTGTCATTTCTTTGGCATTGCTAACGACATCACTGCGGAGGAGGTATGTCCCGTTTGTTTCACTTATCGTGATCATGAGTTGAGACCTATGATAATAGGCAGAAAGAACATAGTTCCTGGCTATTTGAGAACTTGTGCATTCACTGCAAGCGACCAGCAGGGTTCAATATGGCCCCAACGTATACCATGACATTACGAATGCTCGTTTTCCCGTTGCTGCCACCATAGCAGGCAGAAACAGTAACGGGCCTTGAGTTGCAAATTTTGACGTACATCAATATCATCTGGTATCTTCCTGCTGGTCTGCGCATTAACGGCACTCGCATTTACTGCCATTTGCGTAGTAAGCATTACAACTGCATCCAATGCTCTTGAAGCTTGAGCTTGAGGATTGGTCAGGAACCTTCTAAGGTTACGGTAGACCTCATCCAATCCTCCCATAGAGGTCTACCTTATCACACACTACATACTACATAACTAGCGCACGCTCGGCCTCTTCCTTGGCCAGCCGATATGCCCACCGTGACAAAGTGACGAAGCTAGATATCAATTTATTAAGGAGAGATGTGAGACTGACGGGTTGAAACCATGGTATCGTTTGTTGTGTATCAGGGAATGCTTTTTGGCTACTAGGATATCTAGAATTCGGTCGTGTTGCAGATCTTGAAGAATTAATCAAAGCCGCGAAGAGAGTTACTACACTGCCTGATTGCAGTTACAATATACTGTAGAGATACGACACTAGCTTCGTCACGTGCAGCACGTGACAAAGTCACGCTTAGTGTCACAGCTTCGAATTACCCTGTCACCTGTGACCACATAAAAAATAGCTTCGGAAATTGTGATTTTGTCAAGGCTTCTTGTCTGATTCATATCTTATTATAAAGTTGAGAAGTAACAGGTAGAATCTAGCTGGACATTGTTGTTTTTTATATGTTTTTTTGTATGTTTTTTATATGTTTTTCTGTATGTTTTTACCACATGTCACAAATTAGCTTCGGCCCCCAACAAATTGGTGTGACAGTCACACCAAATAGGTTCGATTCGTTGATGGCTGTGACCTGTGACGAACCTAGTGTCGTATCTCTACAGTATAGTACTATTAGTAGCGTCGAGTAGTACCAGAGAGTTATATATATAGCTAGTCCGACTTGCCAAGTTATCATCAGTATGTGAAATACGCACATAACAACTAACTTGTGTCTTCTTAGACTGCAAAGCATGAATCCTCTTCTTCTTGTAACACTATATCTTGAAGGGAAGGAACAAGGGCGACGTACTCCGCTCGCTCCTTACATCTTGTCCTCACTGAGTCAGCGCCCAAAATCAGGGTTTTCAGGGGACAACGTGACCGTGTCAGGAATGTCGTGAATTCCTCCTTGAAAAAGAGTGTGAATACATACTGGACCACTGGTGCACAATAATTGATTTGATATCCTTGCAATCGTCTTAGACCCCGATCAAGATACACTCATCCTGCACCATCAACTTGAATTTATTCACAAGAGAAGCTTGACTACTGGTGTTAAACAGACCAAGTGCGCAAATCCCGAATCTGACTAAGTCACCTCTCGATACATGCACATCCAACTAAAACGTTGTGCGCACGAAGAGAGTGACTGGTCTCCTCGCACTGTTCTAAATTCATTCCATAAACGACGCCAAACAAGCAAGTATGCCGATTTCACCCCGTGCGGCTCGCAGATGACATGTCGGTTAGAGGAATAAATGATTGGATGTCAGGGTCGTGTAGGTTCCGGCTGACATGCCATAGATGGAGGTGCATCCGCGTGGCAAGGATTGCAAGGATGAATATCTGGAAACTGTAATACGTTTGAAGGAGGGGGGAGTTGTTAGAAGGAATGTACAACGGGGTTTGGAGGCGCGTACTCTTCGAACATGATGCTGTACGCGTCCTGAAGGTGCAGAATATCAATATCAATGGCCCAGCTTCAGGGAGGGGCGGTGCACTCACATAGAGGAGCAGACCCATGAGGACATTTACTCCCGAGAAAACTTCCGGGACGAGAATAATCATTGATGAGCACAGTAACGGAAAAGTGGCCTGGCATGTGCCGTTGACTCACGTAGACCGCATGCATAATAGAATATACTATGCTTCAGCAGGACGACGTAAAGACGGTTGTTGGTCGTCCGCCAGCTCTGTATCGCGCATATGAGTGTGAGGGAGATGAGTCCTGGAAGAGTGTGGTCAGCGCTCACCCGTATATGTGTATATGAACGTCCCCGGCGACTCACCCAATTCGAGCACAAACAAAAGAATAAATGGTACGAAGGTCTCGAGGCTGCTCGAGGGTTGGTAGCAACCTGTGATGCCTGGGATCGGGATGGTCTCATCTGTGAAAGTGAAGAGGGTGTATCTGAGTGGTGGCAGAACACCCCGGGAAGGTGAGAGCGCGCACACGTTGCAGACGTAGTAGGGACAAAGAAGATGCTGGCGGATGTTACAATGACAGCCTGACTGAGGCATCTACCAGAAGTTTGGAGTGGGGTGTGGGTATGGGACTCACGAAACAGGCGGTCGCCGTGGCTGTGGCCACGATTTTGTTGTTGTTCCATAGCGCACATGTCCGGAGAATGAAAAAGCCTGGATGATTTGGATCAGGAATGTGCACACGTCAGGGGGATGGAGAGATACATTCAGAGCATAGCATTAACATCAGGGTGAAACCTATGGGAGGGAAAGGCGGCGCTCGGCAAGGACGTGCATACATGTGTGTACCATGTACTTACATTTGGAAATATTGATCAATATCAGGCATTTCTTGAGAAGTCATCAAGCATCATTCATCAGTAAGTCCACCATGCGTTCACGTACATTGGGGTTCTCATTGGGGATATAGTTCACTGAAGTACGACAGTGTCAATTCATCAACGGAATAATGTGTGCTGGAGGTGGACGCACGGTATAGATGCTCGATGAGGAGGAGAAAAGGCGCGTATCGGGTAACAATATACAGGCCTTTGACCTTGGTCCAGCGAGATTGAAAAAGGAACGCCAACTTGGAACAATATATTATCGTCAAGTATCAAAGAAGAGGCTTTTCCTGAACAAAGTGCATTACCTCTTGGCGAAGTGAACAGACATAATCATAGGTCTGGGCGAGTGAGTTCAATAGCACTCTGAAACATCAGAACAAACCCACCCAGAATGTGGCTGCCGACGCTGAGCTGCATTAGTACAAGGAATAAGCGGGTTTGATAGCACGCACTGAATATGTACTGGTGGCACATGTATCATTTTCAATTATCAACAACCATCCTATCCATCAAAAGGAGACACACCGTGTAGGTCTGCAGACTCTTGGCCGCCGCGACAGTGCCAGCCGAATACTCCGTTTGCATTCTGCAGAAACCAAAAAAAAATTCTCGCGTTAGCCACGTACCTCTTATATAAATAAGGCAGGAACCGAACAAGCTGAGGGCGCAATGAGGACACTATGTATTCTGGGCTGAAACTGGGGCCCTCAGGTCTTCTGGTGGGGCCGCGGGAAACAGCCAAGTTCTGGGCAAAATGTGACGTGAACGTTCGAGAAATACTATACTGCATTTGGAGTAGATAGTTCGCGTCTGTCATGAAATGGTCTTGATGGCGTTAGAACGCGTCACTGGCTGATATTCGTCAACAATGTCTGTGCTGAAACACTTACTCGATTCAAACGGATATCACATAGTCTGATGTGCGGCAAATCAAAACTGATACAACCAAATAGGATGTTCCTCAATTCGTCTTTTTGGCTTCAGAGTAAAGTCCGTTGGGGTCCTAGACTCCGTGCTGGACATGTTCTCGGTTTCTGACGTACTTCCACACCACTCGCAATCAAGGAACTCGATGATCGGAGTTAGATTGCACGGTAGAGGTTCACATGTAACGGTCTAGTCATTTCAATCTGACTAAGCTCACCTCGCCGTATCCTCACTGACTCCTAGGCCCAGATGCAAGTAAAGCCTTGCGCGTATGAAGAAGGGTCACCGATCTCCTCGTACTGTCCAAACTTCAATCCATGAACGGCGTCGAGCAAGTAAGAGGCTGATTTCAACCCGCGCGGCCCGCAGACGACACATCAGTGAGAGGAATAAGCATGAGGGCGTCAGATCCATGTATGTGCCGGTCGACATGCCAGAGATGGAGGTGCATGCGTGTGGCAAGGATCGCGAGGATGATGAGCTGGAAACTGAATAATGGTTGGGTGGGAGGGGGCATATTAGTAGGGATATGCAACAGAGTTTGGGGCACGTACTCTTGCAACATAGCGTTGTACGCATACTGAGCGTGTGGAAGATTAGCGGGTCAGTCTTAGGGATTGGAGGGGCAGGGTTGGGTGCACTTACGTGGAGGAACAGTGACGTGAGTACGTTCACCGCCGAGAAAACTTTCGAAACAAGAATGATCACCAATGAGCACAGTGACGGGAAAATGGCCTAGCATGTGCGTATAATGACTCACATAGACCGCATGCATAATAGAGTATGTTGTGCTTCAGCAGGATATCATACAGAGGGTTACGGGCGGTCCGCCAGCTCTGTATGGCACGTACTAACGTGAGGGATATGAATCCTTGAGAGAGGGTGGGGTCAGCACGCGTCTGTGTATACTACGCATGCTCCTGGCGATGCACCCAGTTCGAGAGCAAAGAGAACAAACGGTAAGAAGAGCTCATCGCTTCCCGCAGACTGGTAGCAGCCTGTGATGCCCGGGGTCGCGCTGGTCTCAACTGTGAAATCCAAGAGGATGTGAGTGAGTGATGGTGTAACGTCAAAGTGGAATGCGAGAGTGCGTACATGGTGCGTTGGCAGTAGCGGTGAAGAGAACACCGACGGATGCTACTATGACAGCCTGGCTGATATATTTACCAAGGGCTTGGGATACGGTGAGTGAGAAAGAGAGCTAGGCTGGCGGGACCAGCGTTAGGACAAGGATCCAAGAAACTGGTTCATGTGACGCACTATATATGTACTAGTTGCATATATATCATATCTGTTGTTATCAACGGCCATTCCATCCACAAGAAAGAGACACACTGTATAGGTTTGCAAACTCCCACGGCGTCTGGACTAGAGCGCTAGGCATTGAGCAACGCGGTGATCTCCCGAGTGGTTCTTGATCTTGCGCCGCCACGCCGTCGCAGTTCAGGGCCAGTCTAACCCAATCCAATCAACAGACTCTCGATTGCCAGCAGTTGCCAGCTCACTTATGAGTAGCAACGGGCATTTCCTTAATGTCGCCGAGGACATGCTCAAAGTCAGTCACCTAGAAAAGGATATAAAATACAGCCTGCAGCACAATTACACCCCATCGCGATGGAGGGCGCTGCTATACACGATGACTCCACTTTGGGCAACTCAACATCTCAGACCGCATCGCTCCCAACATCAGACGCCAACCTTTATGATCTGCCTTCCCATGACATTGCATTCCTCAAAGCGCAACTCGGTATCGATGATGACGATGACTTGAAGAGGCATATCCTGGAGGTTCAGGCGAAAGCACGCGAGGCGAGTCACTTACAGAGGATTCCACTATCGGTTGTATAACCCCTGCCACTGAAAGATTGCGCCATATCCTTGGATCCGTCAATTTGTCTTTGTTCAGTACGTAAACAGTAAATCTGCTTATGCATCGACACTTACAAGGGAACCGTGCTCAGGGCGAACATATCGAGGAACCCTGGGTACGAACACGTCCTCAAGCTTGGTCGTGAGCGCCCCGATGCCGTGTTACTTGACGTTGCCTGTTGTTGTATGTTAAATCATTGTCTAATGTCTTGGATAAATTTGACTCTATTGAAGTTGGCGTTGACGCCAGAAGGGCTGCGGCAGATGGTTTTCCTGCGAAAAATATCATTGCGTCTGATAAACATATCGGTATTCTGTTTCCTCTGTGCATGATCATTCTTGTCAATGATGTGTGTGTACAGAGTTTCTCCAACTAAGCCATGATCTCTTCAGAACGACACCGGCTTCTTTCCCCGCATACTTCCTTCCCGGAGATATCTTCGATGAAGCATTTCTCTCCATAGCGGAGCCGTCTGACGACGTCTCTCCCGTGTCAGCCATTGATTTTTCCTTGCTGAAATCCCTCAATTCCCTTCATGGACGCATGAGCGCAATCAATGCTTCTCGGCTCTTCCATCTCTTTGATGAGGAGAAACAATTGTATATTGCCAGAGCTCTCGCGGGTCTTTTATCTGCACAGCCAGGTTCTATTATTTGCGGACATCAACTCGGAATTCTCGAAAAAGGCATCACACTTTCCACTGTACCAGGCTTCACGCATGAGTCATTCTGTCATTCTCCCGAAACTTGGACATCGTTGTGGGACGGAGAGGTGTTCGAAAAGGGCAGTGTAAAGGTACTAACGGAGTTGACGGAAATCCCGAATCGTGGAAGGATACTGCTTGTGATGAGGTGGTCAGTGATAAGATTGTAAATACAAACATCGCAGTCGATTATTTTAAGGGAATGCATGCTCATCAATGGTAGAGAAAGTCTCTCAAGACCTTGGAAGATGCGCTTCAAAATTGTAACCTGATTATTTATATTGTTGGTCAGTCTACGCCAAGGTGCCAAACCTCGCCGCTACGACAGAAGCATCACTCTTTGCAAGTATCAGTACCATTGAACAAAGCTCTGCTAGTGGAAAACGACAGAAATATTTGCAGGTCAGCCACCACCGTTCATGGGCATCCATAATTTTACAATATAGATTTTTAGGCATAGGGGCCATACCTAGTACCTTGGGGATCATGCTGTCCAACGATGATCGTACTACGTCGGATACTTCAAGTGATAATCGATCACGTGGTCAAAACGCGTCCGCGTTTCAGTGTTCACGCCAAGGTGATATTCACGTAATGAATATTAATTGCGTTTACGGCTACACGCTCCAGACAGAGACGGGCAACATGGCCCATCGGTTATTCGATTTGAAAAAAAATTGACAAAGACGGCGGAGCGGCCGGGTCACAGAGCGTCCTCAAATTGTATAAAAGGTGGACTGCAACGCGCTTGGTTTTTCACAATCCATATCTTCTTTAACCAGCTCTCACTCAAGCTTCACGCTTCCACACACTCTTTACACAAAGTTTCCTAGCCTTCCGACAGTCAACACAATGTTCGCTCGTTTCTTCACTGTTGCTTTCCTTGCCGCCCTCGCTGTCGCCACTCCCCTTACTCTCCGTGATGGCCAGTGCAACACCGGTGATATCCAGTGCTGCCAGAGCTCTAGCACCGTGAGTCACGAATTTCTATCTATCTTTCACTTATTCTGATGATTCGGGTAGACTTCCAACTACAACAAGTTTGCAAAGTCTCTTGGCCTTGCGGAAGTAGGTGCTGAGGTCGTCGGCACCCTTGGCCTTAGCTGCAGTCCTATTAGTGTTATCGGCACTGGCAGTGGCGCTACATGCAACCAGCAACCCATGTGCTGCAGCAACAACAAAATGGTAAGTTGCGGATAAACTTCTCTGTTCAATCCATGTCTGACAAGAAAAATCCAGAACGGCCTTGTCAACATTGGTTGCACTCCCATCAACCTCAAACTTTAGGTTTTCACTGGACATTGACCTTACCTGCGTTATTACATGGTACATAAGTCTTTATAAGCTCTATAGCTAGTAATACCCGTGTTATCTGGTTTGAATCCAATTCGAAATTGACTCTGGTACTCGGCATTCACAGGGGAATTCAAGACCCCTGGACTCCCTCGGGATGTTCGCTTCAGCTCGCTTCAAGGTATAGTTGAGGCAATTAAGGGAGCCGAGCTAGCTCGGACTCATAACAGGGTGGGATTTCTGCCCTCTTGTTTATCGTTTTCTTTCTCCAACGACAACAGTCCTATCATGGCACATAATCCGCCTCAGATTCCTTCATTTAAGCTGGTCCTCGGTGAGTGATTGTCCCTATCTTGCTCGCAGTGATCATCATGCTCATGCTCTGTGGCTCGTTTCTTGATCATCTTGGTTTTGAATGTCTTTCAAAACATCACCCCCTTCGTATTGCGCCATCGGTCGCGTCTTTGACGGGAAAATTCAGTCGGTGATGGTGGTACCGGAAAGACCACGTTCGTGAAGGTGAGCAGTACCGTCCCGCGTCTGAGCGATCACAATCTGATTTCTGCGATGCTTAGCGCCATCTTACTGGTGAATTCGAGAAGAAGTACATTGGTAAGTCAATCATCTTATAATCGCAGAGTAGTTGCGATAATCCGGTTCCTCTTCGCGTATTCTCTGTATAGCCACTCTCGGTGTCGAAGTTCATCCACTTTCCTTTTCCACAAATTTGGGCGAGATCTGTTTCAATGTCTGGGACACAGCTGGGCAGGAAAAGTATGGTGGTCTTCGTGATGGATACTACATCCATGGCCAATGCGCCATTATTATGTCGATGTCACCTCCAGAATCACCTACAACAATGTGCCAAATTGGCACCGTGATCTTGAGCGCGTTCGCGAGACCATTCCCATTGTACTGTGCGGAAACAAGGTTGACGTAAAGGTCAGTTGGGACCTCGTCTTCTGCACTTGACTCAATCATCTGCTTCAGGAGCGTAAAGTGAAGCCAGGCGATGTCACGTTCAACCGCAAAAAGAACCTGCCTTACTTTGAAATCTCCGCCAAATCTAACTACAACTTCGAGAAACCATTCCTGTGGCTTGCAAGGCAGCTGGTTGGGTACGTTCATTCCTCAGCGAGCGTCACCTTGATCTCATTGATGAACCTTTTGCAGCAATCATAGCCTAGACTTCGTAGCGGCTCCTGCCCTCGCCCCTGCTGAGGTTGCGATTGACGCTAATATGATGAATCAATACGAGGCAGAGTTGAAGAAGGTCTGTCTTTACTTTCTGGTTCATGGAGCGCTAATCGCTCAATCATGCCTCGTGTCAGGCTGAGGTGATTCCGCTTCCGGAAGATGAAGATGACCTGTAATCTCGCGAATTACCATATACTTACGCTTCATACGACCGTCCATTCATACTGTGGTTTTCATTCACAATCGCTCATCGATCCACCAATCGAATCGATACATTTTGTCTTACTTCCTGCTTAGTGCAAATGCAGCAACCCACTATTCATGAAGCGTTTTTCGGAACGCACACGTGAGTACTTCCTGCAGGTTGTGGCAACAGAATTTGCAGCAGACTGTTGGGAAATACATGCCCTGTTACCCCCATCCACTGTAGAAAGGATGGGTTATATAATTATGCCCTTTCCCCCCTATCACCTGCATCTGGCTCTATTATGTCGTTACCCTATGACCCTCAGCCAAAATTTTACTCATATGTAAGCTCATTTTAATTTCTTTTTTCACACTTCAATTCTTTAGGGCGCATATATGCATGAACACCAACAACTACACGCTTTGCGGGAATATTGCAAGTCACTCGAGCTTCAGTTGCTCAAGGTCACCACTGAACGTGACACTGTGATGGAAGTGCACTCGAACAGTCTACTAATTAACTAAGTAAATGTTTTTGGGCAGGGCGAACTTCACGCAGCTTGCAAGTGCTGTACGGCTTCACAATGTGGACCCACTTGCTGCCAGTCCAGCACTCCTATGCCCATCTGCCAACGATTCTAACCGTCCGAACCGCGAGACACACCCAAACATTAAATTTAGTCAAGTGAGCGGATATAACTGACTGCCTGATTGCAGTAAGTACAATATATAGTACTATTAGCAGCGTCGAGTACAGAGAGTTCTATGGCTAGTCTAACTTGCCAAGTTATCGTCAGTGTGTGAAATACGTAACAGACCAAGTGCACGAATCCCGGATCTGACAAAGTCACCTCTCGATACATACACATCCAACTAAAACGTTGTGCGCACGAAGAGGGTGACCAGTCTCCTCGCACTGTATAAACCTCACTCCATGAGCAGCGCCAAACAAGCAAGCAGGCCGATTTCACCCCGTGCGGCTCGTAGATGACATGTCGGTTAGAGGAATAAACATTTGGATGTCAGGGTCGTGTAGGTGCCGGCCGACCTGCCATAGATGGAGGTGCATCCGCGTGGCAAGGATCGCAAGGATGAATATCTGGAAACTGTATTCGTTCGAAGAATAGGGGAGTTGTTAGTAAGAATGTACAACGGGGTTTGGAGGCGCGTACTCTTCGAACATGATGCCGTACGCGTACTGAGGGTGGAGAATATCAATATCAGTGGCCCAGCCTCAGGAAGGGGCGGTACACTCACATGAAGGAGTAGACCCATGAGGACATTTGCCCCCGAGAAAACTTTCGGGACGAGAATGATCATTGATGAGCACAGTGACAGAAAGTGACCTAGCATGTGCCGTTGACTCACGTAGACCGCATGCATAATAGAATATACTATGCTTCAGCAGGACGACGTAAAGACGGTTGTTGGTCGTCCGCCAGCTTTGTATCGCGCGTATGAGCGTGAGCGAGATGAGTCCTGGGAGAGTGTGGTCAGCGCTCACCCGTATATGTGTATATGAATGTCCTCGGCGACTCACCCAATTCGAGCGCAAATAAAAGAATAAATGGTACGAAGGTCTCGAGGCTGCTCGAGGGCTGGTAGCAGCCTGTGATGCCTTGGATCGGGATGGTCTCATCTGTGAAAGTGAAGAGGGTGTATCTGAGTGATGGCAGAAAGCCCTGGGAAGGTGAGAGCGCGCACACGGTGCAGAAGTGGTAGGGACAAAGAAGATGCTGGCGGATGTTACAATGACAGCCTGACTGAGGCATCTACCAGAAGCTTGGAGTAGGGTGTGGGTATGGGACTCACGAAACAGGCGGTCGCCGTGGTTGTGACCACGATTTTGTTGTTGGTCCACAGCGCACAAGTTCGGAGGATGAAAAAGCCTGGATGAATTGGATCAGGAATGTGCACACATTAGGGGGGATAGGGAGATACATTCAGAGCATAGCATTAATATCAGGGTAAAACCTATGGGAGGGAAAGGCAGCGCTCGGCAGGACGTGCATACATGTATGTATCATGTACTTACATGTGGAAATATTGTTCAATAGCAGGCATTTCTTGCGAAGTCATCAAGTAAGCATCATTCATCAATAAGTCCACCATGCGTTCACATACATCAGGGTTCTCATTAGGGATATAGTTCACTGAAGTACAACAGTAGTCAATTCACCGACGGAACAATGTGTACTGAAGGTGGACGCACGGTATAGATGCACGATGAGGAGGAGAAAAGGCGCGTATCGGGTAACAATATACAGGACTTTGACCTTGGTCCAGCGAGATTGAAAAAGGAACGCCAACTTGGAACAACATATTGTCATCAAAATCAAAGAAGAGGCTTATCCTAAACAAAGTGCATTACCTCTTGGTGAAGTGAACAGGCATAATCATAGGTCTGGGCGAGTGAGTTTAATAGCAGTCAGAAACATCAGGACAAACCCACCCAGAATGTGGCTGCCGACGCTGAGCTGCGTTAGTACAAGGAATAAGCGGGTTTGATAGCACGCACTGAATATGTACTGGTGGCATATGTATCATCTTTAATTATCAACGACCATCCTATCCATCCAAAAAAGACACACCGTGTAGGTCTGCAGACTCCTTGCCGCCGCAACGGTGCCAGCAGAATACTCCGTCTGCATTCTGCAGAAGCAAACAAAATTCTCGCGCTAGCCACGTACCTTTTATATAAATGAGGCAGGAACCGAGCAAGCTGAGGGCGCAAAGAGGACACTATTCTAGGCTGAAATTGAGGCCCACAACTTAGTCTTCTGATGAGGCCGGCGCGGGAAGCTGTCATGTTCTGGGCAAGATGTGACGTGAACGTTCGAAGTGTGCTATACTGCATTTGGAGTGATAGTTCGCGTCTGTCATGAAATGGTCTTGATCGGTGATGTGTGACCTGTTACCACTCCGAAATTGTTCGGCTCATCAAACCAGGTACCAACCAGCTCTCGTACATTGATGCCGATGGACCCCCGAAACCACTTGAGAAGGCATAACTTCCATTTTGGGCTATTTGGTTCTAATCGTTGTAGATACACATACAAATAACTTATTCTTTGCCCACCGCCGCCGCATCATGTCGCTGGTCATCGTTTCAGTCAGCGGGCACATCCTTCCAACACCAAAAATCCATTACGGAAACCCTGCCAGTAGACCTCACTGGGTGTGCCCTCCCAAAAATCCACTACGGAAACCCTGCTTCCAGTAGACTTCACTGGGTGCTTCCCCAAAAATCCTATCTCTACTAACACATATCACGCCATCAAACAATTTAGCGACGTTCATGCCGGCGTATGTGCTCCGCTACGGAAACCCTGCTTCCAGTGGCCCTCACTGGGTGTGTCCCCAAAATCCTATCTCTACTCACATATCACGCCATCAAACAATTTAGCGACGTTCACGCCGGCGTATGTGCTCTCTATTTCTAATGAGCTCTACTAATATATATCACACCATCAAACAATTTAGTGACGTTCACGCCGGTGTATGTGCTCTCGTTCATCACGCAGCGTGCACATCGTCAGGAACGTTCATGTGAGTGTTATTAGTGTTAATATTTCTGCAACAAAGTAAATAATTTCAATAGATACATTGTCGAGGCGCATGCTTGCACGAAGCGCTGGTGCCCATGTTGCCCAACAGCGTGCATCAAGTCATGTCGCTGGACCATCTCGCGCGAATATCCCGCGGCCGTCCGAACATCAGCAAAACTTACTTGTCGGCTTGTCGATGAGTATGGGAGTAAGCCATTATGACAGTATTGGGTTGTTGGAGATATGCGACGGTTGTGGAAAAATGTTTGCCAGACGCGCATTGAACAAACGTTTTGGAAAGTCATTAAGTCTTGTTCTTATATACCTTTGATATAATGTTTCCGAATGTATATTTGTTCGGTTTCGCATCAGTGGCAGAGGTCTTGTGGGGTGTACGGAATCAGGATTTGCTCGTACCTTGTTTTCGCCACGGCTTGGCAGCCGAACGGTGGCGGAGTGGTAACAGGGCATCGCACACTCGGTCTTGATGGCGTTAGAACGCTTCACTGGCTTTATTCGTCAACAATGTCTGTGCTGAAACACTCACTCGATTCAAACGGATATCACATAGTCTGATGTGCGGCAAATCAAAACTGATACAATCAAATAGGATGTTCCTCAATTCTTCTTTTTGGCTTCAGAGTAAAGTCCGTTGAGGTCCTATACTCCGTGCTGGACATGTTCTCGGTTTCTGACATACTTCCACACCACTCGCAATCAAGGAACTCGATGATCGGAGTTAGATTGCACGGTAGAGGTTCACATGTAACGGTCTAGTCATTTCAATCTGACTAAGCTCACCTCCTCACTAACTCCTAGGCCCAGATGCAAGTAAAACCTTGCGCGTATGAAGAAGGGTCGCCGATCTCCTCGTATTGTCCAAACTTCAATCCATGAACGGCGCAGAAGAAGTAAGAGGCAGATTTCAACCCGTGCGGCCCGCAGACGACACATCAGTGAGAGGAATAAGCATGAGGGCGTCAGATCCATGTATGTGCCGGTCGACATGCCAGAGATGGAGGTGCATGCGTGTGGCAAGGATCGCGAGGATGATGAGCTGGAAACTGAATAATGGTTGGGTGGGAGGGGGCATATTAGTAGGGCTATGCAACAGAGTTTGGGGCACGTACTCTTGCAACATAGCGTTGTACGCATACTGAGCGTATGGAGGATTAGCGGGTCAGTCTAAGGGATTGGAGGGGCAGGGTTGGGTGCACTTACGTGGAGGAACAGTGACGTGATTACGTTCACCGCTGAGAAAACTTTCGAAACAAGAATGACGATCAATGAGCACAGTGACGGGAGAATAGCCTAGCATGTGCGTATAATGACTCACATAGACCGCATGCATAATAGAATATGTTATGCTTCAGCAGGATATCATACAAAGGGTTACGGGCGGTCCGCCAGCTCTGTATGGCACGTACTAACGTGAGGGATATGAGTCCTTGGGAGAGGGTGAGGTCAGCGCGCGTCTGTGTATACTACGCATGCTCCTGGCGACGCACCCAGTTCGAGAGCAAACAAGAGAACAAACGGTAAGAAGAGCTCATCGCTGCCCGCAGACTGGTAGCAGCCTGTGATGCCCGGGATCGCGCTGGTTTCAACTGTGAAATCCAAGAGGATGTGAGTGAGTGATGGTGGAACGTCAAAGGGGAATGCGAGAGTGCGTACATGGTGCGTTGGCAGTAGCGGTGAAGAGAACACCGACGGATGCTACTATGACAGCCTGGCTGATATATTTACCAAGGGCTTGAAATGCGGTGAGTGAGAACTTACAAGAAAGGCGGTCAGCATGGCGACGAGCACAAATTTGTTGTTATTCCAGAGTGCATATGTTCTGATAATGAAAAAGCCTGGATGAATCAGATGAGGATCACGTGTATATTGGAGGGAGGAGAGGTACATTCGGAGCAAATGACTGATATCAGACTGAAACCTGCAAGAGGGAAAGGCAGCACTCAGCAAGTGTGTGCATGCATGCATGTATTCAGCATGCACGTACAGGAGCAAATGTTGTTGATTAACTGGCATTTCTGGTAATATCATGCAGTAAGTGTCGTTCAGTCAGTAAGTCCACCACAATATCACGTACATCGGGGTTATTGTTCGGGATAAAGTTCACTAAATCACATGTCAATTCATCACTAGAGCGATGTGCTGGAGCCGAACGCACAATATAAATGCCCAACGAAGAGGAGAAAAGGCGCATATCGTGTAACGATATAAAGGCCTTTTACCTTGGTCCAACGCGATTGAAGCAGGAATGCCAACTTGGAACGGCACGTTATTATCAAATATCAAAAAGAAGCTCTGAACAAACGCATTACCTCCTGGTGAAGTGAACAAGCATAATCATAGGTCTGGAAAAAACAAGTTGAATGACGGAAGGAACACGTCATCGGGACAAACCCACCCAGAATGTAGCCGCCGAAGCTGAGTCGCGTTAGGACAAGGATCCAAGAAAGTGGTTCATATGACGCACCATATATGTACTAGTTGCATATAGATCATATCTGTTGTTATCAACGGCCATCCCATCCACAAGAAAGAGACGCACTGTATAGGTTTGCAAACTCCTTGCCGCTGCGACAGTATCAGCCGAATACTCCGTCGGCATTCAGTGGAGGGGCAGAAAAGGGTTTCAACGGGCGAGGCATGTAGCTTTACCTCTTATATATATGATATAGGAACCGAGCAAGATGAGGGCGCAATGAGTATACCATTCTAGGCTGAACCTGGGGTCATGAGGCCAAGGGATGGCAGACGTTCATGTTCTGGAACTTCATATGCCGTGAATTTGGGTTCAAAGCATGCTATAATACTGCATTTGGAGAATATAATACATAATGGCTCGAGTCATGAAAGAGTCTTGACGCGGCGCCCGGTGTTCGAACGTTTCCGTGACTGGCTGAAAGTGGACGAAACGATGTTACCACTGAATACTTCCTGAGTCGATTCGGACAGCGACAAAGCAAAGTGGTGAATGGCCATGCGCTGGCGCTGAAGCTTAAGATCTGAAGAGAGTACTACTACTTGAAGTAATTGGACTTAATAAGCATGTCAAATCAAAACTAATACAACCAAGCAAGACATTCCTCGCTTCTATCGATTCTCAATTAGACTTCGATGGTTGGAGTCGTGGACTAATATGCGCCCGTAGTCATTTCAACCAGACCAAGCTCACCTCGTCATATCCCTACCGAGTCCCAGGTAAAAATCTAAGCAAACCTTGCAAACTTCATTCCGTGAATGACGCCGAATAATCAAGCAAGCCGACTTTACATCGCGTGGTCCACAGATGACACGTCAGATAGAGGAATATGCATGAAAGCGTCAGTGTCATGTATGTACCGATCGACATGCCACAGATGGAGATGCATGCGCGTGGCAAGGATTGCGAGGATGATGAGCTGGAAACTGTATCACGTTCAAAGTGGGGGGAGGGTTGTTAGTAAGAATGTGCAGCAGGATTTGAGAGGCACGTACTCTTCGAACATGAAGTTGTACGCGTACTGAGGGCACGGAATATCAATTTCTGAGTATCAGGGAGATGGGCAGCACTCACATTGAGGAGCAGCGACATGAGGATATTCGCCGCCGAAAACACTTTTGAGACAAGAATGATCATCGATGAGCATGTGGAAATGGCCTGGAATGAGCTTGTGCCGACTCACACAGACCGCATGCATAGTAGAATATGTTATGCTTTAGCAGGACGACGAACAGTCGGTTGTTGGTCCTCCGCCAGCTCTGTATCGCGCGTACGAGTGTGAGGGAGATGAGTCCTTGGGAGAAAGCAGGTTAGCGCTCAGCAGCGTGTAAATGAATGGCAACTCACCGAATTCAAGCGCAAACAAAAGAACAAAAGGTAGGAAGAGTTCAACAGTCCCTGAGGGCTGATAGCAGCCCGTGATGCCCGGGATCGGGCTGGTCTCATCTATGAAGTGAAGAGGGCGTGAGCGGTAGCAGACTGTCTGGGGGAGGTGAAAGCGCGTACATGGTGCGGTCGTAGTCGCGGCAAAGAGGACGGTGATGGATGCTACGATGACAGCCTGACTGAGGTATCTACAAAAAGTTTGGGGTGGATGGGGAATGGGACTCACAAGAAAGGCGGTCAGCATGGCTCCGAGTACAATTTTGTTCTTGTTCCACAGCACATATGTTCTGAGGATGAAAAAACCTGGTTGAATTAGATCAGTAATGCGTGTATGTTAGGGGGGAAGGAGAAACACATTCGGAGCAAATGATCGACACTAGTTCGAAACCTGTGAGAGGGAAAGACAGCACTCAGCATGGACGTGCAGGCATGCATGCACCATGCACGTACATATACAAATATTGCTCAAAGTCAGGCATTTCTTGCGAATTCGCAGTAAGCGTCGTTCGCCAATCAAAAGTTCATCAAGCGTTCACATACATTGGGGTTCTCGTTGGGGATAAAGTTTACTGAAGCACGAGCATGTCAATTTGCTACCGGAATGATATGTGCAAGAGGTGAACGCACAGTATAAATGGCCGGCGAAGAGGAAAAATGGCACGTATCGCGTTACGATATAAAGGACTTTAATCTTGGTCCAGCGTGATTGTAGCAGGAACATCAACTTGAAGCAGCATGTTATCATCAAATATCAAAACTCATCTTGAACTCACCTCCTGGTGAAACGAACAAGCATAATCATAGGTCTGGACAAGGGAGTTAAATAGTGAACGGAAACACATTAGGATAAACCTACCCAGAATGTAGCCGCCGACGCTGAGGTGCGTTAGGATAAGGAAGCAGCGGTATGGATACCACGCACCGTATATATACTGGTGGCACAAGGATCATCTATGGTTGTCATCCGATCCATAAGAAAGAGACGCACCGTATAGATCTGCAGACTCTTCGCCGCTGCGACAGTGCCAGCCGAATACTCCATCTGCATTCGGTGAAGGAGTAGAAACAGGGTTTCGCGCGCGAAGCACATATCTTTACCTCTCGTATAAATGAACCAGAAGCCAAGCAAGATGATGGCGCAATGGGGGCACCATTCCAGGCTGAAGCTAGGGGCCTCATGGGTCATGGGAAGCAGTTTATGGAAAGGGTATGTCATGATTCCAGGTTCGAGGCATGCTATGCCGCATTCGGAGTTGAAACGGTCTTGATGGTGGTGTTCGAACGTTTCACCTGCCTGAGAGTGGATGTAAAGATATGTCTTCATCGAGCACTTACTCGATCCGGATGGTGACAGAGTATGGCGGCGAACGGTGGGCATATACCAGGAGAGAATGTTCTTATCTCTAGAGAGCAGCATGCCAAGTCAAATATCAAGCAAATCAAAATTTGACACGACCAAACAGGATGTTCTTCCACTTCTTAACGTATTTCCATGGGATTCGCAATCAAGGGACTTAATGAACGACGTTAGATTGCACAGTCAATGGGACATTATATGCGCCTGTAGTGGTCTTGTTATTCCAATCTGACCAAACTTACCGCGTCTCCTCCTGAGTCCTAGGTAAAAAAGAAGATACATCAGACAATGGAATAAGCATGAGGGCGTCAGATCCATGTATGTGCCGGTCGACATGCCAGAGATGGAGGTGCATGCGTGTGGCAAGAATCGCGAGGATGATGAGCTGGAAACTGCAATACATTCGAAGAGGGGGGATTGTTAGCAGGAATGTGTAGTAGAGTTTGGAGGCGCGTACTCTTCGAACATGACGTTGTACGAGTACTGAGGGTGCAGAATATCAATATGAATGGCCCAGCCTCAGGGAGTGGCGGTGCACTCACATGGAGGAGCAGACCCATGAAGACATTTGCTGCCGAGAAAACTTTTGGGACCAGAATGACCATGAAAACGGCGTGGGATATGTGTGTGGTGACTTACATAGACCACATGCATAGTAGAATATGTTATGCTTTAGCAGGACAGCGAACAGACGGTTGTTGGTCGTCTGCCAGCTCTGTATGGCGCGTATAAGCGTGAGGGAAATGAGTCCTTGGGGGAAAGCGGGTCAACGCTCTCCAGTGTGTAAATGAATGGCCTCGGCGACTCACCCAATTCGAACGCCAACAAAAGAACAAACGGTACGAAGAGCTCGATGCTGGCAGAGGACAGGTAGCAGCCTGTGATGCCCGGGATCGGGCTGGTCACATCTGTGAAAGTGAAGAGGTGTGAGCAGTAGCAGAGTGTCTAGGGGAAGTGAGAGTGCGTACATGGTGCTGTCGTAGTCGCGGCAAAGAGGACGGTGATGGATGTTACGACGACGGCCTGACTGGGGCATCTACAAAAGCTTGTGGTGGGTGGGAGATGAGACTCACGAGACCGGCGGTCACCATGACTGCGAGCACGAATTTGTTGTTGTTCCACAGCGCATATGTTCTCAGAATGAAAAAGCCTGGATAAAACGGATCAGAAACGCGCGTATATTTTTGAAAAGGACATATACACTCGGAGCAAATGATTGATATTAGGCTGAGACCTATGAGAGGGAAATGCAGCATTCAACAAGGACGTGCAGGCATATATGCACCATATACGTACATGAGCAAATATTGTTCAACGTCAGGCATTCCTTGCGAAGTCATGTCGTAAGCGTCGTTCATAAATCAATAAGTTCACCAAGCGTTCACATACGTCGGGGTTCTCTTTGGGAATGAAGTTCACTGAAGCATGAGCGTGTCAATTCATCATTAGAGCGATGAGTATTGGAGGTGAACGCACGATACAGATGGCCGGCGAAGAGGAGAAAAGGAACGTATCGTGTAACAATATAAAGGCCTTTGACCTTGGTCCAGCGCGATTGAAACAGGAACGTGAACTTAGAGCATGTTATTATCAAAATCAGAAAGAGGCATATCCCAAACAAGTACAATACCTCCTGGTGAAGTGAACAAACATAATCATAGGCCTGGACAAGCGAGTTCAATAGCGGACAGAAACACATCAAGACAAGCCTACCCAGAATGTAGCCGCCGACGCTGAACAGCGTTAGGACAAGGAATACACGGTTCAGATAGCACGCACTGTAGATGTACTAGTGACACATGGATCATCAACAGTCATCCCATCCAAAAGAAAGATACGCACTGTGTAGGTCTGCAGACTCCTCGCCGCCGCAACTGCATCAACTGAATACTCCGCGTTCATTCTGTGTGTGTTGGGGGGGGGAAAGAAGGGCTTTTTTTTTTATAAATCAAATTTATTGTCCGTTGGGGTCGTAGACCCTATGTTAGACATAGCCCTATTGCTAGGAACCAAGGGAATGAGGGCGCAACAAAGGCACCATTCCGGGTTAAAGCTGAGGCGCTCAAATCGTTCTGGAAAGGACGTGACGTGAATGCAGGGGTCAAGTACGTTACACCTCTCGAGCGACGTGTTGGAACGCATCGCTGGCTGACAATAGACCGGACTATATGTCTCCGCCAACACCTAGTCGATTCGGACAGGGACAGTAGTGAATAGCGTGCCAGATATCTCGGTAAATGTCGCATGATCAAATTTGCCGTGAATCAATACTAGAGTCTGATCGATCAAACCTTAGAGGATGTTCCTTACTTCTTGGCGTTGTAATTTGATACCATTCACAATCAAGGACCTACATGACTTGATAGTTGGTGTTAATCGCACAGCACGTGGGCCATATATATGCGCTCGTATATTTCTCATGCCAGTTCAAGGTATCTTTCCACTGAAGGCCTGATCAATGCGTGACGTGAAAAGTACGTTATCATCACTTACCTTCCCAGTTCGTCACTGCTGCATCCCAAAGTCTCACCTCATGCTCCCTCGTTGCTCCGAAGTGGTCCACAAAGTCGTCTCCAAAGACTTCACGCGCAATGCTGTCGGGTCGCATCATTGCTTTGGTCGCGTCCTCCAATGAACGAGGAAGCAAAACAACCTATTCACATATGGTCAGCGATGCTGTACTGCACGATCATTTGCCAGCTCACCTCCTTCTTCCTGGCCGGGTCACTCTGGTAAGTGGAGATGGGCGGCGTCGTGAGTTTGAGTTGTTTGGCAATGCCCCGCATGCCCAGCTGGAAGATGGCACTCAGGGCGAAATAGGGATTCATGTCAGCACCAGGTACACGAATTTCAAGCCTTGTTGCTGACGGCGGGACAGACGGTGGCGATATTATGCGGATGGAAGCCGCACGAGAATCGTACCCGTATGTAACTGCGTTAGGAGCCCAAAAAGCTTCACCACCAACGAGACGTTTGTACCCATTGATCGTTGGGACAAGCTCCCGAGTTTTTAGACAGGAATCACATTAATGAGAGTCGGGCACTCACCATAGGCATCACTGCATCATTAGCTTAGCATTGATATGTCGGAAAAGAAGATGAGCCTTACCATCAGGAAGGCCATCCAATACACCGGCCAAAAAGTACTCTCCAAGTTCACTTAGGTATCTTGTGTCCTCGAACGCTGCATTAACTCGTCCACGATCACGATCCACATTTGAAAGTGAGAACACGTTGTGGCCTTCTCCGTCTTTGAGTGATACGTGTATGTGTCTGAGCCGTTGTCAGAAGAGATTTATATAAAAAATGAGATGGCGATGATTACCCGCTGCAACCTGGTAGCTGAAGCAAAATTTCCATAAGATTCTAACAAATTTTATGAATTCAACTCACGTTTCCCCACGGTTTCGCCATAAAACTGGGGAGTACTCCGTGCTTCAGCCCTACACTCTTCGCCAGGAACTTGAACAGGATAGCGTTGTCCGCTATTCTCATGGCCGATGTATAAGCGAGTGCAGTCTCGAGGACGCCTGGACCAGTTTCGGTGTCTGCAAAGGAGTCAGCTTCCATCGCTGTTATAGTGCATAAAGCATCGTACGATGCCCCTCGATCTCTATGCCAAACTTCAGGCTCTCATCAAATAGCTCATGAAAATATTCTTGGTTCAGCTGAGTGCGCAGTAAGCTATATCCATGCACTGCAGTGATCTCTTGTCAGAGAATACGCAGCGAACGGCTACTTTGCTTACTTCCTGGGGTCAACGGCTGCAGCTGAGTGAAATGTTTTTGAGCCGCAGACTCAGGGGTCTCTGTATAAAACCTTTTGAATCACATCCTGAAGATGATGGCTTTCACGGACGCACCTTTGAAGTTAAAGTACTAGAAAGCCTCATGGGTCCATTCAGCGCATCGCATGACTGGCTGAGTTTGCTCACCTCGAACTCTACACCAGAAATGCACGCCATACCACAATCAGCCGCATTATCGACGGCTTTGCGCAGAAGTCCTCTAGGATCCGCACAGATGGGTGCTGATGTCTTCGGATCAAAGAATGAGACGAGGAAAAAGGGTACGTTGTTCTCCCAAGGTATGCGGCGAAATGTCGATAAGTCTATCGAAGCCATCAGGTCGCGGTAACCATTCTGTCTATTTGATATGGCCAGTTCCCGAGTGTAGACTGCATCATGCATGTCCCAGCCACTGCGATATAACTTGTATCATGAAAGCGAGTCGGGGGTGTAATAAGACGTACAAAACGACGCTACAAAAGCCAAAACCTTCTGAAGCAACAGCGCCTAGAAACTTGTCTTTAGACTGCAGGTGGCAAATCAATATTGACGAGGACGGACACAGGAGGAAGCATACCATGAACTTTCCTCTGAGGACGCCATCCACTTGAGATGGAAATCAGCAATCAAGTTATTCAATGGTCAGAAGGCAGGGTGTGCACCATCTATGCCTGTAGGGATCATAAATAAGTACTGTCGTGAACATCAAGTTATCACATTGTGCAATGACAACCGACCTGCAACTTTAACCTTGACATCATCGCGAAGCAGTTCCTTGAGGTCATTAACTGACCTCGGAGCTCCTGGAGTGGCACTAGTGGTCGCCGCCATATCTGGGATGATTGAGATGATTGGTCGTTCCGTTTCGATTGCTCTATGTGCTGGACAAGTCTAAATGGCCGGTTGCATGGGCGGTACCGGTAGAGACCGGCAGGTCTCTAAGAGGAAGATTTTGACCCAATGCGGACAGCTTTGAGCTCGCGCTCATGGAGGAGACACCGTACACTTGCCGACAAACACTGAAAACACCTGCGCCGATCTCATGTCTGGCCAAAGGACCGTCGGATCATTTCTTTGCAGGCTCAGGTAGGGGCTTCCATCAGATCTCAGGCTGATGGATAATGTGAACTTCCCTTGCACAGATGATGGATCTATTCGCATATATAATCAAAAGGCCTTGAAGGTCGTGAAGGCTATCAGAGGTTTGGGAGAAGTATCGTCTGTTGTATGCATGTCGCACAGTGCAGGCGGCCTTGGGAACATTTGGGTTGCATCCAACCGTGATGTACGTCTCGACATTTTTAGATACTGCCGCATGTGTCTGACAGACCGTGTTTTCAACTTGTACAGGCTCTACATTTTACTATGGACACAGAGAAGATGATCCTTGCGAAGGCTGACGCGACCTTGTCATTGGAGCTTGGTGCCGACAATGACGACGTGTTGAATGAGGTAGAGGGTGTAACATCATTCTTCATATTTTTGGCTAATCATGACCAGCCAGCTTTCGCTCAATAAAAAAAATAGTCAATTGGCATTTTGTTTGGACTCCGGCACAGTCGGCGTCGTTGATCTTTCTACGAAACAAGTAACACGCATGAGAACGAGTCATGACAATGTTTGTATCTTTCGTTTTCCAGGTGAATGCCTCGCTCATAGTGATGCAGATTTGTGGAACTGTGAAGTTCATTCCCGATCGCCCGAGTGAAATTGTCAGTGGTGGATACGACTCCAGTCTGCTGCATCACGATTTTCACCAAAGGACTGTATCGTCGCGATTCGATTTAGGTGGTTCGACTTTTGTTGGATTTAGCTGTCGCTCATTTTTGATATTTCCTATGTCAGGGACATCTCCTCCGTCTTCAGGTGTTTCAATGTCTCCGCCATTCATATTGTCGTTGGCTATGTCACCATCTGGCATCTTGGCTGCGGGAACCGCTGATGGGCGGGTATGGATTGGCGCCGGCGGAGAGAAAATGTTAGGAGTCTCATCTCGCGCATCTGTGAAAAAGAAACGGCGGAAGTGGGAAGGATTGAAGCAAGATAAAGCCATCACGGCGGATGTCGGGCATGGCCCTATCGCTGCTCTGTATGTATTACTGCTGTACCGTGACATGGGAACTTAGACGCCATACATTTACAGTTCATTCATCGGGCCTCGTACACTTTTAACATCCACATTGATGGGAACAGTTGCCCTCTACGAGATTGGCGGCCCAACTGCGGATGGAAACTTGGTTATGCTTCAAAAGTGGACAAAAGCAACGACTGGTGTGAACAAAGTTAACGCGATCATTACTACGGGGGACTTGATCATCATCGGTGGGCTGAGTGAGGCTGGAGGGGGAGTAATAGAGCTTTGGGAGAACAGAAGTGCCGAATTATGATGGGTTGATGTGCATGCACTTGATTACCTTACTATTAACTCGATGTTGGTAGCGCGAAGGCTGTTGCGCCGCAGCCGAAGCTCAAGGAATGTTACTATTGAAAACTTTCAACTGAGTCCTGACGATGACATTAGGTTGGTTTTTTAACCACGTGACTGATGTGTCACAAAAAAAGAGGCATATGCATGCATGATTTCACTGAAATTACAGGCAATTGTCGAAGATTATCAAAAATTACCTTCATTTTATTTTATGAAGGAGGGTTTTCTCTGATGCGCATGAGTAATGCATTACATTCTGTATCAGGATGGTGGATAATGCATCAGCATTGCTAGATGCTGTTGCATTAAAAAACTCAGCCTGGTGGCACTGACTGCGTCTTGAGATGATGGCCGCGACTGCGCAGTCACTCGTTGATAAGCAAGTAAAATTAAATTATGAGGGAATCAGACTAGCTACAGTAACAAATCGTTTGGCGGCGTTGAAAAGACGATCGTTGAACCAAGACTTGCAGTAGCAGTATCATGAGTGTGTGAATCTTGGTATGATAGCGCCCGACTTGGTGAGCGTGGATGCACAAGGACCTAGCGCATGCTTGACTCCATGGGTGGTGGGTTTGGAGGACATTGGGTCCAGTAGCTAGATATCAGCAGGCGTAGTGAATGCGCGCTCATTAATGTTTTTGAGCGCCATGACCGCAGCAGTGATAGCGGCAGTTGTCGCAGCAGTCGCAGCAGTTGGCGCAGCATGTTACCCGTGCCCCATTTCGTCGACGCCCGAGATTTGCGTGTGCACCAAATGCAGTCAAATATCGTTTCCTCTCATCTCAAATCAGCTACTAATGATGCACCAGAGTTTCGGCCTTCCCAGGCGCGTTTGATCCACACACCTGTGTAATCATCATTTTCACAAGTGCCGCAGCCCTGCTTACAGCCCCGTCGCCATCTCAATTTTTCAGGCGACCCCCAGTCCAACTAGTTCTCATTACTTCTCGTTCGCTAATCACCCTTTCCACGTCCATTCGTCGTAGATGTAGAACGATAAGACCAGTGCCCCGTGATTTCATAGATCGAGTGTCACGTCATCTTTTGTAGCGATCGGGCACAGTAAATTTGGTGACGGGCTAAGCCAGGTGCTCATATCTGTCGACAATGGGCTTGAATAGGGTGAGGCGCTACCCATTACCTCGAGAAATCCGGTTAACCACACCCACCTCCCCTCTTTACGTCCCCTACACTTCATTCACAGTTTCCATATCCCACTCCCCGTCTTATCCTACCACTCAGCCCATTATTCATATTTGATTTCTTGAAGAGGTTGAGGAGTGACAGCCTCGAGTCTTAATTTTCGGGGAGGGGTAGCCTCAGCGCCTGCGAGATCGGTGACTTGAAGGTTTTGGGAGTGAAGGACACTAAGGTTGTTCGTCGTAAATGCGAGGAAGAGATGGACGACGGCCAGCCGATGGCGAGTCTTTATGGTGTGGAACGTCTTGTTCAGAGGAGCCGGAGCGTATAAATGGGGTGACGCACAACGTGAACGACGTAGAGCGAAGACCCAGAGCCGACGTGGGGCGCATCAATCAAGGGCGATTGCAAGGGTACAGTTCCGCAGGCCCATAATGTTGTCTCGAGTGTTCCAAGGGTGCTTGCATGCCAGAAGAGTGACAAGGATTCGGTGGTGAGAGTAGTGCATGAGTGAGTGACAAGTGTAATAAATATAGCAAGCAATTGTAAGCGATTTCAAAGTCCCACGGTGATGCATTGATCATGAGCAGAGAATTGGTTTCGAAGACATATAATTCTAGAATTTCTATGTCGCAATCCAGTTACAACGTGATACACTATATCGTAAGTATTTACAGGGGGATAGCCGGGCTACTACGCGTCCACAAATATTTTCGAGAAATACTTTTTCACGCCTTCTACACCACGAACGATCGCCCCAACCACACCGTCTGGCCGAATCACAAACACCTTCGTCTTGCCAGCTTCCACGAGGTAAGCCGAATAAGCATAGTCCTCCTGGTCAACAAAAACGAGTTCCGCAGGAGCTGCGAAATCCTTCGCTGATGCCGATGATGGCAGAACGACTGCTGATCGCACGACACTTTTGTCCCATGCCTCCAGTGCTCCCAAGATCGGGCTAGCATCAGCGAGACTCGGTGCGAACACAAGCACCGTGTGGTACCAGGGTTTGTACAGACTAAAAAGTGTCATCGCATCAGACTCTCCACGCCCCACCTGGAGCATATTGGGTGCATCAGGCGCCCTGTCTCCAGCCTCCAGATGCCCTTCGTCATGCACCCCGTAGGCATTGATAGGCCTGCCCTCGACTGGAGGCACAAACTCATCCAGGACGATGTTGCTGAATCGGCAATTGATGCCGAGCATGAAAAGTTTGTTGTTTTGAGTGAGCGACGTGGCTCCTGCGATTGCCTTGTTGAGAATCGAGGTGGTAATCTCGAGCAACTCAGAAATGACAGGCAAACGCTCGGCGGTGTATGTCTCGAGAAGAGACTTGTCGGCAAGTCCTTTTTCGACGAGCGCAAGTTTCCATCCTAGATTGAACTGGTGTAGAGCACGGTTAGCTGTGTCGTAAATGCTGGATCTACCCGACTCACAGCATCTTGCACACCTGAATTGAGTCCCTGTTCATAGAGAAATGAGTAATTATTAGCAACGATCAAACCAATCATACCTGACCACCCAAGGGACTATGGACACTTGAATATGTGTTAGCAGCAGTTCATGAAGAGCCTCGGAAGACATTCAAAAAGAGACATACTGAGCAGCATCTACCACCACTTCTATCAACACAGTTACACACGTCTAAAATAGAAGCACATACCGCCCGCAACAAAGACCCGACCCTCGCTTAATTTATTCACCATCCGGATATTGGCCCTAAAGCAAACTCATGAACGCGCGTCGACACCTAGAGCTATACGAAGCGCACCGGAATGGGCTCATCCAAACCACCTTGTTGAATGTGATCTTTGTTGGTATTAAGGACGTGATGACCTCGAAGACAAGCTCCTCGCTCTGAGCGAGCTTCGTCATGTCTAGATCAGGGCCGAAGATAAAAAATTGCCAGCCATCCTCTCCAACTTCATTTGCTGGCTGCAACAACACGCTGTAGATCGTCAATGCACCGTCAAAATATATCTATCAGCCTCAAGAGCAAAGACCGAACATACCCTCGTTCAGCAAAGTTTCCAAACCGGTGAAAATGCTTCGAGACCGGATCAGAACAGCCTTCGATAAAAAATGTACAGCATGGACACACCATTCTATCAAAACCATCGCTCTTGAAACGGATATCTCCGGTCAGAATTTGGTCACCGTCTCTAGTCGAGCCAAAAAACGTGAGCCCAAGTTGCTTGCGCACGACTCCTGCTAACCAAATTCAGTCTCGTTCTGCTGTGTTGTATCATGTCTTGCCTTTAGCGCCATCAGCACCGATCATCCACTTGGTATTGAACGTCTCTGATATGCCGTTCTTCGCGAGAACAGCCGTGACGCCCTCGTCGGACTGCTCAAATGAGCACAATTCTGTTCCCATCTCGACAGAGCAAGAGAACTTCTCAAGATGGCCTTTCAGAATTGCATCTAAGAGTTGTTGACCCATCAGCCTGAGGTTGTTCTAAAGCAAAACCCAACAATCAACATGAAGACTGAACAAACAAGTGTTACGCACAAATGGTACCGCAGGGTTAGGTTCCATACTAGTCTTGAACGGCCGGTGCTCTGTGAGAGGCTCCAGCGTCCCAGACTTGTAGGTGTGGATGGGAAGAGCTGGATTCCCCAGATTGTTGACTTCCGGGACATTCAGGAAGTTGAAGAGTTCGAGGGACCGTGGCTGACCGTGCGCTTAATGAGACCACGGGGTGATATGACATGAAGATATATATAATAACAAACCCAGTATAAGGAACCGCGTTGTCCGATGCGAGGGATAGGGTCTTTATCTATGATGCGAACTGGGATGCCGTTCTGGAGGAGCGTCAACGCTGCTACCAGGCCCACTGGCCCGGCTCCTACCTAAGAAAAATAAATTCAGCAGAGGTGCTGGCTTCCATCATAAAGCAGATCGCTTACTATTAGCACAGGGGGATGAGTGAAATTCATATGTAGAGGAGGTTGATGACTTCAGAGGTGGTTAGGTTAGCACAGGGAGTTCATGGTACTCTATTATAACTGACCCCACTCGGTTACTTAAAGAATTTCACGCTTTGAGTAAACAAAGTTCATGACAGCTGCGCAATTCTAAAAAGTCGTTGTCAGTGTCGACTTGAACTGTATACGGAGGTATACAGTCACCCTCTCAGTAATCACGTCACATATCATTCGTGATACACAGGATACAGGCAGAATTGATACATCAGAATGATACATTCAGGATATATCATTCTGCCTGTATCCTATCACTGACCGCCAGGTGCGAGCATGCGGAGGCGCGCAAAGTACGCACAGGGACAGGTGAAGACGTGAGCATGGCAGGAGAGCGGACGCAGATCAGTACTGTGTCACTTGGTACGGTACCAATGTACACAAACTTGCGAAAAATGCAGAAAAACAAACTTGAATACACACTTTTCGTAATTTCCGACTCCCCCGGAGTACATGTGGAAACCCGCCTGGGTGATGGCGGGCACAGCGGTGGTTTGGGAGTTTTCCGCTATGGCGCTATGGAAGATTTATTTTGAAATGTTATCGATGAAATTTGGCATTTCATTAAGATCAGGCCCGGGTCACTCAAGAGGTGTGCGATCGAGAAATCTAGAACACTAACCTGCCGCAACTTGGGTACCCCCTACGCCTACCGTGACGGCGTGATGACAGCGTGACCGATCATGTAATTTAGCTTTATTAGGTATTTTTTTGTCACACCGAGAATCAATATGAAGTCAGAACGGATCAATTGAACGATCGAAAGCAAAACAGTACAGTTGCAGCAATAAAACGAATGAAAACGAGTATGTAGACGACTGGCATAAGTGCATGAAGTAAGAAAACGTTAAGAAATCAACCGCTGAGTGCAGAAAGAGCAGTAGGAATAGTCATTCGGACCTTCTTTGAAGGACGGGAAGAGCCTGCTTGCGGAGCGGCGCGTTTGGAACCACGGGAAACTAATGGAGGAATGTTCTCTTTTCCAATCTCGCCCGGAGGAGTGTAGGAAGGCTGCCAATGCGTCTTTGGGATGCGCGAAGCCGTTTGCTCCAAGTCCGTGAGCTTCATCTCCCTCCAAACATTTGCGGGCAGCGGTAAGCCAACATCTCTCTGTCCCGGCACCATATATTCCTCATGTTCCCGGAAGATATGCTCGTGCATATTGTAGCGCCAAACGGCACCGACCGGGACGACAGCCGTCTTTCTCGTTGTCTTGCCGGGCGCTGGAGGGAGAATGGGATGGCAAAGCTCACATTTCAGTGGCAGGTTGCGGCATGGTGTATTCTTGGAACCAGTCTCGGCGGATGCGTAACGGAATTGGTGCTGGTACATGCATTTAGTGTCCCATGTTGTGGCGGCTTTTGCGGGCACAGTGACGGTGATAGCACACTCTGGTCGACCAGAACGTCCGCAAAAGCCACACGGAAGTGTGTCGCCGACCTTGTAGATAGTCATAAGCGTAAAGTACAAATGAAAATATATAAAAACGTACAGGTTCTTTCAAAACGACCTCCTCTGGTGTGTTACTGAGTGCGCGCAGGATATGCTGACCCATGTGATTGCGCATATTGAGGACACTTGATTCGCAAAGGGGACACACGGAGATTCGATCCCCTTCGGATGCTCCCAGCAAATTACTGGCCTCCATAGAAATGACAGCAGGAGTACCTGTAAATGTAAATGTAGCATTAGAAATAAAGTGAACATACAAACCGCGAGACACTTACCATCCAAGCGTCTATAAGGAAATTTGGTCTCATCTGAAGGAGTAACGACTGCAATTGACTTGAGAGGGACATTTATCTCTACCGCTTTCGCCCATAGCAGGTCACAAGCTGTTTGCAGAGCGTCCCGTGAGATCTGCCATGTGCTCTGCCCCCCCCTCACTTGCAAGAAGTCGTCCACGTTGATATCGTCGCGTAGCCGAATGAATGTAGGTTCGGGGTTGACAGGCTCGACAAGAGAACCTGGGACGGTTACGACGACACTGCGTTCTGTAGACTCCGAGGACCCTTGAATTACCGAACGCGCAGTAACATACCCGCCGTCCCATAAGAACATCTGTGAAACATCGGCTGAGAGGCGAGTAGCGATGATGGTGAGCAGTTGGCCAGTTATCTTTGCCGTGGTTCTTGAAGCCTTCATCATGCCTATGTTGATTGACGAGTGAGAAATACCGCAAAGGCTAGCTGCTGTCGACCGAAGAACGGCAATAGAAAGTGTCCGACTGGAGCGCAGGATGGTCACGAAGATATCACCGACGAGGAATAAGTTCTGGTTAGTGATGCGACCTGCCGACATATCGATGCGCTTGTTGACTTTAGTATAGCCAGCGCGGACGCGCTCGAGTCGGTTAAGTGATTTCGAGATGAAGTCTTTATTGATGATGAGACGACAGACCGTCTGTTTGTGGATCCAGCGGCCGTTATACAACAGATAGTCGTCGGGACGGATGCCTGGGCCTTGCGGTAGTGGTGGGGACGAAGAATCTTGAGTGCGAGGCTGGTTAGACTGAGCTGGGGGGGCATCAGCAGGCGAGTCAGAGTCATCAATCAAGGCCTCTTCGAACGTCAACATGACTTCTTCATCGTCATTCTCTCCCTGCGACTCTCCAGGACCAACGCCCTCAACACCATCCTCACTCAAGACCGTTTCTAGGCATTGTGAGGTAGGAGATGCTGCAATGGGAGGGGGAAGAATGGGTACTTGGCTGGCGTCATCGAGCTCGTTGTCTGTACTAATGCCGAGGTACTTATTGTTGCCAAATGGACGTAGCATGTCAATGCCAGACGTAGTGTTGAAGAGTTGCGCATAGGAGTAATGAGCCGGATCAAGCTGAGAAGTGGCAAGGATCAAAAGTGCGTCCTCACGGCCTTTGCGCCACGATAAGGGAAGATCACATCGGCCGGAGATAATATCACCCTTCCAGATCTCCCGATTGATATGATCGACTCCCTCATGACGAGTGAGTTTCAATCGTCGGTGACCCGGATCAAGCTCGGGATGACGCTTGAATACCCCGTCGATATCCTGTGCAGCGGCAAGGCGGTCAATTGCCTGGGCATAGGAACAAGCCGAGTTGTGACCGCCAATCATGCGAGTGCGTCCAAAAAGAATCTCGAGGGGGTCGTCTCCGACGTCGCCAAGGAAAAAAGGTGCATATGGATCCAGAGACTGTTGCTTAGCGAGGGAGAATATGGCGTTCTTGACCATTGTCTGTGTGTCGTAGTATAATTGGTATGACATGAAGGATCGGCGATGAGCATGGAAAAATGAGAAAGCGAGGTGTGAATAACGGCTGAGAGATTCGAATTGCTGGGACAAGGAGAGCTCGACGCGGATGAAAGGTAGTAGGATGGATTCAAGCAGTTTACTGAGAAGATAAATGGACGCAACATCAGCACGAGTATCAACATCCATGGAAAACGAATCGTTGGATATGTGGAGCTGGGAGTTCGAGAATTCGATGATGGCGAGCATAAGTTCAACCGCACGAGGGACGTCTTGAGGGTCATCCGGGTAAAGCAGTTTTGTCACCGCAGCTTCCTCGTATGCCGGCAACCACGCGAGATAGCGCGCGAGCATCATGGAATTGATGACTCGGCCATTATTGAGCACAATGCCTGCAGGTGACCGGATGAGTGTGCAAATACCTAGATTTACATTAAATTAGTAGCGTTCATCATCATTAAAAAAAACATACGCTTAAATATGTGCTTGAAGTCGAAATCAAGAGTCATTTCACCCGCGCCAGTGAACAAATTGAGGCCCGGCATATTGATCAGTGTTCCATACAAAGGCGAGTCTGGAGCTAAAGGTGTCTTGACGAAAAGTTTGTGTCCAGCGGCACGTCGAGTTGCATCGCCATCTGTTGCAAAAGACCAGGCTGGTCCGACAGACGTAACCGCAGTACTCGAGTTCCAGCACTCAACAGTTTGCGCGAGGATGCGCTCCATGTCTGATGCGTCCTCTGTCTTGCAGGTGGGCGCTGCAAGGATAGGGTATATCTGGTCTTCGCCGAAGCAGGAGACACCAATCACAGTGAGCTCCTTTCCAAGATGGATGTGGCCGTCGTGGATTTTCTGCGCGATACTCACAGCAGAGTCGTATGTGCGGAGAACCGGGTCGATAATGTTCGAGTGCTTCCAGCAAAGGCCACCGACCTTGTTGAACTTACTGAAATGAACCGCCATCTCCTCAAGCGCAATCTCGTCAATCATAAAACTGACGCCGCGCAAGGGCAACAAGTCAGCGCGAGTGTCGACAACAATATGTTGGATGTTTTGGTCGAACTGTTCGTTGCGTATTGGGCCGATGGTTGGTGAGAGAGATGTGAATATGGATTTAGCGCGAAGAGTACGAAGGGATGGAATTTTGAGGCCCTGGTTGAGGGCAAAAAGCAACTGACGCCCCCCCAGTCTAAAGACAAGGGTGGCTATATCCAAGTCGTTAGCACCATATCCGCGTGGCTGGTACACACCCTCGAGAGCGTCTTCCAGCTTGTTGACAACTTCTCGGATGCTGGCGCCATTGCGTAAAGCGATGTTGATGACCTGATGAATGCGAGGGATGTCGTTTTCAGAGATAGCCATCACGAGGCGGTTGTAATCGTCCAACTGAGTGAGGGTGTACATATACTTGCGCGAGTCATTACAGGCCTAGAAAGGGTCAATGAAAATACATAAAGGCAGAATAATAAAACATGCCTGCAACTTCAACTGATTAACTTGATCCGAGTGTTTTTTTATTAAGTCTCGCATATGTGCGAGACCCAGATAATGATAGTTCGTGTGGGCCTTGGGATTACGTGCTATATCGATGAGGCGATAGACGTGCGCGTAAACTTCACCACACTCTTCACACGGGAAATCTTCCCGAATAGTGAGATGTGTGCAGAGTTTCGATCGAGCGCGAGGGAGTCGGGGAACTGTGATGTCGACAGTAAACGGTAGTCCGTCGGGTCCGTCGTGGTATCGTGCCCAAGGAAAGGACATAGCGAATGTGTGGAGGTCGTCAGGCCAGTTGATGGGAATGCCTGGACACACAATGTCGCGTTTAAGCGAGCTGATATCAGAACACATAATGTTCCGATCATATGCGTTGCTGAAAATGACATAATGTAACACGATCATCAATGAAATTGAGCCGAAATGAACACACCTGGGTTGATCAGATCGAAAGGAAGGCTTGATCATTGCGCCAGCTTTCTGAGTGTTGTGCTTTTGCTTTTTGGAAGCAGTAGCAGCGCACTTCTTACTGCCTCGGTGGTTAGTGAGCGACTTGAACTGACCGGGGGTGCATAGAGGTAAGGCTGTGTGCACACTGGTTTGACACCAGCTTCCGCACTCAGGGCAGAGTAGTCTCCATCGATCTCCGAACTGATCCGATACTGGAAGCCGATTGGCCTTGAATAATAGATACAGGGACTCGGGGGTATTAAGCTTGAGTTGCGCCTTGATGTCGATATCTGAGTCCGAGATCGTGGCTGAGACCGAAGATGAATTTGAGGTTTGGCTATCCGTTGATGATTGGCGAGAGAGATAATTAAGGGAAGCTAAACTAGAAATACAAGATGGTTTGTCCGTATCTAACAATACTTGAAAGTCTATGGATGGGGTCTGCGAGTGTCCGGATGACGTGTAAATGATATCCGAGCGATTTGATGGATCATTTGATCCGAAATGCGTGGTATGATATGAATCTTCATCGAGGTCCGTGATGTAATAAGTTCCGTTATCGTCTTCGGAAGCAAACCAGGAATCGTAGCGAGCAGGCTGATGGGTCGTAGAATACATAATGAATGTTGCAAGGAGAGAGATGCGAGACGTTGACGAGACGCGTCACATTGATATTGACGCGTCATATTGACTTTGCTCACGTGCTTCCAAAAATCACACCCGAGAACCAACATTTAGCATGTAGCATCTTTGCACATGCGTTTTTCATTAAAATAACTATCTAGGTATATTCTACACCAGTGAAAACACCCCCTTTTGAGTACTCGACAAACGATTTTACGATGATTTGAGGCCGCTGGCGAGAAACTCAAAACTCATTGTTCATAACTTAGAGTGGCTGTGTTTTAAGCTTTTTTAGCTTATCTAATGTTGGGCTCTGTGTTCGGAATTTTGCGAACGCACACCTCTTGGGGTCACTACTCTTATAAGCTGAGTAACAGTAAGTGCTGCCGCGCAGCGCACAATTTTCACATCAGCCAGAACCGGACCGGAAAACGGTTCTCGGTTCTACCTCCGGGTGGATGATTGGTGACGGTTCATTTTCTCGCGTTTCCCCGATATTTTTCAAAGTCCGCCATATGTCATCACTGTACTGTATACATTCGACCTTAGGTTCGTCACAGAGTTGCTGACCCCCCGAACCACCTGGGTTACCCAATAAGTAAGTATTATTAGTGGTTTTCAAAGTCGAACGTAGAAAAAAATTCCCAGCGAAATTTTGCATATTTGGATGCTGCCGCTTCGGCAGGTTTCGGACTCCGCCTTGCCCTGCCTGCGTGCTTGACATTGTCGTTACTGGCGTCGACGCTGCCAAAGTATCAACCATGTCAAGCTCCAATCAGAGAGGTCGAGGCGGTGGAGTACAGGTCAGCGCACCTGCCAGTACGGACACTGGGAAGAAGTGCACTATTCACTGGGAGGGGGTTCGTGGTGCTCATACTGAACGTCTACTTGCCTGGTGCAAGGAAAATGAAGATGCATGCATCAAGCTTTTCTCGGATTCTGCAAAGGATGCTAAGGAGCAAGGCCGGAAGAAGTAGCAGAGTGGAACTTCGAGAGATATCTTCTATTCACAGGTAGTGATGTGCCGGCCCGGCTTGGCCTGCAAGCCCCGGCTTTGGCCTGGCTTGGGGCGGCTTGGGCTTTTGAAAATGTCAAGCCGAGCCATGAGCCAAAGCCAGGCCAAAGCCCCGGCTCGGCTTGGGCCCAGTCATGGCTTTAGACACCAAATAGAATCAATATTCAATATATTAAACTATCTACCAGGTCTCGTCCATTGATTCTTCATCATCGTCTTCTAATATAAGTACATCCCAACCCCCCTCCTCATCATCATCTCCAACCTCACCAGTCTCTGCATCATTTTCGGAGTCATAAGCTTCAGCCTCTGTAAGAGATGATGGACCGGGGTCGCGGAATAGTAGATCGTGACGTAGAAGGCATTTAACACATTGTAATGCTTCGACAATGTCACCTTTGAGCCGATTACGGCGCTTGCTAATTGTAATGCCTCCTTGTGAAAACGCCCGCTCGCTCGAGACTGATGAAGTCATAATTGACAAATAATCCCTGGCGAGCGAGGCCCAGACTGGATATCGCTCAGCGTTAATCTAAATGAAAATGACCATCAGTTATTGACATTTAATCCAACCGAAGCTACTTACCCCCCACCATCGTATGGCGCTCATCCCAGCTGGCAGAGCTGCCTCGATAGTCTCCATATAACCCAAAAACTCGACCCTCCATGGTCTCAATGCGTCAACAGTAGATTCACCTATATCCGCCTCGCTGTCGTCTTCAGAATCACTCTGAACTTGTCGGATAAGCTTCTTGAGGCCGCCGACCTTGCTTTTGGTAGTTGCAAGCGAGGGTGATGAGTAGTTTCGATTCAACTCATGATAGCGTGCTTCGAACACTTTCTCTGCACATGCAAGTACATCGTCGAGCAAACTTGATGGCCAATGTTTTTTGAAGTACGCGATTTTCACTGTCGGGTCCAGTACTATACTTGCAAATATCAGAGCGAACCAACAAAAACTGACAATGACGAACACATGGCAATAATATAAGCTGGGGTATCTGTCGTCCTCTCGTAGTAATCGTCTAACTTGCTTGCCACCGCCTTGAGTGCATGAGAGAATCGAATATATTTGGGTCTTTCCGCTCGTGATGCCCATGATCTGTGAAGCGTCTCCAGTGCTGGAATAGCAAGATGGAGTGTCGATCCTTGATCTGACGAGAAAGCTTGCTGCACAACGTCAGCGTACTAGAGAATCAGGTTAGATAGACAATAAAAACCAGTTTCAACCGAACATACTGAAAGCAGGTCCGCGAATTGGCCAGCTCGTGCCCATTCCACAGGTGATAACTGCAGAAAATCGATTTTGGAGCGCTTGGTCAGATTCTGTTCCTGGCGTCCCATCTCATAGACGAAAGTGTCGACATGCTACAATGTGAAAGTAAGAACAAAAAATAACAAAAAATAAGATACACACTGCCTTGTTGCATTCCGCGCGGTTGAGCATCACATATGTCGAGGACCAGCGGACTTTCATATCGAGCAGCAACTGCGTTGGTGAAGACACGCCGGCCTTGGTCTGAACAGTCTTATATAGCTCTTTCCGCTTGGCCGACGAACGTTCCTGAATGGGGAACTTCATCAACAATGTCAGGGTTGAATTTGTGACTGACATACCTTGACACAGATACTGCGGATGAGGCCGACTTCGTCCCGGTCATTTGCCTTAGTCGTGTCCAGTTCGTGTGCACGTGGATCGTGAGGGTTATAGTGAGGTGCGATGCTGTATTCACGCAGGAGGGTCTGTGTTCCTAGGTTAATGACATGTGCTAGACAACTATCAAAACGGTTTGAAATTCCATCATTAAAATCGCATAAAGGGACTCACTTTATCTTGCGTGATAGCCATGGAAATTCTTTATTGAACTTCGCCTTGTACAGCTTCGAGAACTCTTGTAGCATAGTGCTATTGTTGCTCGCATTGTCGCATGTGACGTGTCCGAGCTGCCCAATATATACTGAGTACAATAGCACTTAAGAAGTCAAAAATACGGACCTTGTGAGCAACGCCAACACGATCCAATATCTTGAATAAGGCACCACCTAAATGCTTACCATTGTGCGCATTATTCAGCTGTGTAAAGCCAAGCAGCGCGCTTTGAGACTCCCACTGCATCGGATGGTTTTCTTCTATCCAGTGGCCGGTGACGGCGAAGTACCCATTGACATTTTCGGCCTGCCACGCGTCACATGTTATGCTGACAGCTCCGCTAACGGAGGCACTCTGTAATATATACTCGAAGATGAGAAAGTCACAACACTGAAAGGCCTGATGGTACATACATTAAGTTTTGTTTTCAGCCGGGTCAAATGATTCTTGAACATCCTCATGATCTCAGCACGTGTTGCTTTGCGACCTGGAATTTTGACGCCTTGTGTTGCGCGGGAGGCTATGTCAATCATCTCCCTGAACTTCGGGTGTTCAAGGGCCTGGATGAGCTGTCATTATGTCATTAGGATGTAGCTTGATAGCACGGTAGTTACCATGAGACTGACCTGATCTGTTGCGATGAGCCACTCTACAGCTGCTTTCTTAAAAAGCTTATCACTGTAGGGAACTACACGCTCTGAGAGCTTTCTCTCTGTCATGTGCGCGCTGATATTTTGCTGGGCTCGGGCGGCTTTCTCCTTCTCGGCTTTGACATCGCCAGGCAATTTAGAGGCGAATGCATTGTCCTTAGCCCATTCCTGGTATTTTCCCTACAGACGTACAAGATCAGGATGGCTGGAAACAGTCACAATACTTAAGACTTGCCCTGAATTTTGCTTCTGCATGCCGGCGCAGCGTGGTTGTCTCATTCACGATGATACACTGACCCCTAGTGGTGTAGTATGTATCATTAAGACTGTAGTACGAGATCAAATGCAAGAAAACTCACGAGCAGACCTTACATTTACGGTGTTTTTTGACCGTTCCATTAGTGCCAGCACGCTCGAATGGGGTACCGAAAAATTGCTCAATGTCGCGAGTCTTGTCTTCACGCGAGGGAGTGGAATCGGTGACATCCTGCACGTCGATGTCAGCGAGAATTCCATCACCATCAACTTCAGTATCAGGATCTTCCACAGGGGCCTTTCGTCAACGGACTCGTTTGGCTGTTGTCTCTATGTGAGTGAAATGCCTTACATTGGTAGCAGATAGACTCATGTTTTGGGTTTGTCCGTGCATTTTCGCGCTCACCGGCGTCACCAGATTCATCATCGTTGTCGAAATCGTCGTCATCGGCTCATGCCCTTTTGCTGTTGTCAGGCGTGGGTACAGTTAGAGGCTGGATGTCAGGAGGGTTTTGTGTGTCAGGAGGGTGTGGTGAGCTGTGGGTAGTGCTTCGATTGTTAGCGGCGGTCTGCGCAGTCAACTTCGCAGCCTCTGCAGCCCGAAAATCATTGATAACTTTTGTTTGGGATGGGAGGGCGGCCTTCTCAGAATGTTGGAGAAGCGCAGCTGTGGGTTTGATCTTGCGTGCTGGGCGCACTATGCGAGGGTCATCGTCGCTGGACATTGGGCAGTAGGTAAAAATGGTAGATAGTATAAGTGGGGAGACGTACTAGCATATTTCTGAACTTTTTGTCCGACATGGCCATCGTTGGCCCATCAAGGCGGCAACATATGAGAGCTTGCAAAGGAAAGTAAATCCCTGAAAACAGTATAACATAGGGCGACTCACCGGGTCATTCAGACATATTTCGCCAGTCATTCAGACATTTGTTGTGTTATCGTCGTCGTCGAAGCCTAAAAGGATAATGACGGATACAAAAATAAACCTAGAAGATCGATCGATCAAAGGTAAGTGACGTCCGCGGAATGATGACAAAGTGGGAAAGCCGTGGCCTGGGCCGCCGGCTTGGGCTTTCAAACATCTCAAGCCGGGCCAAAGCCGTTTTCAAGCCGTGCGGAGGGCCTGGCTTGGCTCGGCCCATTTAGGCCCGGCTTGGCCCGGCCCACGGCCTGAAGCCGGGCCATGCACATCACTAAGCTGGATAACAGTATGTATCTGATTTATGCCACAGAGCAAGCATAAAGTAATGGTGCAGACCCCCAACAAGATCATACAGTCGGACTCAACGATGCGGACCTTGCAGAGCTCTCATGCAGAAGAAGGCACCAGCCGAAGCATTTAGGCATAGTAGGGGATGTCTGCCGTTATTGTGAGCATTTGTCAACATTCACTCCGCGACTACGTAGTTGACTTCCTATCGACACAGTCCATTCAATTTTAATCGTACAACTTTCCTACATTTGTGACTCCTTCGGTATGAGAATGCACGCGGGATATTCAACAGGAAATGAAAATATGGACGACGAAGGAGTTTCCGACCTCCTCGACGTACTTGACGTCCACCGAAGTTCCTTTTGCGCTCTTCTTCTGGATGTGGTCCAGCTGCTTCCACAGCATCTGGTTCCTGGCACTGGAATCCGAATAGTACTCGGGCTGAATCTTCATGCCCGTGTCTCCAGGCGCGAGGTCAGTGACGATATCGCACCACCTCTTGTAGTTGTGGATGCCTAGCGTCACGAGGAACTCTTCCCCGGTGCCGTTTATGAAGCGGAGCGCACCAGAAGTGCCGCTGCCGCCCATGACGAGGGTCTCGATAGAATCCGTGTTGGACCACGTCCCCCCGTTGGCATAGTGCCACACGGTTTTCTCGACGAGCTTGAAACCGGGGTTGCCGGTGGTGGCGTCGATGATTCGGACTGTGATGGTGTAAGACATTGTTTCTGTATGAGGACGATGTCAGATAGGTTGACTGGCAGATTGTCGCAAGACTGCTTGCTAACCTGGTTGTAAGGATGGGTGGCTGGGGAGAACGGATGCATGACTGGCCATTTATACGTCGAGCCATGCATGGTGCGCGGCGTACACTTGGAGAGTTAGAGCAAGTCACTCGGCTGTTGGTGTAACCGAGGTGTGATGCCAAGTATGTATTGCGGCACGTTCGACATGCTTCCATTCATTCGTGAATATTCATATCAAGTGTTCTGGACTGGCACAACGTTTGACATGCTTCCATTCATTTGTAATGAAATTTCCTTTGACAATTACAACAGTTGGGGATTGTGCGTGAAACCGGGGTTGGCTGATAATACCAATATGGTCTATTTAGCGCCGAACAGATCTTATCGATAAGCATAGTGCATGGTAGAGCTGTGGTTGATTCCTCACAGTGATGTCTCTGGTCGTCGGACTTACTGTCTCTGGACGACAAGCAGAAATCAATCTAGGTACTATCTTACGTCCTCCGTGCAGCGTCGAGGACGCCTGGACCCGTATTGGTTTCTGCAGAGTCGCCAATTATGAGACATGGTCTAACACGGATTCAATTGAGATCCTCGTCGTGAGCGGCAGTGACACGTCTGGTACACATCACATTAGAAGAACTAGCGCTCTGACTCCAGGCTGAGCTGATTCCCCGGATGGCAGGTACACTCCCAGATCAGTGAACAAACGGGATCATCGCAACACATTCAAGTTATCTATGGGCGCGTGCCGGGATTGAGCGTTGGGCGTAAGGAGTTCATCTTGTGTCGATAATGTGGTCCAGAACACCTGATATGAATATTTACGAATGAATGGAAGCATGTCGAACGTGCCGCAATACATACTTGGCATCACACCTCGGTTACACCAACAGCCGAGTGACTTGCTCTAACTCTCCAAGTGTACGCCGCGCACCATGCACGGCTCGACGTATAAATGGCCAGTCATGCATCCGTTCTCCCCAGCCACCCATCCTTACAACCAGGTTAGCAAGCAGTCTTGCGACAATCTGCCAGTCAACCTATCTGACATCGTCCTCATACAGAAACAATGTCTTACACCATCACAGTCCGAATCATCGATGCCACCACCGGCAACCCCGGTTTCAAGCTCGTCGAGAAAACCGTGTGGCACTATGCCAACGGGGGGACGTGGTCCAACACGGATTCTATCGAGACCCTCGTCATGGGCGGCAGCGGCACTTCTGGTGCGCTCCGCTTCATAAACGGCGCCGGGGAAGAGTTCCTCGTGACGCTAGGCATCCACAACTACAAGAGGTGGTGCGATATCGTCACTGACCTCGCGCCCGGAGACACGGGCATGAAGATTCAGCCCGAGTACTACTCGGATTCCAGTGCCAGGAACCAGATGCTGTGGAAGCAGCTGGATCACATCCAGAAGAAGAGCGCAAAAGGAACTTCGGTGGACGTCAAGTACGTCGAGGAGGTCGGAAACTCCTTCGTCGTCCATATTTTCATTTCCTGTTGAATATCCCGCGTACATTCTCATATCGAAGGAGTCACAAGTGTAGGAAAGTTGTACGATTAAAATTGAATGGACTGTGTCGATAAGAAGTGAACTACGTAGTCGCGGAGTGAATGTTAACAAATACTCACAATAACGGCAGACATTCCCTACTATGCCTATATGCTTCGGCTGGTGCCTTCTTCTGCATCACAAAGTTGAGTACAGGCGAGCATATTACGACCAATCAAGATGAGGAAAAAAACGTCAATATCACCAAAACAGCGTCGTCATACAAGTACGGTCGTATCATATCCGGGCGTCAAGATATTATCACTCCCCTGCAAGAAAGTGCGCGAGCATGTATATCGTCGAGCCGAGGAAATGAGCGACTAAAAACGCATCAGTACTAGCGACGACGTGTTGTCAGAAGCGTATACTTACCTGTAAGTCTAACAACTCAGAAGAGAATTAACGTCATATACCCATTCACAGCCGCACTCCTACTCGTCGCCGTCTTGCCATTTGAAAATGTGTAAGCGATCTGCGATCTCGTAAAATACGCGCATGATGGCAGCAGCCGGAAGAGCCTGCAAACCCACCAAGTCAATAAAAATATGTTTGATACTAGCCTGTTCGATATTCACTCACGTTGCTCAAAGTCCAAATTAGCAATATGTTCGTCCTGAAAAATCTTATGGTTTTCTTGCTGCGTTGCTAGATCAGGCTTGGACACCGCCTTGGGTGGGTTTGAGGACAGAAACATGCATAGCATCTTCGCCTGTTAGTGCCCCATGAGACATCATGAATGTTGGCAAACTGTTTTGTGTGAGCGACTGGGAGCTATGCAGAAGAAGGGGGATAAACTGCATAGATTGAGGACCGCGCCATGACCAGATACTGGAAGAAGGAAGTAATCAATGCCATAGCTCACACTTGAACTATCATCAAACTCAAATCATGACCCAGCAAAATCGAGAGCACAATATCCCTAAAGATCAAATTTGAGGATGACCCGAACTCTGTCCCTAGCAGCTTATCCAGAATATTCGACATGTTGTAGTCGAAATTCTGCGCTGCGACGAGTTGGTTGATGAGATATTGTCCACACCCGCCCTTCAGGACGACGATCTCGCCTCCAATATTCGAATCGATGGTCGATGGTCCAAAAAGAAGAAGTGTAGTGAATGACTCAGCTCTGCTGAACAGTTTCGATCCCTCGCATTTTGGAAGCTGCTACTATCATTTTTCAGTGGTGTGCCGTCTCTGATGCATCTAGATTATCACTGCAAATCTGCACGCTGGCGAACGGTAGCGGTCCATCTAGAGAAGCAAGTTCGTATGTTCAAGTATATGCAAGGGTGCATCTCTAGATCAAGCTTGAAATCCTACCGGAAGCGAAACTGTCTGTAACAAGGACAGGGGAAAAATTAAATTTGATTCGTCTTTGAGAGTGTGCTTTAAATCTCTGTCCAGGCAGCAAATTTAACACTTACGTCCGCTGTGATGGAAGCAAATCGAATTTTTATTTGACGATGTCGTATTCGTTGAATGGTCAAGTCTTGTCGATCGATGTACCACCATGGGTGGACCCTACAGCACATCATTGAAAATCACCCTTTCAGTTGTAGCTCATAGAGTATCTCGTCTGAATATAGGACTATTAGATTTGAGTAAAGGGCTAGAAAAGACTTCAACACTTACCAAGAAACTACTACTACATCGATGTGACCTAATAGTAAGCTAAGCTATTTTTATGGTTCGCCTTCTTTCGACTTTCTCTTCAAAGGTCGTGAAGTTACTCCGGAAACGAATTTTGTTGCCAAAGAACAGCCAAGAGCCTCCAAGGACCCGAGAGAGGCTGCGCACTGCGCTTGGCTGGGAAGAGGGGAACCTGAGAAAAGCACAGCCACACTGAACAACAGCCTTCCACAGCGGAACTTCTGGAAGTTTATATTGGATAGATTTGAGATAGAATACTGACCCTTTTTCTTTTGCAAACTCTGACGAGTTCACTCATTCTTTAGGGGACCACTTATCTACACGCGATGTCAAGGTACCACGAGGTGCGTTTATGGTTATCCTCATGGTTAAAGGCGCCTAACGTGTCTGGTCTATGATGAACAGGCCGACGAAGCACAGCGGGGACATTACAATGACGGGTACAACACTTACCCGTCTCAGACACCCAATCCTTACGGAGAGGAAACGTATGACCCGTATGACCCACACCACTACGATCCCCAACATGAACACCAACCCTACGATCCGAACCAACAATATCACCTCCCGGACCCATTCCTTACCCCGCAAGTACCATCAACTCCATTTCCTCCCTCACAATCGCAAGATTTATATCAACAACATCAGCCTTCGCATCAGCCATCGACTGACTATCTAACACCGCACGCTGGCTATAGCCTTTCCGACAACCCACAGCCCACTAATACACGCCCGCAGTCGCAGTTCGGTCTGGATTATGAGATGGTAGAGCATGAGGATAATGATCTGGGAGATATGCCACTGCTGCGACGGAATGGAGCAGCACCCATGCCTGGAGGTTACCAGGATACTGATGATCGCTCGGAAACTAACATTCGCTATGGACACATACCACAGCGCGTACCCCGGCGATACAAGACAATCAAGAAGGTAGAGTGAGTATTACTTTTTTTATCCAATCTTCTTTCATGCTCACAACGTACAGACTCTTCCATGGTAACTTTGTGCTCGACTCCGCAGTACCAACAAAACTGCTGGACATGTGCGCGTTGCGTAACGAACGCGAGTTTACCCACATGCGGTACTCTGCAGCTACATGCGACCCGAACGACTTTGAGAAATCGGGGTTCACCCTCCGCCAGGGCCATTACGATCCTCCACGGCGAACCGAGCTTTTCATCGTCATGACAATGTATAATGAAGACGAGGAGCTATTTTGTCGTTCAATGCATGGTGTCATTAAGAATATCGCACATTTGTGCAAACGGGATCGCAGCAAAACGTGGGGAAAAGAGGGTTGGAAGAAGGTTGTAGTCTGTATCGTTAGTGATGGGCGGCAGAAGATCAATTCCCGGACGCTGAGTGTAATTGCTGCCATGGGTGCATATCAAGACGGCATTGCAAAGGTACGCTTCAATTCTGGCAAATAGTCCTGTTGTTGATGATAGAGAAGAATATCGTCAATGGAAAACCTGTCACAGCACACATATACGAGTATACCACGCAAAGTTTGTCTCCACATTATTGACCTGTTTTAAATCCTAACGCGATCACAGTATCTGTCTCTCCTTCCATGAAGATAGAAGGCGCCGAGAAAGGTGTCGTCCCCGTACAAATCATCTTCTGCCTCAAGGAGAAGAATCAAAAGAAGATCAACTCCCATCGCTGGTTCTTCAATGCCTTCGGTCCATTACTACAGCCAAATGTGTGCGTTCTCCTTGACGTCGGTACCATGCCCGGCCCCACCTCAATCTACCACCTGTGGAAAGCCTTCGACATCAATTCAAACGTTGGTGGCGCATGCGGCGAAATCGTCGCCTTGAAGGGCAAGTACGGACAATATCTTCTCAACCCACTCGTCGCAGCGCAGAACTTCGAATACAAGATGTCGAATATTCTGGATAAGCCGCTAGAGAGTGTGTTCGGGTACATCACCGTGTTGCCTGGCGCGTTTAGCGCATACAGGTATATTGCCCTGCAGAATGACCAGTTGGGGGAGGGCCCGCTGCAGAAGTACTTTTTGGGTGAGAAGATGCATGGCGCAGGTGCAGACATCTTCACGGCGAACATGTATCTTGCCGAGGATCGGGTGGGTGTCACGTAGAACAAGATGATGTATTGGCTGACGCTTGTTCAGATATTATGCTGGGAGCTGGTCTCAAAGCGCGGGGCATCGTGGATTCTACACTACGTCAAGTCTGCTTATGCAGTGACTGATGTTCCAGACCAGGTCAATCTGAGCGATCAAAGTCCTCATGCGGTGCACGCTGACCCTTTCCAACAGGTTCCCGAGTTAATTTCTCAAAGACGTCGCTGGCTTAACGGCTCCTTCTTTGCCGCCATACACTCTACAGTTCATTTCCACTACTTGTATCGTTCCTCGCATACATTCATGCGCAAGTTTTGGATTCACATTGAGATGTTTTATCAACTGTACAACCTCATTTTTTCCTGGTTTTCCCTAGTAAGCTCCCTTTCTACCATTCTCTACCCCCACCATAATGACGCTCATGTGCATTAGGGTAACTACTACATCGCATTCATCATTCTCTCCCAAGCGCTCGAGTCCTACGTTCCTCAAATCCACATCCTTAACCTCCTCCTCAACTACTTTTATCTTGGGCTGCTCATTATGTGCTTCCTCCTCTCACTTGGCAACCGGCCGCAAGGCGCAAAATGGGGCTACACTCTCGCCTTCATCGGGTTTGGCGTAATCACGATTTATATGACTGTCTCGGCGTTGTTGCTTGCTTACAAGGCCATCGAAAGCGTTGCTCAGACCGAAGGACGCGCAATCCAGGCTAGCGATCTATTCTCGAATGCGATCTTTAGAGATGTCGTGCTTTCGTTGGCAGCTACGCTGGGGTTGTATATCGTTGCCTCACTGATCTTCGTGGGTCATCATTTGCTTTTTATCTTGCGTATAATGTATTGATCATCGTCAAAGTTTGAGCCATGGCATATGATTACTTCTTTCGTTCAATATCTCCTCATGGCGCCGTCGTATATCGCGGTCCTGAACGTCTATGCAGTACGTCCGTCTTTTACGCACAGCTCCTAGTCGCTCACAAAGTTTTCAGTTTGCTAACGTACATGATGTCTCATGGGGAACGAAGGGCGATAACAAGGTCTCCACTGATCTCGGTGTCGTCAGCGCGGGCAAGGGTGACAACAAGAATGAAGTCGAGGTGGCAGTACCCACAGCTGAGACAGATATCAATGCAGCATATGAAGATGCTATCCATGTCCTGTCCTCGAAACCACCCAAGGAGGAGTCCAAACCCGATCCAGCAACGCAGCAAGAAGACTATTATAAGACCTTCCGGACGAACGTATTGCTAGTCTGGACTTTGAGCAACGTAAGTGATCATCGAATAGGTTCGTGTTAGAACAATTTTTATTAACGTGGTGGGTTTACAGGCTCTTCTAGCTGCTGCTATAATGTGAGTATTTTAAGAGATTGCATATGGACGCTAGCTTATAAATGGCAGAACGGCGACGAGTGGGACTGGAAGTGCGGCTGTGAACGGGTACATGGCGTTCATCCTCTTCTCAGTTGCTGGACTTGCATGTAAGTAGAAGCTTCTGACAATACGTGATCGTTAGTACTCATGCCTTTCGTTCTTTAGTTGTTCGTTTCCTCGGCTCGACAACATACATGCTCGTGCGCTTGTTTGCAGGGGAGTGATGGTCTCTTGAAGCACGGCATGATACGATTCAATACGATATGGACTTGTATGAAGACAATTATATATGTTGTCGATATTAGAGAATTGACACTCTGTATCCGATACTGTCACGTGCACGTTCCTCAGTACCGTGCGATTCCAAGCTGGAGTCTCATAATATTGACTTCACCTTGACATGCTTGACACAGTACATCCAATTCCACAAAACTCCTTTGGTATGACCGTATGAGAGCGTATCCATGAGATACTCAAGAAGAAATTGTAAATATGGACGACCATTTTCAAACCCGTATCTCCCGCGCGAGGCCAGCGACGGCGTCGCATTCACTTTTTTTCGACAACCGTGAAACCAGGGTTGGCTGCGGCGGTTCTTACTGCAGTGTTGTAAGTCATTGTTTTTATGAGGGTAATGTCAGACAACGTTGATTGGCAGAATCAAGCATGGTTTTTAGCTCACCTGATTGCAGGATGAGTGGGCTGTAGATAACGGTATACGCTGCAGGTCTTTTATACGGCGAGCACTACTCTGCGATTCCACAGGATAATTACATTGAGCAAGCCCCCCTGGATATTGGTCTCCCCGCTGTGTGTCATGCCAAGTGTTGTGGCCTCATGATTGTGGTGCGGGCCCTGTACGTACCTTTTGACCGTGACAGACCTCCATTCATTCATCCATACAACATCGTGATTGCGTGCTTCTTCAACCTTTTTCTGGCGGGTGAAATGCTTATCATTTTCATCATTCATAATTTTGGGCAACGCCCGGGGATTTCTGTCTTCTTCTTTCCCAACGGAAATGAACGAATGTGTCCCAGTTCTGGCCTTCATGAGGGAACTTGAATGTCTTTTCTCTGTTTTTCTACCTACTTGCAGAAGACTCGTGACCTGTTTTCAAATTAGCCCAAGGCTTTCCTTCAGTATCACTGCCTTTTGGCGTAACGCTTAAGCGGACGACAGTCTGACCCAGATCTTACAAGCGCTAATTTTTGACAAAGACTGCAAGGTTGAAGCATTCTATCTTTATGGCGGTACCACAACGGGTATGCACCTCTTCTGATTTTAGCTGAGGCGTGTACATACATGTGCATGTATTAATTAGAAACAGAGCAGGTAGCAACGCATTCTCACTTTCAGATTTGGACCGCGATCAAACGGACGAGCGAATGCAGCGTTCGAGGACGTAAGATAGCGCCTAGGTCAACTCAATGGGGATTAATTTCCGCTTGTCATCCGGAGAAGACAGACTGGTGACCTGGCCGTACCATGGGGCAAGCGCGCATGAGGTCAGACTTCAAACTCCATCCGTTAGAACTCAGGACCCACATATTTCTTCTCTTCTCCCTGTGTTCAATCCCACCACTGGAAATTTACGGTATCCGAGTCGTAACTCTACGGGAGTGAAATTATAATTTAGATCTAACTTCCAGCGTTAAAGCCCTGCCGTCAGCGAAGTTATAGTACGTATGTCTCCAATACTGGCGGAGAGATAAACCATCATAACGGTATCCGCGAAATGGGGTTACGTACGAGCACGTTCTCATCACTTTCAGGCGTCTATCAGACTATAGACAGCGAGAGCGATCAGCTTCGACCATTTGTCTGATCAATCTTGCGTTCCATGTCAGACGGGTGAGTGCTATGGCCCGGGGGACCACAGCATCCAGCTACACTTTAGCCGCACCAGAGGATTCCAATGGCTAGAACAACAAGAAAACACAGTACGCGAGGTAATCTCATCACGTCTGTTCTAACTTCTCAGCGCTTTCAGACGGGCGAATGCCATTGGAGGGGCTACAGGCGAGAACTCAGTCTGGCTGTGACAGCATGATATCGAAGGACTTCATAATAGAATATCAGCATACATAAAATCTGTTTTACTGGGAAAATTGACGATTAGCTGATGGTAAATTCTGTAAACGCTATGTAATATCACCGTTACATCCGCTCTACTGTCCCTGTAACATGATCTGTTGGACATGTGAGCAGCAGACCTTCTCATTAAACAAGTTACTCACATAATTACGGATGTCTTTTCAAGAAGCTTGAGAACGACGACCATGCCATCATCTCTTTGTATGTGGCATCAGACGAGTCATGGTTGTTGATCATGGCTTCGACTAGTGAAAAGTCCCCCAGGTTGATGTCCGGTATATAGTGCTTGCACTGCTGGTTTTGCATGCTGTCTTCGTGCGACTGAAGGCTCTCTTGATCCGAGAGGGTCGGAGGCATACTAAGGCGGTTGTGCGAACAGTTGGACTGGGGTAAATCGTAAGAAGCACGAGCAATGTTCGTGATGAAAGGTGAATTGGCTTGATATGCGAAGTATGGCGACGTGGAAGATGGGAGCTTGCATACAGAGACTGAGTATCGGAAGTGGTATTCAGCAGAGAATATAAGAATAGGGCGCGGACGACCTGAGGAACTTCCAAGGGGTGCTGGGTGGTACACATCCTGAATGATAGTGTATATAGTGGGATCTTGAGGAACTGATTATATACCTGTAGCACGTCGAGGTCAGAAAGTACGGACCTGGGGATTTGCACAAGATCTCCCAGTACTTGGGAACTAAGGCTGTGCTGTAGAGCAATGGACCGCCATCGGATGGGTTTATAGAATTGGTGAAATATGGTCCAATGCATTCGAGTTTTGTGTCCTCACTGTGTATGGGCGCGCCATCCAATAATATTATATAGGATGACTTGCCGATGATGACAGAGGGCGAGACGAAGGTTACTGTGGGATCAATATCCCTCATGCGACGCGGCGCATTCGAGGAGGGGTGAAATGCAGTAGCAGCTCGAGGAGACTTTAATAGAGAAGATGGTGGTGCACGTGAACGTGAGGATAAGCTCGGCCATGAGCTGAGCTCTGGCAAAATGTCAATGTACACCGGAGTACGTGTGTCAGGAAGTTGGTTATGTTTAGACGACGGCATGGCTTGGCTATATTGTGAGGAGGATATGTGGAGGACTGAGTAGGGAGATGAACTATTGAGTCGTGAGGCAACAGATGTTTATCTCCATAAGTGATGAGGACAAAACCTCCGCTACCCGGCTTCACTCTGCGAAAGATATAATACGCGTGATAACTCAATCACTTCCTAAGTTAAATGAAACCGTCTCAATAAACGCGCAAATGGCAGCCGTCGGAGCAGATAACACTGTACTCACCCCCTGTCCGAATCAGGTGTTCCTGAGTTGTTGTGGATGACTACCTATTTATTTCGATGATCTGCGCTTTCCTGCCTGGTGGAAAATGCACTCTGGGGACTCGCTACTCATCCCGAGATAATTTCCAAAGCCCTGACGCGGACTCGCTTAGTCTACTCCCAGGATACCAACCTGCATCCAACTTGTCCCATAGGCCCTGTACGTATACAGTGTAACATGTTGCAATCTATTGCGAATTGGTGTTCTTTATCTGATTCAGCGAAGTTAAGAATAACCTCGCGGACCTCATGACAAAGTTGCCTGTGTTCTTTAGAGTCTAGGCAGTCGATTTCTTCGTACTTCTCTTCTGGAATTCTTCTGTATCAGCATGTGTTAACTTGTTGGGCATTTTAGGCGCGAAGGGACAAGCGACAAAGAATGGCGAGACCTGAGGCAGGACGTGTGAAGTCCGCTCGATGGATTTTAATCAGGAATGGTGCATGCCTCGCTACCATATGTTCGGCACCAAATGACCAAACTACGCAGTTTTGGAACTCGAAAACATAGATATGTCGCGATAGCGTGCAGACCAACTGCTTGCGTCGTATCCCGGACTCTGGAATATGTTCGGATCTTTCCATGCCAGGCTTCAGACGATGACATACCAACAAGATCAACTATTCAACGTTAAAGATGTGAGCATTGTTGCAATCTGTCATTTGAACGGGAGGCTCACCTATTACTCACAGCGAGTTTGAGAGCACAAGCTGCCTCTACACTTCCTCCTACACACTGGATCTTGGCTCTGCTACCACTAGCGAGGTTCAATCGCTCGTCGACCCCGGCAAAATACACCCCGGCAAGGACTTCAAAACTTGTGACCGCGCATTTTCCAACAAGGTCTTCGGCTGATTTGGACGGCCTATTTTCTGGAGTTGAGACTCGCAGAACATTCTCCAAACCCGGCCGATGAATCTCGGTAGACCGATCCTGCGTTTCGGCTTCGTGTTTTGTAATGCCCGATGTCGCCGTTTCCGACGAATGATGGCATGTCTGTTGCTGCTGGGGATACGCTGCACAAGGTCAGATCGATGAGATATAAGATCGTAGCTGGAGTTTTACAGATCTATTGGTCGATTCATCACTAGGCAGACGTCAAGCCTGTTGGGTCTCTGGAATTGAATTCCGGCGCCTGTGTTTGGTTTGGCTATCGCAGGGTTTGTAAGAGAGGAAATTGAAGAGGTAAGGACTTGCTGTATGGTGCAATCGTAGCAAGTGCATGATGGCAATGGAGCACGAGGATGAAGCTGGACGGCACATTAGATATGGGAAAGAGAGTGCCTGGTGAAGGAGCATTATATAAACAGTCGAGAGATTGTAGAAGATGCGCTGGTCTAGAGGAAGGTGTGGAAGTCCTGTTTCCATGTTTATTTTTTGACTCGTCAGCCAAGTTATTACAGCAGATACAAAATAACCCTACCTCGTTCACTCGAGCGCCTGTGCACGCAGCAAAGACAGCTAATGTGGTACTGACGTTGAAAGTCTCTCCTTCAGTTCCAACGATGTCGACAACAAAATCCGTGTCTCCATCTTCGATGACTACTTGTGACTCAAACGTGTGGGCCGTTGGGACTTCAAGCTTCAGCAGCCATAACGAGGGATTGTGGGATTCCGGGTGCCTTTTCCACTCTTCATATATGTAGGGCAACAAGGAATGCACCTATTTGTGCGGTACAGGCAGCATCTGGGGTGAAAAGGCGATGAAGTGCGAGTTTGAGGTCTTCCGGAGTGAAATACTCGGCAGTCTTGTTTTCCTTTTGAAGAAATTGAGTGTAGGGCCTTTTGAATTGCATGGGGTATGTAGTCGTATTGCAGCGACCAGCCCGAGCTTGCATGCTGATCAGTGGACCCGGTTTGAACTTGAGGGTATCGTGGTACCATCTGCTGTGGTGCCACAGTTACTGTAGTACTCTGTTTGGGGCCAGGTGAAATTGACGCGGTCCTGTGAGGTTCAAACAACATTCTTATGTCGCTCGAAAACTAAATTCCAAACACTTTGAATATCCTCGTTAATGATCAGCATGTGAGTGTCCGTCTGCGCACAGGCCCTAGACTGCTGTTTTCAGTTCTCACCATATTTACAGTACTTGTCCTCTGGCCGTACACTCACCTGTGCCGCGTCAAGGCCCGCTTCATGCCGCGTCAATCATAGACCATGCCGCGTCAAATAAGTTGTGCCGCGTCAATGCCTCGTCAATGCCGCGTCACATGCGCGTCATGCCGCGTCAAACCTCATATATGCCGCGTCAGTGCCGCGGCACAGCCTCGTCGCAGCTACCCTTCACACAAGTTTGACACTCTGGCTGAGATATGGACCACCGAGGGTTCTCGAGCAGCCAACTTTGTCTATCTAGCCTTGGGCGGGGTGGGGCTGCTACCATGGCAAACCGCGAGTTCTTCAAGTTGTTAGTTCCGCCACTTTCCAATCACGTTGCCCCTGCTGTATAATTCTGATGTCCATGAATTAATCTACAGGAGCCACGTGCGTGCCGTGCTTCCCCTTTTGTGGTCCGTCGGGACAGGCGCTGCAGTGTTTCGTGACCTCCAGCACACATCTTACTTAGTCGTATCTATTGCTCAGTCAGTTGCAACCTCTAGGCTCTAATTACCACCCTTGAAACTGGCTATCCACGTCATCGCGAGGTTCTCGCGAGACAAAGTTACCACTGTTCCGATGGTGAAATCCTTATTTTGTGGCACCGTATGCGCTGACTCTCGCACCCGTCATGATCATCGTCATGATCATTAGTCAAGAGAAGTACCGGAACTAAATTTCGGGCGAGGCGAACCTAAAGTCAGAGGCAACACAAGACATGAAAAACACACGCAATATTGTTTCTATTGCCTTATAAAGTTCGCATACGTTGGGTGTGCTATCGACCATCGGGAACGCTAAGTATGTAGCAATGGCTGACCCACCAGATATGAATCCACCCTCAGAGGACACGTTCTAGAGAGTTCTAGAGCAGGAGGACATCCAAAAATAGTAACCAGGCAACAAATTTCCTTCTTCCGGGGCTGACAAGTGACTTCACATTTAATGCTGGAAGCACCCGCTTGGATTTGTAGTTGCGCTCCACTCGTTGCGCTCCAGGTAAATTTGACACATAATCGATCCCCGAATTTATCATTCAATTTTCACACCTGGGAGTTTTGTTGCGGTAGAGGTATTAATGCTCAGGTATTTAAGGTGACTCGTCGCAAGATCAAAAGGAAAATCAACGGCGTACCATGAGCTTGTTCAAGATCCCCTTCATCGTAGGTTTGGCTATTGGCGTCTATGTTTCTTTCACTTCTTCTGCTCCGCCACCGTCACCTGGCGAGTTCGTGGAACCCCCCGCGTTCGAAACTTTCATGACATGGCCTCTGAGACGTCTGGGACGTCTGGGCATAGATACGAAGAAGGTGTGTTGCTCCTATATATTGGTCGTTGTCTATATTCATCGGTGGACGATATAACAGGTCTTCGTGTGGGCAGCATCGTTCGCTGAAGTGGCCAGTATCTTGGCCACGCATATAAATTCATCGCAACTTCCAGAGGGCACCTATGGCGCCAGAGCCTTGCAGCTTCTATGCTCTCTTCACCCTACGCCAATCACCCCCGCTTTCATTGCTGGTAGCCTTGCCTTCATAATCGGGGGCGTGATAAGGCGTCATTGCGTGGTGACACTAGGGAAGCACTGGAGCTGGCCAATCAGCGTCAGAAAAGATCACACACTTGTGACAAATGGACCGTACTCGTTCGTCCGCCACCCAAGCTACACGGGTTTCATTCTCCAATATATAGGGCTCGTCGTCATGTATGGACACCGGGAATCGTGGTTGAGGCAGTCTGGGTTTTTACAAGTGCCTTTCGTAAAAGTTATAACAGCAACGGGTTTCTACGCGTTTACTCTAGGTACTTTCATTTGTATCATTCGACCTGCAGTGGAGGACAAGATGCTCCGGAGTGCGCTGGGCAAAGAATGGGAGGATTGGGCGAAGAGGGTGAAGTACCGATTGCTTCCTGGGGTTTATTGATCATACATATATGTTGAGTGCTGTGTATATTTGGCAAGTCGTTGGGCCCGACACGCCATGACGTAGCGCTATATTTCTCGGTTCACTTGATGTTTGTGGTGTCTGCGGATTGGTAAGTGGCCTATTGTACATCATCCTATATCAAAATATAGCCTACGATAATAGTTGAATACATGCTGAACGTTGACCATGTAATTCGGAGAATGATACGAACTGCCGCTAAGAAGCACTTCTGACCCTAGCACACTCAAATCCCGATCGTTATCCACTCATCCGCGGCCCTCACAGCGGAAACTTGACACCTATGGATATTAAATAGATCAAGGCCAGCCAACCACACCTCCCACCCACAACAAGAAAAAAAAGACATTTCCATAAGTTAAGCACCTCCCAAACCCGACCAAATCACCCAGACCAGTCACGTTGTTAGTCCAATGTTACTCCACAAGCGACGCCGAGTAAGCTATAGGGTCCGCCATGACTATATCAGACAACAAAGTCATTCCAAGGGCGTCAGAGACGTGTGCATTCCGGTCTATCTGCCAGAGATGGAGGTGCATGCGCGTGGCGAGGATTGTAAGGAAAAAGCACTCGAAACTGTACGCGTGTTTTTTGGGGGTGTTGTTAGCAGAGATTCGCAGCAGAATTTAGAGGTGCGTACTCTTCGAGGAGGGAGTGATATGGGGACTAGGTGTGCAGAACATCAATGACTCGACCATACAGGGTAATCGGGGATTCACGCACGTCGTAGAACAACATTATTATGAGGAAATTGACGGCTGAAAGAACTTTGGAACAAGAATCATTACCGATGAGCACAAAAACATGTATATGTTCTGACTCACCCAGACCAGATGCATAGTAGAATATGTTATGCTTGACCAGGATGGCGTACATAGGGCCGGTGTTCGTCCGCCAGCTCTGTATGACACGTATGAGCGTGAGGGAGATGAGTCCTGGGGAAACACCAATCAACATGTCATCTTTGTTTTTGGTTTCCGGAAACAAACCTAGTTGGAATACAAACAATTGAACAAATTGTATGAAGCTGAGGTTGGTCGAGGTCCGATAGCAACCTAAGATTCCTGGGATTGCGCTTGTCACAACTGTGAAAATGGAGTGAGCATGTGCGAATAGTGACCGGGGGAGGTGAAGCGCAAACCGTGTGATGTGCCAACGGTGATGAAACCAATGATGATGGAAGCAACCACAGCAGCCTGAATAGTGTATTTACCAAGAGCCTTGGGTGTGGAGAGAGTGAGGGGACTCACGAGAAAGGCGGACAACATGACTGCGAGTACGATTCTATTGCTGTTCCAGAGCGCATATGTTCTAAGCACAAAAAACACTAGATGGATCAGACCAGGAGCAGATTTACTTTGCAAGGGAAGATATACATTCAGAACAACCGATCGATATCGTACTGAAAGCTGTGGGAGCAAAGACCAGCACTCAGCAAGGCCGTTCATGCAGCATGCACCGTGTACGCACATGAGTAAATAGAGAACGATATCCGGCATTTCTGTGAAGTCATGCGGTATGTAAGCGTCATTCATTAGTGGGTAAGTTCCTACATATTCATCGAGTTTCTCGCTCGGCGTGAAGTGCACTGAAGCCCATTATGTTAATTCACCATCGGGAAGACGTGTGCTAGAGCCAAACGCACTATATAGCTCAGTGATGAGGAGCAAAAAGGGGGCATGTCGTGTAATGGCATAAAGGCTTTTTACCTTGGTCCAGCGCGACTCCAGGAGGAATGTCCACTTTGAAAAACATATATCATAGCTGAGGCTATTAGAAACAAATGCATTACCTCTGTGTGTAGTGAACAAGCGTAATCATAGGTCTGGATCCACGAATTCAATGGCGGATATGAATAGATCTGGACATGCCTACCCAGAATGCCACCATCGACGCTGAGCTGCCAAGTTAGCACCAGGAAGAAGCTGTTCAGAAAACCATGCGCACTAGCTAGGTACTGGTGGTGCGTGGTATATCTTTTATCATCTTGTCCTCATATGATCAAGGAAGCGACGCACTGTTAAGAACTGCAGATTCCTGGCTGCTGCGATGTCGTCAGCCGAATACTCCATCTGCATTCGTTCAAGAGGTATCAAAAAAAATCAAAACGGGCTTTCACGGACACCTGACGCACGCACCTTCTTATATCTTGCGAGCATGAGCTGCGAACCACATCAAGATATGGGCATAACTGGAATTTGTATTGTGGCGATACCATTCAGCCTGATATTGCGGGCTTAATGAGCAAGGAGATCATGATCACTGGTCGCATTTCGGCGTTTCACTGCCCACCGAAGTGTCTTAGTGATTACATAATTACTAAAAGTAGCTCAAGCTGCTTCGAGCAGCGGTGAAATTTGCTGCCACTGCTGTGGCAACTGCCACGATCACTGCGGCGGCGGTGCTCACAAACGCTGAGTGCGCATCCACTAGGGTACGAGGATGAGATGGAACAGGAGGAGAGGGCGGATGCAAATAGGTAGAGGGAGGAGGCACAGAAGGAGGAAGGACAGGAAGTTGTCATATTCAACACCCAACTCGGACGTCGACTCACGAACCTATGATAATAGTTCATTCAACACTGATCACGATTTGGCTTTCAGTGCTGCAGCTCAAGACACCAAGTACCGAGTGAGCTTATATCAATGGTGTGGAGTCCTTCAACTGGCGCTGATGAATACACCATACATGTCATTGCAGATCCCAGAGCATCTGGCCAGCAACAATTGAGCGACAAGCCCTTGGCCCTTGGCACCCTCCACATTCCCTCATTCCCTGCTGGCTTCCAAATTATCAATTTGTGCAGTTGCATGCACATCATTCCAATCTCAGCCTCGGAGGACGGTCTGCTTCGTTATCCTGTGCCCCTCTGACAGAAACTCTCGTGGATGATAAATATCACGAAGTCACTCCGACTGTCGAGGCTCGACTTCTCATTATATCCTATCACTTGAATCAAGCCTCCTGTGACATCACTCATCTCATCAATCACTTCCCCGTATCGCCACTTCTTCCAAGAGAAGCCGGTTTTGTCGTGAATTGCTTCTTCAGTTGATGAGACACGAGTTTGCCGCGATTCCACAAATTATTTTGGATGCACGGCCTTTCTCAGAGCTTCTAACCTGGTCGTTTTCTCACATTTGTATTTGGGAAGTCATCGATTCATTGAATTTGAAAATTGAATGCTCCGCCTCAGGGATGGAGCTCACAAGAAACAAGCACCGCGTAAAACCGCAGAATGAAATTGTCCTTTTCACTCATTATTTACAAATAATATGGGGATCCTGAACATCCTCACACCGTCATGTTGTTCTGGGGCGCTTATATTCGGACCGCGTGTACCACACAGTGCGCTATTTATCACTCATTTTCCTTCCCTTGTACATCACAGACTCATCATGCTTCAGGCAGTCTAGAATGTCCAATAACAGCCGAATTCAAGTTAACGGCAATACACCACAAGACACGGAGTGTATAAATCAACGGGAGGAACTAACACCGTTCAACACGCATGGAGATGGATCTCGCGTTCGAATGTTGTGAGCTCGAGGATTGATGATATTTGTTTTATCTCATCTAAATTTAGTTAACGTGGCAGGGATGTGGTTAGTAGGATTGCAGCAGTTTTTCCTTAGGATAACAGATTCACACTCAATTCTTCTCCACAACAATCTCCGATGGGGAGTGTAGGTTGGAAAACACCGTGCAAATCCTTATCATTATCCACTCATTTGGCACCGCTCACAGCGGAAGCTCGAGACCTGCTTAATGTCAATGTTAAACAGACCAAGGCCCGCCCAAACTAGTACTCACCTCCCGTCTGCGATCGAAAATGAAGTCCTATATAGGTTGAGCGCATCCCCGAACCCGGCTGGTGAACATATCTCGTTCAGTCACCTCATTACACAAACGACACCAAATCAGCCACGAGACGTTACGCCGTACGATCCGCCACGGACAATGTTACCCTGTAGGAGCAAAACACCTCCATTAGCCTCAAGAACAGTGATATCTATCCACGGCCCTCACAGTGGAAACTCAACACCTATGTATGTTAAATAGATTAAAGCCAACCAAACGCACCTTCCGCCCATGGTAAGAAAGACCTTCCCATCTGTTAAACACCTCTCAAACCCGACCAAGCAACCCAGAGCAGTCATCTCTGTTGAGAGTACGCCTGACCACCAGGGCGTCACGACAAAGTGACATATATAGATCCAAGACATTCACAGTACCTAGCTCATTTTCTCGTTCCGTTTTTGCATTATATATATTAGACGTGTACTATCTAGGTTGGCAGTACTAACCATAATGGTTGAATACATGCTGAATGTTGACTGTGTTTTTGGAAAATGATACACTGCCGCCAGGCAGCACTTCTGACGCTAGCGCACTGAAATGCCAAACGTTACCTACTCATCCGTGGCTCCCACAGCGGAAACTCGATACTATAGATGTTAAATAAATCAAGGCTAACCAAACGCACCTCCCGCCTACTGACGACAATAAATACATTCCCATAAGTTAAGCGCCTTCCAAACCCGATCAAGCCACCCAGGCCAGTCATCTCGTTCAGTCCAAATTTCGCTCCACAAACGACGCCGGATAAGCCATAGGGTCCGCGGGGAACATATCAGACAAACAAATCATCCCAAGGGCATCAGAGCCGTGTGCATCCCGGTCGATCTGCCAAAGAAGGAGGTACATGCGCGTGGCGAGGATCGCAAGGACAAAGCACTCGAAACTGTACGTGTGTTTTTGGGGGGTGTTGTTAGCAGGAATTCACAGCAGAATTTAGAGGTGCATACTCTTCGATGATGGAGTGATATGCAGACTAAGTGTGCAGAACATCAATGACTCGACCATACAGGGTAATCGGGAGTTCACGCACGTCGTAGAACAACATAAGGAAATTGACGGCTGAAAGAACTTTTCAAGCAAGAATCATCATCGATGAGCATAAAAATATGTATATGTCCTGACTCACACAGACCGGATGCATAATAGAATATGTTATGCTTGACCAGGATGGCGTACAGAGGGCCGTTGTTCGTCCGCCAGCTCTGTATGACACGTATGAGCGTGAGGGAGATGAGTCCTGGGGAAACACCAATCAGCATGTCATCTTTATATGCATGTTTTTGATTTCTGGCAACAAACCTAGTTGAAATGCAAACAAGAGAAGAAATTGTATGAAGCTGAGGTTGGTCGAGGTCCGGTAGCAGCCTGTGATACCTGGGATTGCGCTGGTCACAACTGTGAAAATGGAGTGAGCATGTGCGAATAGTGACCGGGGGAGGTGAAGCGCAAACCGTGTGATGTGCCAACGGTGATGAAACCAATGACGATGCATGCAGCCACAGCAGCCTGAATAGTGTATTTACCAAGAGCCTTGGGTGTGGAGAGAGTGAGGGGACTCACGAGAAAGGCGGACAACATGACTGCTAGTACGATTCTATTGTTGTTCCAGAGCGCATATGTTCTAAGCACAAAAAACACTAGATGGATCAGACCAGGAGCAGATTTACTTTGCAAGGGAAGATATACATTCAGAACAACCGATCGATATCGTACTGAAAGCTGTGGGAGAAAAGACCAGCACTCAGCAAGGCCGTTCATGCAGCATGTACTGTGTACGCACATGTGTGAAGAGTGAACGATATTCCGCATTTCTGTGAAGGCATGCGGTATGTAAGCGTTCATTCATTAGTGGGTAAGTCCCCACATATTCATCGAGTTTCTCGCTCGGCGTGAAGTGCACTGAAGCCCATTATGTTAATTCACCATCGGGAAGACGGGTGCTGGAACCAAACGCACGATATAGCTCAGTGAGGAGGAAGAAAAAGGGGGAATGTCGTGTAATGACGTAAAGACCTTTTGCCTTGGTCCAGCGCGACTCCAGGAGGAATGTCCACTTTGAAAAACATATATCATGACTGAGGCTATTAGAAACAAATGCATTACCTCTGTGTGTAGTGAACAAGCGTAATCATAGGTCTGGATCCACGAATTCAATGGTGGATATGAATAGATCTGGCCGTGCCTACCCAAAATGCCACCATCGACGCTGAGCTGCCGAGTTAGCACCAGGAAGAAGCTATTCAGAAAACCATGCGCACTGGCTAGGTACTGGTGGTGCGTGGTATATCTGTTATTATCTTGTCCTCATACGATTAAAAAAGGCGACGTACTGTTAAGGACTGCAGATTCTTGGCTGCTGCGATGTCATCAGCCGAATACTCCATTTGCATTCGTTCAAGAGGTATCAAAAAAAATCAAAACGGGCTTTCACGGACACCTGACGCACGCACCTTCTTATATCTTGTGAGCATGAGCTGCGAACCACATCAAGATGTGGGCATAACTAGAATTTGTATTAGTGGCGATACCCATCAGATTGCGGGCTTAATGAGCAAGGAGATCATGATCTCTGGTCGCATTTCGGTGTTTCACTGCCCACCGAAGTGTCTTGGTGATTACATAATTACTAACAGTCTACTACTTAGCTTGTTTCGGGCAGCGTGAAATTTGCTCCGCCACTGCTGTGGCAACTGCCACGATCACTGCTGTGACAATGCTCACAAACGCTGAGTGCGCATCCACTAGGGTATAAGGAAGAGACGGAGGAAGAGGAGGAGAGGGCGGAGGCAGATAGGTAGAGGGAGGAGGTACGGTACAGATCGGAGGAGGAGAGTGGATGTCAATTGTCATATTATGTAACACCCAATTCGGACGTCGACTCACGAACCTATGTTAATACTATACTACTAGGTTCGTTCAACACATCACGATTTGGCTTTCAGTGCTGCAGCTCAAGACACCAAGTACCGAGTGAGCTTATTTAATATGAAGTCCTTCAACTGGCGCTGATGAATACACCATGCATGTCATTGCAGATCCCAGAGCATCTGGCCAGCAACAATTGAGCGACAAGCCCTTGGCCCTTGGCACCCTCCACATTCCCTCATTCCCTGCTGGCTTCCAAATCATCAATTTGTGCAGTTGCATGCACATCATTCCGATCTCAGCCTCGGAGGACGGTCTGCTTCGTTATACTGTGCCCCTCTGACAGAAACTCTCGGGGATGATAAATATCACGAAGTCACTCCGACTGTCGAGGCTCGACTTCTCATTATATCCTATCACTTGAATCAAGCCTCCTGTGACATCACTCATCTCATCAATCACTTCCCCGTATCGCCTCTTCTTCCAAGAGGAGCCGGTTTCGTCGTGAATTGCTTCTTCAGTTGATGAGATACGAGTTTGCCGCGACTTCACAAATTATTTTGGATGCACGGCTTTTCTTAGAGCTTCTAACCTGGTCGTGTTCTCACATTTGTATGTGGGAAGTCGTCGATTCATCATCAAGTTTTGAATTTGAAAATTGAATGCTCCGCCTCAGGGATGGAGCTCAGCGCTCTAAGGCCCAGTACAAATCATTCATCATGAACATCGAGAAAAACGATCTCCGATGGGAAGTGTAGGTTGGAAAACACTGTGCAAATCCTTATCATTATTCACTCATTTGGCACCGCTCACAGCAGAAGCTTGAGACCTGCTTAATGTCAAAGTTAAACAGACCAAGGCCCGCCCGAACTAGTACTCACCTCCCGTACGCGATAGAAAATGCAGTCCTATAAGTTGAGCGCATCCCCGAACCCGGCTGGTGAGCATACCTCGTTCAGTAACGTAACCTCATTACACAAACGACACCGAATAAGCCACACGATGAGACGTTACGTCGTATGATCCGCTACGGACAATGTTACCCTGTACGAGAAAAACACTTCCATTAACCTCAAGGACGGTGATATCTATCCACGGCCCTCACAGTGGAAACTCAACACTCATGTATGTTAAATAGATTAAAGCCAACCAAACGCACCTCCCGCCCATGACAAGAGAGGCATTACCATATGTTGAACGCCTCCCAAACCCGACCAAGCCACCCAGACCAGTCATCTCGTTCCAATGTCACTCCACAAGCGACGCAGAGTAAGCTATAGGGTCCGCTAGGACTATATCAGACATGAAAGTCATCCCAAGGGCATTAGAGCCGTGTGCGCCTCGGTCGATCTGCCAAAGATGGAGGTGCATGCGCGTGGCGAGGATCGCAAGGATCAAGAACTCAAAACTGTAAACGTGTTTTGGAATGTTAGTAGGAATTAGCAGCAGAATTTAGAGGTGTATACTTTTGGAGGACGGAGCGATACACGGACTGGGCGTGCAGAACATCAATGACTCAATCATACAGGGTATTTGTGTTCACGCACATCAGAAAACAATATTAATACAAGGACATTGACGGCCGAAAGAACTTTTGGAACAAGAATCATCACCAATGAGCGCGGAAACATGTGTATGTCCTGACTCACACAGACCGGATGCATAGTAGAATATGTTATGCTTGACCAGGATGGCGTATAGAGGGCCGTTGTTCGTCCGCCAGCTCTGTATGGCACGTACGAGCGTGAGGGAACTGAGTCCTGGGAGAACACCAATCAGCATGACATCCTTTTTTATATGCATGTTTCCGGTTTCCGGCAACAAACCTAGTTGAAATACAAACAAGAGAAGAAATTGTATGAAGCTGAGATTAGTCGAGGTCTGGTAGCAGCCTGTGATGCCCGTGATTGCGCTAGTTGTAACTGTGAAAGTGGAGTGAGTATGTGCGAATAGTATCGGAGGGAGGTGAGAGCGCAAACCTTGTGATGCGCCAATGGTGACGAAACCAACAACGATGCACGCAGCCAGAACAGCCTATCTAATGCATTTGCAACGAGCCTTGGGTGTGGAGAGAGTGAGAGGACTCACGAGAAAGGCGAACAACATGACTGCCAGTACGATTCTATTATTGTTCCAGAGCGCATATGTTCTAAGAATGAAAAACACTGGATGAATCAGATCAGGAGCACGTGCATTTCGAGGGGAAGGAGACATACATTCAGAGCAAGCGACTGATATTATGCCGAATACTGTAGGAGGAGCGCACGTCAAGGATGTGCATATAGCATGTACGATAGACGCACATGAGTAAAGATTGAGCGACATCCGGCATTTCTGTGAAGTCATACGGTGAGCATCATTCATCCGAAGGTAAGTCCATCGCATGTTCACATACATCGAGGTTCTCGTTCGGCGTCAATTGCTCTGAAGCACAATATGTTAGTTACCACCAGGAATATGTGTGCTGGAGCCGAACGCACGATATAGCTCAATGGCGAGGATGACAAAGGGCACATGTCGCGTGATGATATAAAGGCCTTTTACCTTGGTCCAGCGCGAGTGAAGGAGGAGTGTCCACTTTGAACAACATATGTCAAAACTGCGGCGTATCACGAAAAAAAACGCATTACTTCTTCGCAAACTGAATGAGCATAATCATAGGTCTGGATTAACAAGCTTAACGGCGGACGGGAATAGATTTGAACAAGCCTACCCAGAATGTAGCCATCGACGCTGAGCTGCCAAGTTAACACCATCAAGAAGTGATTAGAAAAACATACGCACTGAATAGGTACTGGTGGTGCATGGCATATATGTTATTATCTTGCCCTCGTACAAAGAAAGTGACGCACTGTCAAGGACTGAAGAACCCTGGCTGTTGCGAGATCATCAGCCGAATACTCCTTCTGCATGTCTTCAAGAGGTAAAAATGGGTTTCGCGCACACATTGTACGCTTCTCGTCTCGTATAAATGAGCCGGAAGCCCATCAAGATGGGGGCGTAAACATTGGAGAAACCATCAAAGTTGCGAACTTTCGGAGAGCGCAAAACCCAAATGGGGTGTGTGGCACTGCACATTACCATACGGTTCACAGGGAATGTCGTAAGGTCATAGATAAGTGATCCTCGACTCCCACGGAGTGTGTAGAGGAGAGTTTTTGCGAGTAGCAAACACGTACTGGGGACCAGGCTCCTACTCACCGCTGCTGAGAGGTTGACGACGGACTACTAGGAAGTTAGTAGTCTTCTGACGAGTAACACAGGCTAGCCCAGCATACACAGTTTTAGGTGCGCTGCGTATCTGACTTGATAAAATCTGTCCTTTGTCTGCCTACTAGTAGTCACAGTGGTTGTGGCGGAGCCTACGTCACTTGGGCCGTATTAGAATGTGAAAATCATACACTGCCGCCAGGCAGTATCTCTGAACATAGCACACTGAAATGCCGAATGTTACCTACTCATCCGTGGCTCCCACAGTGGAAATTCGACACCTATGGATGTTAAATAGATCAAGGCTAACCAAACGCACCTCCCGCCTACTGACTGCAAGAAATACATTCCCATAAGTTAAGCGCCTCCCAAACCTAGCCAAGCCTCCCAGACCAATCATCTTGTTCAGTCCAAATCTCACTCAACAAACGGCGCCGAATAAGCCATAGGATCCGCAATGACCATATCAGACAAACAGATCACCCCAGTGGCATCAGAGTCGTGTGCATCCCGGTCGATCTGCCAAATATGAAGGTGCATGCGCGTGGCGAGGATTGCAAGGATCAAGAACTGAGAACTGTACACGTGTGTTTTGGGGTTTTGTCAGTAGAAATTCGCAGCAGAATTTAGAGGTGCATACTCTTTGAGGAGGGAGTGATATGCGGACTGGGTGTGCAGAACATCAGTGTCGATCATACAGGGTATTCATGGTTCACACACATTGTAGAACAACGCGAATATGAAGAGGTTGATGACCGAGAGAACTTTCAGAACAAGAATTATCATCAATGAGCACGGAAAGATGTATATGTCCTGACTCACACAATCCAGATGCATAGTAGAATATGTTATGCTTGACCAGGATGGCGTGCAGAGGGCCGTTGTTCATCCGCCAGCTCTGTATGGCACGTATGAGCGTGAGGGAGATGAGTCCTGGGAAAACACCAATCAGCATGGCATCATTTTATGTGCATGTTTGTTTCTGGCAACAGACCTAGTTGTAATACAAACACAACAAGAAATTGTATGAAGCTGTGGTTGGTCAAGGTCTGGTAGCAGCCTGTGATGCCTGGGATTGCGCTGGTCGTAACTGTGAAAATGGAGTAAGTATGTGCGAATATTGACGGGGGGAGGTGAAGCACAAACTTTGTGATGTGCCATCGGTGGTGAAACCAATGACGATGGATACAACCGCAGCAGCCTGAATAGTGGATTTACCATGAACCTTGGGTGTGGAGAGAGTGAGGGGACTCACGAGAAAGGCGGACAACATGACTGCGAGTACGATTCTATTGTTGTTCCAGAGTGCATATGTTCTGAGGACAAAAAACACTAGATGGATCAGATCAGGACCACATTTACTTTGCAAGGGAAGATACTATACATCCAGAACAACCGACTGATATTGTACCGAAAACTGTGGGAGCAAAGACCAGCACTCAGCAAGGCCGTTCATGCAGCATGTACTGTGTACGCACATGAGTAAAGAGTGATCGATATCCGGCATTTCTGTGAAGCCATGCGGTATGTAAGCGTCATTCATTAGTAGTGTGTAAGTGCCTACATGTTCATCGAGTTCCTCGCTCGGCGTGAAGCGCACTGAAGCCCATTATGTTAATTCACCATCGGAAAGATGTGCTGGAGCCAAACGCACCATATAGCTCAGTGAGGAGGAATAAAAAGGGTAGATGTCGCGTGATGATATAAAGGCCTTTTGCCTTGGTCCAGCGCGAGTGAAGAAGGAATGTCCACTTTGAAAAACATATATCATAGCTGAGGCTATTATAAACAAATGCATTACCTCTGGGTGTAGTGAACAAGCGTAATCATAGGTCTGGATCCACGAATTTAATGGTGAATATGAATAGATCTGGACATGCCTACCCAGAATGCCACCATCGACGCTGAGCTGCCAAGTTAGCACCAGGAAGAAGCTATTCAGAAAACCATGCGCACTGCATAGGTACTGGTGGTGCGTGGTATATCTGTTATTATCTTGTCCTCATACGATCAAGAAAGTGACGCACTGTTAAGGACTGCAGATTCTTGGCTTCTGCGATGTCTTCAGCCGAATACTCCATCTGCATTCGTTCAAGAGGTATTAAAAGAATAAAATTGGGCTTTCACGCACACCTGACGCACGCACCTTCTTATATCTTGTGAGCAACTGCTGTGGCAACTGCTGTGACTGATAACTGCTGTGCCAGTGGCAACTGCCACAATCACTGCTGCAGCGGTGCTCACAAACGCTGAGTGCGTATCCACTGGGGGATGAGGAAGAGATGGAGGAAGAGGAGGAGTGGGCGGCGGTAGATAGATAGAGGGAGGAGCACGGGTACAGAAGGAGGAAGGAGAGGAAGTCAGTTGTCATATTGCACCCAATTCGGACGTCGACTCACGAATTCGAACCTATGATGTATACTACTAGGTTCATCACAAAAATTGCGCAACTGAGATATTACCTGATTTAGACTATTGTGTGCCACTGAGCCTCGTTGTGTTTCATGATCCATCAGTTGATGAGATACAGTTTGCCGGAACTCCACAAGCTATTTTGAATGCGCGGCCTCCCTGACCTAGCCAACAGATCACTCATCTTAGTCGCTATGCGCATCTCACATTTACGTTTTTCCGTTTGCACCGCTCCGCATTCATGCCACACAGCGACAGCGTGATATCAATGAATGGGAGGAGGATTGATTCTAGTATAGCTCCAAGAATTTTGATGGCCGCAATGTCTGCACATTCACCGGCGGTCATTGTTGTGGTGTTGAATTTGTCTTTGGAAAGGGTGATTATAGCTTGCATAAGTTCGATGGCACGAGGTACGTCTTGGGGGTCATCCGGATTCAGGAGCTTGAGGATGGAAGTCTCATCTTGTGTCGGAAATTTCCTGTTGGCATCAAAATGCTCACATGTTTCAATCTACCGCCAGGGCATTAAAATCAAATCATCTTTGCTATTGTAATCATAATCTGAACTGAGTTTCAATATGATTACGATCAATCCCACCGCCGCCGATTGACTAGATCGACCACCACGCATATCTTGCCTCCAATCTGCTTCTGAATTGTTCTACTACTGTTTGTACCAACTTTGTACCATAATCCTGCGGTATATTCTCTCATGCCCCGGGCTTCGGAAGACGTCCAGTGCCAGACATGTGGCGCAACAATGCCAGCACGTGGGATAATGTCCCACACAAGACTGTGTGAGAAGAAGGAAAGGCAAAGGCAAGAAGAGGAAGAGCTGTTAGAAGTCCTTCGAGAGACTCGTAAGAAGCGTAAGCATTCAATTTAATTCACGCACATCTTGAATGACCACGATCGTTTGCTGACAATATGACAATGATATCTGAATCCAGGTCGACGTCAAAAGTTTCGGACCGAGAATCATGATGATGGGCGGGCACCTGGACCGTCTCATGCTGTGGAGAATCTAGGTGAGTCTTCTGTCACTTGATCCTTCTTGTTTTATTAACTTTGAATCCAATGGCTAGTCAATCCGATCGCAATCTGGGCAGTGCAAGATGGAGTTGCTAATCAGGAAAACCAGGACAATGGTGAGTTGCCCCAAACTTGTACAGATGCGCCGTTTCGATTGAAAGAAGCTAACTACTTATATTCAAGACATCAACATGCAGGGATCGTCACCCCGAAGCCACCCATCATCCATGGATTTCGTCCCAGACTCTGACCACCAACATCATGATGACGCACCTCCTGCGCCTCAGCTGGATGATATCAAAATCGAACATCGTCCACACAGCAGGATACCTTCGACCGTCCATCCGTTCTCAGAATTTTCTCGCCGCCGTCCAACAGAGGATACAATTCCTCGTAGCACCTCCCCATGGGAGCCATTCCGCACAAGGCTTGATTTCGAGGTCGCAGAGATCACACTTGCTGCATCGATGACGAAAGATCAAACCAATCGACTTTTTGAGCTCATGCGCCGCGCTGTGAGCGCTCAAGAAGATTTCACCTTGCAGAGTCACGATGAAGTTCGTACTTTGTGGAAAATGGCATCCAAACGATTTACACCTGTGAGTCATGTTGGTGCATGTATATTACGGTGTTAATAGTCAAGTGTAGTTTGAAACCAGTACAATATCTGTGCCGCATCAAGGTGAAGATCATGAATACAAGATGTACTCCCGCTGTCTTTGGAGTTGGGCACTTGACCTCATGCGAGATAGCCGGTTCGCACCACATTTCACGTTTGATGCTCAGCGTCTCTATAAGTTTAATGGAGCACGTGTCATGCGATTCATAGACGAGCCCTGGACTGCTAACGCTTTCTGGGATGCACAGGTATGTTTTCAAGATTAATATGTCCATGGTACAGTAATATACATACAGTTTAGTCGCGCCTTCCACAGGACGCTAAGCCGCTTGCATTCATACTGTATGCTGACAAGGCCAAACTATCTTCTTTCAGAACTGCAAAGGGCTACCCAATCATCGTGCGGATCGCAAATTTGCCCGTTGAGATTCGTAATGGTACTGGTGTAGGTGGCGGACGAGTTGTTGGCTGGTTGCCGATCGTGAGTGCCAGACTTCGACATTCATGTATTAATTAACCAATTCACATCTTCGGAACAGGTCAAAGAAGATCCAAAACATAGCAAGAAGAAAAGCTTTGTGAACTTCAAGAATGCCGTCTGGCACAAGTCGTTCCTCAAGCTACTTGAGGCAGTCATATTACACTCGAAGAACAGATATTGGTTTGAATGTTGGGACCGCGTACAGCGCCTTCTTTGGCCTTTAATATTGATTCTAAGTGCTGATTACGAGGAACAGTGAGTTGGTAGTTTCTTTATTAATACATAGTGACTCTCACATGTAACAGGTGTGTTATGTCCTTGATTCGGGGACTCAAAGGCAAGTTTCCCTGTCCAGTGTGTTTAGTTCCTCAAGACCAGCAATCGGTATTATCGGATGTGCATCCATTACACACGAGTACTGAGTCTCTCAATATTCTCAATGCCGCAAGATCAACATCGACACAAAAGGAAAAGGAGCAACAACTCAAGGTGTACTCGCTGCGCGACGTCGAGGTATGGTCTTTACTGGTCTAGCTTAATACAAATTTACTTCTAACTTCACAGAATTGTTTTTGGAAGGTTTCTCACTGTGACGTCTACCGAGCGCTTTCGTTCGACCATTTGCATTCCAATCATGCTGGTATGTGGGGTGATCATTTATGGTCAGACCTCCAGTTTTGGCTTGAAGATTTGGGGCGAGAAGCGGCTGTAAAGATTGATATGAAGTATGTCTTTCTACCATAGATAGTTTCGAGGTGACACTGACTTCATCTTATTAGTTTTGATGCTCTACCAAGGTGGCGCAACCTCAAGCACTTCTCGCACGTGGTGGGGATTGATTTCAACGACGGCTCAACACATGAAGACATATCAAAGGTTTTTCAATTTAAAACGTGTTTTGTGATACTGATACCATTCTGCCAGATGATCATATTTGCAGTGCAGAGTGTCCTCAGCCGAGCTAATAGTGAAGTCGGTTATCTACTTCTATGCTGCATACGTTGCTACATTGACCTCGACATCTACGCCGCGCTAGAAGTACACACCGAGGATACCATCGCAGCCGGAAGAGATGCTTTGTCTCAATTCTCAACGCTTATGGATGTAGGTTCGATTTCGTGTGTCACGCAGTACTTCTGACTGACGATTTTGACCATTTGTTAGCTATATATCGAAAAATCACACCCTGAAACCAACAAGAATTGGAATTTTCTGAAAAAGCATTTGCTCACACATTTGTTTGATGATATCATCGCGAAAGGTGTCACACGGAATTACAACACGAAGCCCAATGAAAAAATGCATGGCCCATTAAGCGCTATCTACCACCAGCAGACAAATTTTAAAGATGTCGCTCCCCAGGTACGCACAATGAGGCTTCTATGTCACATGGCCGGATTCACTGATTTCGATCCATACTAGATCCTCCGCTATGATCATTGGCTCCTTACATCGTTGTCTATCCGTGATGAGATCAATGACCTAGATGCATATACTGACAATTTGAAAGCTACTATAGATTCAGAGCCTGATGCAACCGAGAGTCCTGAAGGTGTGGTAAATACAGCGGCACGTGTGCAGTTGGGCGCGAGGCAGGGTGATTTCTCCTTTGCAGACATTGAGCAATCACATGCCACAGACAGGGCATTTTTTGGTTTCCGAATCAAGTTGAACCAATTTCTCAACGACTCACTGCCGAATGATGCAATTCCCTTACCGAACGAGACGCGCATAAGATTTCAAGCTTGTGACCAGGTACGCATGTACCACATTTTATTGCCCATAATACTAATGATATAATGTGCTTTGCCAGATCACAGAATTCCGATACCTCCGGGTGAATTACGAGTCGATGGTCAACTGGCATCTGCAACGAGACCTCCTTCGATGTAATCCGAAATTCTTTGGGTCACCAAGATATGACTGCGTCATTATAAAGACTGAACACCAGCTGTTTTTCGCACGTCTCATCTACATGTTCCGCTGCAAAGTTGGGGTTACTGAACTTTCTATTGCCCTCATCCACCCTTATGATGTTGGTATCGGTGTTCGCTGCAGACAAGACTTAGATTTGGGGCTCTGGCGAGTGCGAGCGAAACCTCGATCATCTTCTGAATTCGTCTTTGTTGACTCCATCATTCATGGCGCTGCACTTGCTAGTGACCCTGAAGCAGTCAATGATTACTTTGTTATAGATACTATTGATACAGACATGTTCCTCCGCATTAAGGCGCTTCAAGACAGTTCTGGCTTGCGCTTCCGGCATCAATAGACTGAGGTATGTCACTTTGAAGCGCATGACTTGCCTGTTAAACCAACTCTTTCTAATACATAGTGAAATAATGATGTTCGTGCCCACCTCCACCATTCCCCATGATCTCCAGTCTCGACCCTTATGTATCTCCAGCTTCCAAACATTCTCCATACGCTCGCCAACTCTTTCACTGCCACTCAAGCCTTCTCGGTTTTCAATATTTACACCTTTGCGAGCTTTGTCTTTCACTGTTCCCTATACGTGCATGGCGTCGTCTAATTCTCTCACACTGCAACATTCAAATGGCTACAAGAAAGTGGGCATTGATAATCCTAGTAATGCAAAGAGTGCGTTTATTTTGCTCTTCGTCATCATTTGCGCTAATCTAAAGTTTTCAGTACCCAAGCAGATCAGTCTCAGTGCTCCCCCACTCAACCCTGCCCTTCCTCCGCAAAAAGTTCCAACAATACCCTCACGATTCAGACCTCCTCCAAAGCACGCCAACTCCTGCACCAGTGTTTGAGGAGAAGCTGACAATAACCTACATTTTGTATGTCTTTTTAGTTATTATATCTGCGTGCTGACCGCTTCGTCAGCCAAGGCCAAAAAGTGACCTTCCATAACCCTCAATACCATGTTGTCCCTGAAGTTCTTGAGGCATCTAAGCTGCCGATGGATCATCCAGACTTTGAGGTGGCTGAGGCATATGTCCCCGCCGGCTCTTCACCAGCAAGCTTAAGCGCAAGCCTCGCAACCGCAGCCAAGATGTTCCTCCAAACGGCTTCCTTGGTGCAAAGCGTGCAAAGATTGCACATCCAGATGTCAGCGCATCCGAGGGTGAGAAAAGTACCTGCGAGGACTGGCTCCCACAAGAAGATAGTTTTCACGGACGACACAGAGCGGGAGCCCATGGTCTCCAAGTCCCAGGGCTCTGACAAGGGAACTGAGCGTCTTGAGCTCCTGCAGCACGCTCTGGAGGACACGAACATAGAGAGAAAGATAGCAAGCAACACCTGGCCACCAAGGACGGCCTGCACGCTCGATTCAGAGCCAGCTACCAACTGTGACATCATATTCGGATCCATGTGCTCACTGCCTTGTCTCCCTCATGTCTCATTATGAGAACCACAAGTCTTGCAGTTGCATTCGGAACTTCACTTGGGTTCACTATTCAATTGAAGGTGAGTGGTATTACATCACATCAGCAGCGCTAACAATCGCTTCTGATCTAGAACACATGTAGCCCAAACTCATTGCTGAATGTGCTGCAATGTACATCTTTAATCTGCTCTATTGACTACTGCCTTACCCAATCACAGCTTGGACCCAATGATTCAAATTCGGGTGTCGGACCTTCGCCGCCATGCTGAAGTCATACGTGGCATGCGCCAGGCAAGTCTTCTCAATTGTATAAAAGACGTGAGTTTGAACTTCTTGTCGTTCAACTGTCCTCTGAGTTCAAGTCGCGAATTGTGTCTGTCTTTGCACGTCCTTATCACTGCATACCACCCACTGTTGATGTCTGACATGAATTCAGAGTTCACTCTTTCGTCTGATTCAGATTCAGAGGATTCAGATCACAGCATCTGACCTGTCGCTCCGCCAAGTGAAGGGGCTACTCTAGAACATTTTCAGGAGGTATTACTATTGTTTACCTCCTTGTTCTGGTTCTGACTGTTGATGACATCTCACGTCAGTACGTCAAGTATCTTCAACTTCAAAAAGGAAGACTAGAGGAGCGCAATACCGCATTAAATGCAACTAACAACATCCTCGTGTCAAACCAGCCACAGCGGTCACATAAACGTTCTCCTGGTCAGGTACCTTTGTCTACCACATCTTCAGCATCGTCGGCCACGACTGCAACAACAGCTGCAGCTGACTCTGATCGGGATGCAGAGAAGGTAATTGTGGACCTGGGGAAGAAGTACGGGCTTACCACTGAGATGTTTATGCTCGACGATTCAATCTTCAAATTACCTTGTCCCGATCCCCCTGCCGACATCCAAGGTGCACGCCGTTATGCAAATAAAGTGACAGAGGAGGCCGCCCTGGTGACAGAGCTCTATGGCTGCATTGACCACATGCTGCACCCTCACATGTCGACCACTTACTTCATAAACAAGGTTAGTCTTTTCTTTTTATTTCATGTTACGTGCTTGACATCTTGCATCAGTTTTGCACTGGAATGCAGAGAGTGCGTTCTTCATACCACTATGCATTGCAGAGTGTGGCTGGCAGTATCTTCAACATGTCCCCCAAATATTTCTCTGTGTCGTATGATCGCATGTCTAACCAGCAGATCATGGACATGATTGGATGGGTGGCTGGCAAGGGGAAAGACTTCGATGTCCTCAAGGTACCTATCATCTATCCTGATCTGAAGGTCAGTGTGAAGAAGGTATTTGGTAATTGGTTCATGATTGCGAAGGTGCGATGTTCACGATAAACTTACCAAAGCATTTACTCATCCTGTTCTAACAGTTTATCAAGGTTGCAGTGGGCGGCAAGATGACAATCTATTCGAAGTCAGGACGTGGCGGAGGTCCGAGCCCCTACTATAAGATGTGGCACCTAAAGGCTTGCACACCCGGCTTAATTGCATGTAGCATAACTTCGGTATGTTTCTGATACTACGGTATTGACTATATTGGTAACTGAACAGCATCCCCCAATAGATGATCTTTTTGTTGTCTCCCGATCAACAATTCCCAGGTTCAGGTGTCGGTGCCACCTCGTCAATCTCTTACTCCATTGTCTTTCGAACTGTCAAGCAGTTTTTTGTTGCCCAATGGGCGCATCCGCGTGTTCAAGCCATCGTGAAAAACATGAATGACTATGTTTTTGAAAACATCGACAAGACCGCTCGTGATGCAGACGATGCTCAGGCTACGGGTATGGAGGATTGTACTGATTCGCTACAGTGGGTGATGGCCAGCTTGGATGACGACGACTCAGATTCAGATGATGACAACGCAGCACAGGCAGCACCACCAGCCAGCATTGGCCCATCTGTCTATGATAGTGCACCAGTGCTGCCCACTGCACCAGCACTGCCCACTGCACCTCCTGCACCCAGCATTACCATTACACCCATTGTCACCACGTCTGCCACTCATATCCCCACCCTTATTCCAGAGTCATCCCAGTCCATACCTGCTGCCATTCGGAGCAACAACGGTAGTCATTCTGGACCGTCGATATTGCATGCACCTCAAACTGCACCCGTTACTGCACCTGCTCCCCGATCCCGCCCTGCTGCTATTCCAGTAGCAGTAGCATCTGTGGAAGGTGTGTCTGGTGAGGGCGAAGATACGAAGGTCACGGTGCAGAAAAAGGGGAAGAGAAAAGGCAAGGCAGTTGTGGCTAGCACAGACGCGGCCCCTTGCCGCTCTTCCCGCAATGGTATTTCATAATACTGATATCATAATTTCGGGCGTCACAAATGGTTAGTGGAGTTACAGTCACACTATGTACTTACAGCTTGTAGTCATTTCGTCCAACATACTTCTTTGCTTGAAAACTGTCTGCTGCCATTGCTTTCGAGAGTTTTGCACAACTCTTCACCTCTCCCATACCAGCCTGGACATTACCCTTGCCAACACCGATCATTCCCAGACCTTTAGTCTGACAAAATGCGCTAACCTCCTCCTCAGCCTCACCAAATGCCATTCAATTCTGCAGCTTGTGGAGTTCCATCTGTGCATACGCTTCTTTCGCTTTGCGTGCTCACTTGCCGCCTCTGCGTTTCTTTGGTCCGTCGTTAGGTATTGGAAGTGCCTTCGTGGTTTTTAGCAGGTGGGGGCGCAGCCAGCTGACCAATGTGTTTTTCAATTTTTTCTCAAAGCTCTTCACCATATGAGCTGTCTCTTCGTGTCCGTTCAAGGTCCATGCATAGACAAATTATTTGCTTGCACAATGAGAGTGTATTCCGGGTTCAGATGAGCGGGTAATGACATCGCTTCTGGCATGCTGGGGTTGGCTTGGTATTTCTCAATTTCCTTTAATATGTCTGCCATTCGTTTACTGCCTTCTAGCTTCGCTATGGAGCTCACGTCTTCGATCCCTCCCAAGTCCATTTGCTGTACATCCTCTGCATCAAGTTCATCTGCAGGTATAATGCCGCCTTCGAGGACCAATCTGGCGGTTTCGTCTGCAGAGGCTTCTTCTTCCAATGTGTCGACCTCCTCCCACACATCCCGATGCCGACATTGAGGAGGGCACACACTCTTAACGGCCTGTCACTACTCACCGCTGTCTCTCTCATCCTACATCCCCCGTCCAGCTTCGATCCAGAAACCTTCAGCAATGCATGTTTGTACAAACCTTAGTGACATGTCAAAAACCCAAATCTGCATGGTTTTGGTGGCGAAAAGGTATGATTTTGTAGGCGTTCAAAGGCTTCATTGTCCTCTCCTACCACCCTCCTACCTCCGCCGCCTGAACTTTCAGGTGGCGTTAGAGCTGTTTGAGGGGGTACTATGATTTTGTATATGTTCGAAGGCCTCGTTGTCCTCTTCCACCACCCTCCTGCCTCCGCCGCCTGAACTGCCAGGTGGTGTAAGAGCTGTTTGAGGAAGTATGATTTTTAAATTGTAAGCATTCAAAGGCCTTGTTGTCCTCTTCTACCACCCTCCTGGCTGTGCCGCCCGAACTTTCAGGTAGTGTTAGAGCCGTTTGAAGGCCTATCAGACCCCCCCCCCTCCCACAAGAAGGGGTGCCACCACTCATGAGGCTACTCCTCTCTCAGATTCTCCCCCTGACGGCACAGACAACCTACCACCATCTCCACCCTCTCCCAGTCCATCCCTCATATCACCCCCAGGCGCTGATACCGACTGACAATCATGCTGCTGTTCGGGATCTGAATCACTCTCACTTCATTGTTCTCAGTTACCCTCCCTCCCACATTCACCCTCACCCAAGAATTTCATTCACATTGTCCCACCTGCACCTGCTGATGCTCACAATGCAGCTGTATAATAATTATAATATATTATAATACATATTAATCAATTAAAATAAGTTGCCACGTCATCGGAATCTGAATTTTCATGTCAACCTCTGACCATATTAATCACAGCAAGTCTGAATCTGAATCATCACGGCCTCAACATCTCCTTCTCATTTTAAATTCATGTTGGCTCGCCCTTGCGCTCTCTAATACTCCCCTGATCATAATGGCGAGACCCCTGGACCAGGAGGCCTTCAATTCTAGCATGTGGAGCGACGACGAGTCCTTCGCTCTGAATCTGAATCCTAGCGACTCTCTCTCCAGGCTCCAAATTGGTAATGTTCCGTCCGTTCGCGATGATCCCCAGCAATTTGAATCACACTCACCATGTTCAGCCTTAGACTGCCTGACTGCTATCAACATATTGCAACCAATCATTCGTCAGTTCCCTTGACGATTCAGACCATCGTTCCCGCGCCCCTCCACACGCCGCCTGTGATCCGGCAATGGTCCACCTTACATTCGACGAGGTACAGAAATTCTAACATGTGGAGCGACATCGAGTCCTTTGCTCCTAGCGACCCTCCAGCAACGATCCCCAGCAATCTGAATCACACTCATGGTTCAGCCTTAGATTCAGACTGCCTGACTGCTATCAATGTATTGCAACTAATCATTCGTCAGTTCCCTTGACGATTCAGACCATCGTTCCCGTGCCTTTCCATGCACCACCCGCCCCGTGACGAATGAGAAAGTACAGGTGTGTTCTGCCTTTGTCCCAGAACCTATGGAAACTGATGTTACTATCAGTCCAATCAGGATACCTACCTCCCTACCTTCTTCAACGTCGGGTACAGGGCTTTTGCCTGAAGCGGCTCGAAGCCCGCCACCCAATTTCGAACATTTCCCCTCAATCAGCTCCAGCATTTCCTCATCGACCAGCAGCCTAGAGCACAATTGTTCTGCGTGGAGCACACCCTTATGATCGCCGCCTTCATCACATGGATCTCCGTCCTCGCATGTTGACACACCTATCTTGCGCACATCTAGTGCCTCGCTTTCTTTTGGATGCATGGATGTTCGGTCCAAGGAAGAGCTTCAGGGCTGAAATGGATGATGATATGAAGTTTGTGATTGAGTTGAGTCTTGCGGAAGCGCAGTAGTCGAGGCGAGGTTTGAAAGTGCGAGTCTTGTGCGAGTCTCCGAATTGTTATTGCTATTACTGTAGATTCAGAGTAGAATATATGCCCAACAATATGATTTATTAGCTGAAACAATCCTCAATTTGGCCTTTATAACACAGTTTATAATGCTCATTGCGATGCCGAACATGAACATCATAATGCCACAAAAATGGTTACAATACTCATTTTAAATCTCATTGTGACTGCCATGGGAATCAGTGTTATGATGCCACTTTATGATTAAAATCATAGTTTCAAACCCAATTGTGACCGGAATGGGAATGCACGTCATAATGCACTTATAATGGTCATCAAAATGCTGACTGTTTGATCAAAATCCAATCAGAATAAGGCCAGACCATTAAGGCATTTTAATCAATCAAAATGCCGTAATAGAAGTTCCAACATGATCAGGGAGCCAAGCGAGATAACAAGCGAGTACTGCGCTGTTGACAGTATGGCCATTGACAAGTTTCATTCCCTTACGATTGCGAAGCAACGTGCACCACCCTACATAGCATAGTTTTAGTTGTAAATAAAGGAAAGAAGGTCAATGAAAAACTCATGTTTGAAGATATGTTCATAGTCAAAGTCGAGAGTAATCTCACCTTCGCCGGTAGCAAGATTAAGGCCCTGCATGTGAGAGAGAGTCCCATAGAGCTTAGATGTTACTGAAAGCTCGGTCTTGAGGAATAATTGGTGACCGGCTGGCCTACATGTCGAGTCTCCATCTGTAGCAAAGCTGAAGATTGGCCCCAGTCGTTCCTCAGCTCCAGTTTCCTTCCAGCGGTCTCTGACCAGCGTGAAAATAGCAATCATTTTCTCACTGTCCTCGCACTTGCAACTCATGTTTCCTTCCCTAAGTGTACCTTCCCTTCTGCGAGCTTCTCGGCAATCCTTAATGCAGTGTTGTATGCGTGAAGGGACGGGTCGATGAGGTGTGAATGCGAGTGACACAATCCTATGACACTGTTTGATGCGCGGTGATGTGAAGCCCTTTCTTCCAGAGCGATTTCATCCATCAAGACAGAGTATCCGCGAAGAGGGATAGAGGAAGAGGAAGGATGGGACTAGTGTTTTAAAGTCCGGTTGCAGGACCGAAAAAAAAACTGCAACCGGACCGAAACCGGACCGAAAAAGACCGGACCTCAGTTGCCAGTTGCCTCAGATCCAGGAAAGTCCAGTTGCAGTTGCCTAACTGTGCAAAAAATGAAAGACCGGTAAAAAACCGGTCTCAACCGGTCCATTGTGGGACCGGTTGGCTATATATGGGTAGTGCTCATTTGGGCGATTCTATCGGTGGTCTGATCTTCAAAATTGGTTGAGATTTGGGAAAGTTACAAGCATTTTAAGAATGGCTCGTATAAATCTGTGGGGCGTGTTTTTAGGCTTGTTGGCACTGAACCAGGGATTGATTTCCAAGCTTAAAAACCTTTACCAGTGTGTTCGTAGACCTCAAAAATGGTATGGAACATCAAATTTAGATAACTCTTGATGATTATCATGCTCCAAGACTAGCACAAAGATCAGACGTGTTAGAACGGCAAGTCAAAATCAGTCAAAATCACTGATTGGCTCATAACGTACCCAAAACTTGAGTGTTTGACAATATATGAGTAGCTATAGACTTGCCTAGACTAGGACTACAATTACCATTGAGACACCTAAGCCTTACAACAACTTGTATTTTTAAAGACAAGCCTGATAACGATTTTTTGCCAAGCTTATATATTGCTTATATCTTACTCTATTGACAAGATAAGACTAGCTATAGTGTCGCCTTGACTAGCAGCACGTATTTCGTCAAGACACCTAAGCCTTATAACAACTTTTATTTTTCAAAGACAAGCCTGATAACGATTTTTTGTCACGCTTATATCAATCTTATATCTTACCCTATTGAAAAGTTAAGACTAGCTATACAATTGCCTTGACTAGCAGCACATATTTCGTCAAGAAACTTAAGCATAGTAATGACATTTCATATTTGACTCACATGCAGGGCGGAGTTTGGGAACCCTTTTTTATAATGCTCATATCTTGCTCTGATCTTAACCGTTTACTACAGAAATTAGACCGTTGGAATCGTGGGAAGGAGTACAACCGGTCTTAGACCGGTTGCGACTGGAACCGGTCTAAAACCGGTTGCAGGACCGCAAAAGACTGAAAATATCGGTCTTTTGAGGTCCAGTCCAAGGTTGCCTGATATTGTGGGAATCAGGCAACCGGTCCGGGTCCGGTTGTGTCCAAATTAGGCCAAAAGACCGGACCAGACCGGACTTTTAAACTCTAGATGGGACAGTGAATTAAGGAGGAGGTTTTTGATGTTCGAGTCAAGCTGATCAGATGCGATGGGGCCAATTGTAGGTGTAATCAACGTAAAATTCCTGTGGGCTTGTAACGTGCATAATGATGGGAGAGCTAAGCGGTGACTAAACACATGAAGGAGTCCACGTCCACCAAGTCGGTATGCCAATATGGCCATATCAAGATCATCACCTGTATACCCTCGTGGACGGTAAGCGCCAGCAAGGGAATATTCAAGTGTATTGATTATCTGCCAGATGCTAGACCCTCTCTTGAGTGTGACTGTAAGATTATGCTGGAGACGCGGGACATTGTTCTCTGATAGCGCCATGATGAGTGACTTATAGTCATCTAGTTGTGTAAGTACGTGTGAGACCCTTCGTGCATCATTGAGACCCTTCATACATTAATTAGTATGGTCAGATCGTCCCGCAAACAACGAACCTTGAGTTTCAGTTGATTATTTTCAGCAGAGTACTGATGTGCAACATTAGTGGGAGTCAAACTTGGTGATTCACGCCTCAATTCTGACTCCGATCTTCGACACGATTCTTCAACCTGAATCAACCATGAATCGATTGTAAGGTTGACTACCCCCGATTCTCATCACTGATTCAACTCGTTTCTCGCGAACGATTCTCATTGACAGTGCTTAAATAATCAATATGTAGATAAGTATGCAATGAAATGCAAAAAACTACTATCCACTACATCATGGCTCAGTACACCCCACATCAGCAACGTGCCCAACGGCTCTTGCAAGACTTTCTCCGATACAAGAAGATCCGTCAGCATTTAGCCCAGCGTCGACGTGTTCATCAGATCAAACAGCAAATTAATGACTTTGCATTCAACACATCTGACAACCTCGTTACCGAGTCCACTCTCTCCGAGTCACCTACTATCACCAGTACTACTGATTCCACCTCACAGGTAACCAAATCTGATGAGTCCTCAAGCTCCTACTTCTCGGATACCTCAGAATGCACTACCTTCTTGGATCACAAGTCCACTGACAGTGATGCAGATGCTGATTCTGAATTTTCAGAAGACAGTTCTGTGTCGAGTTTTGACTCGTAAGAAAAAACTGACGGGGAACCAGTCACTACACACCATCAGGGACGAGTAGCACACCACGTACGACACACCTTACAAGATATCTTCGCGCGTCATTATGATGCACCACAAGTTCGATTATTACACCCACCTGCCCAGCTTCCCCACGTCCTTACAGTCAAGAAAATCAAATATCCTGATCACTTCCGTCAGATTCTTTGTGTCACACCATATACATTTGATCGAATCACAGCAAAAATCTGCACTGACCCTGTCTTCGCCAACCATTCACCCTGTGAGCAGCATCCTGTCGACGTACAGCTTGCTGTAACTCTGTATTGGTTTGGCCATAGCGGAAATGCAGCAGGTCAGTCAGCTGTTGCTCATTGGGCAGGAGTGGGTCATGGTACTGTGTCCCTGATGACGAGGAGAGTTATGACTGCCATTCTTCGGCCTGATTTCATGGCCGAAGCAGTCCGTTTTCCCACTGTGGAAGAGAAAGAGGCAGCAAAATCTTGGGTTGAAGCTCGCTCGTGCAAGGCATGGCGTGGTGGCTGGTGCCTCGTTGATGGCACTTTAATTCCACTGTACGACCGCCCTCACTGGTATGGAGAAAGCTACTTCAATCGAAAATGTAATTATTCACTGAATATTCAAGTACGTTCATCAACAAACATAGTCACTCTGTATTTTTATTGTCTTCTAGGTTGTGTCCCTGCCAAACCTTTGTATTGTCGACTTTTCCTATGGACATACTGGCAGTACTCACAATTCATCTGCTTGGGACGGGACCCAGCTGAAAAGAGACCACAATAAGTATATGGAGGGTGACGAGTTCGTGTGGGCAGACTCCGCATACCCAGTGTGTTAACTGTTATCATCAACTACTATCTGACAATCTAATGGCAATTGCAGCTGCAAACGTGGGTAGTAGCACCCTATAAAGCCCCCGAGAAGTTTTTGGAACGCAACATGGAATTCAATAACCATGTTTCCATGCTCCGAATCCGTTCCGAGCATGCCATTGGTTTTTTGAAGGGCTGATTTCATTCTTTGAAGGGCCTGCGGGTGCGAATCGTGAATGAACAGTCTCACAAATTCGCCACATACTGGGTTGCTGCATGCATTGGACTGCATGCATTTGCAATGCAGTGTGAGGACGAAGACAACTCGGGCTCAGATGACGAGACTGAAACTTTCATTGCTGAGGGACTGTCATCATCTGACTCTTGCTCTGGATCAAATATTGCGCCGGAAACCACTGCGAGGTCAAACTGTTTGCATGAAGCACGGGCTCGACGAGAACAGTTGAAGTGGAGGTTATTTCGGGCAAAGGATCTGAGGAGGCACCAATTTTTGGATTCAAGTGAATCAGATTAACTACAGTATATTTACTGAGGAACAGCTGGTAAATTGTACTCAAATGAAACATCAGACCTTGAAATAGGGTCAGAAAAAGGATCAGCAGATGAAGCCCTCGAAGACGAAGGTCCTGGCAGAGTTGGTGGACCCATAAAACTCGGTTCGATGTCATCATGGAAGGCAAAGCCAAAAGATGGTGTTGCAGAGTGATGTGAAGCCTCACGGTAGTGGCCATGAATTGTTGGAGGCTGTGGTAAGGACAGTTGGAACTTTGAAGTCTTGTGGAATGACGAAGATGACTTGCCGTACTAGCAATGTTCTTTCTCGCAGCTCAATCTTGCCTTCGTTCTCTCTGGTCACGTAACTTCTCGCACTCCAATTCAATCTTCGCCAACTTTATCTTGGCCCTCATGATATCTTTCTCTGCTCTCGCCTTGGCAACATCCATCTCCTTCTGCCGTGTCACCTCTTTGGCCTGCACGATCTCAGCAAACTCGTCTTTTTTCTGCTTCTTTTTCCTCGGAGCCTTCTCATTTTCTGTCCCCCGTCATTTCCGAACACTGTCGACATGTTTTCCATCTTCAGAAGGCACCAATCCAATGTTCTTTGCCGAGTCGTTCCCGCGTTCCGGAGTCTGCCTCTCGATATCCCACTCCTCGGAGGCATACCCCCCCAAGTCATTACCTGGAGCATAGTCAGGCGAGCTTCGAAGAATGGCAGACACATCAATATCAGTGTCATTGTTGCCGAGCCCAACAGGTATGTTGTTCAGACGCTGACCAATGAGCTCACACATCTCGAAGAAGTAAGGACATGCCCCCTCAATCTCCACTATTTTATGGAGGTTTATTTTCAGTTGTGTGGGTGTCACAAATAGGTACGTACTCCACTTTGTTACGAATTGGTTTTGACAGCTTTTATCCACGTCAGACCTCTTTTTGATACCGGCACCTGTGGCACCCATCACTTCAATGTACTTTAAGGTGTTGACTGTCATCCTAAGCCTCATGAGCTAAATGTGAGTCGTTCAAATGGCGAGCTCACCGTTTTAACCTATTTTTAATCTTGGTGTGCCAGTGTCACAACCCCTTAGAACGAATTAACGCAGGGCAGAGACTAGGACTCGAACGTTCAGATATCACAAAGAAAATGGATTGAGCAGGAACGTTTGGGCTGGTACACAATGTACAGACGAAAGGTTTGAACTAAAGAACTACTGACTACAAACGGTCCATACTATATACTACTATTCAAGCGGAGATACAACTGAGTCTGAACTAACTAGCCAATCATAAAATAGAAACGGGAATCGTACGATGTGATAATGTGAAAGAGAACTATGATGTCATGATAACTGATGCTGCGGTTGTGAGGTTCTGGAAAGTTCTAGGAGAATCTCGTGATGTGAGGGCGTCTATATCGGGTGTCTGGATTTCGGTAATGGTAGCAGTTGGTACGTATGACGGGCGCTTATGAGTTAACGCTGGGAATGGGCGCTTATGACCAACGGTCGAAAGGAAAGAATAATGATTTGTGTTTGGTACTCGTGACATTACCCCCCCTCTAGGTTGAGCGTCATCGCGAAAGACAGATGGACGTATATTCTTTTTTCTCCAATCTCTGAAATCCTCCGTATTTAAAATAGATCCTCGGATTCTTTTCGAAGCGGCAGCCGTAGGATTTTCCTTATGAAACTCTGCAACGAGAAGTGGAGCGTTTTTTACATCTTCTTCTGACGCCCATGTTGATTCCTCTGTCGGATATCCTTCCCATTTTACTAGGTATTGCAGCTTTCTTCGGAATAATCGGCTATCTAATATGGCTTCTGCGACGTATTCTTCCTGATCGTCAACGAGTTCTGGATCTGGGCGGTTGGATGGATGATGAGGAATTAACTGAGATGCGTGATATGGGATGAGTAACTCGACGTGGAACACTGGATGAATCTTATATTTTTCTGGCAATTTCAACCTGTAGTTCACCTCGCCGGTCCTCTCTAGTATTTCGAAGGGTCCAAGACGACGATCTGATAGCTTCTGACTTGGACGACGCTGTCTAATGTTTTTTGCGTCTAACCAGACCTTGTCTCCCTTCTGATACTGAGGTGCGTCTTTTACTCCTTTGTCATAGAATCGTTTCATTCGTTCATTGACTATTTTCAGAGTATCTTCTGCATCCTCTCGCGCTTCTTTCATCTGATTTGCTCTCTCGTCTGTGGCAGGAATAAGGGATGTGGAGTTGGGTGATATAGTGAAATCGGGATTATATCCATATAGAACTTTGAAAGGGCTGTGTCCTGTCACCGTTATTGCGTTGTTATGTGAGAATTCTGCAATCGGCAACCATGATACCCAATCATTCTGTCTGTAGGATGTGAACACGCGCAAGTACTGTTCAACTTATTGATTTACGCGCTCTGTCTGTCTGTCTGTTCTAGGGTGGTACAAAGTTGAGGGTGACCATTTCGTTCCCAATCTTTTCGACAACTGTCCCATGAACTTCGAGATAAACTGTGTTCCTCTGTCCGATATCACCTTTTTTGGTGTTCCATGATTTTTCCAGACGTTCTTTAGGAATAACTCGGCAATACCCTTCGAGTCTACTTCCTTAACGGTCGGAATGAAGTATGATTGTTTCGAGAATTGATCTACAACCACGAATATGCTATCAAATCCTTCACTCTTTGGCAGGTCCACTATCAGGTCACATGAGATCGTTTGCCAAGGTGCTTCTGGCACTTCGTTTGGTTGTAAAGGTCCCGTTGGTTTACTTGGGAATACCTTTGTCTGTTTGCATCGATCGCAACCATCTATGTAATCGTGGATATACTTTGTCATTGAAGGCCACCAATAATTTCTGGAAATCAATTCTAAAGTTTTGGCACGTCCAGGATGTCCAGCCGGTGGAGAGTCGTGAAACAACTCCAATATCTCTCGGCGGATCTCTTTATCGTTCGCAACATATACCAATCCTCGGAATAACACCAATCCATCCTCAACATTCCACTCTTCGACTCCTCTGCATAGCTGAACCGGTGCTGCTTTTAGCGTTTCTAGTGCTATTTTCACTTCAGGCTCTCGTTCTGTGCTCTGTCTTATCTTTTTTAAGAGCGATTTTTCTCCTTCAATCAGAACTTGGCCTCTTTTAGCAGCTTTAGCTTGGAAAAACTCCGGTTTTAGCAGAATACGATCAGAATTGTCGTTTTCTATCCCCCCTCTGTGGTCTAATCTCCGAGATAGACGATCAGCTTTGTCATCCATGACACCAGGCTCATGTTGGAGTGTAAATTCGTACTCCGCCAGAAATTGACTCCATCTGGCTTGCCTTCTAGTCAACTTTTGACTTGTCATGAAATACTCGAGATTTTTGTGATCTGTCCAGATCGCCACATCATGGGGTGCTACCTGCACATAGTGCCTCCACTCTTCTAACGCCCGAATGATTGCTAATAACTCTTTGTCGTGGATGTCATAATTTCTTTCTGCATCATTCATCGACTTCGAGTAATAAGCTATGGGATGCCACAATCCATCTTCCATTAGTTGAGAAAGTACTGCGCCAGTTGCATAATCTGAAGCGTCAGTCTCTATTTTCTTCTTTTTCTCAACGTCCGGCATGACTAATATGGGACCTTCAGTGAATCGCCTCTTTAATTCATCAAAGGCTTTCTGCTGTTTTTCCGTCCAGTCCCATTTGACATCTTTTCGCAATAAATCATTCATTGGTCTGGCTATGTCCGAGAACCCGAGGATGAATCTTCGATAGAAGTTGGCAAAACCCATGAATGCTTGTATATCTTTTACGCATTTGGGAACAGGCCATTTCAATACTCCTTCTACCTTCACCGGGTCGGCTTCAGATACAGGTCGTTGTCCTTTAGTCGTTTGAGTACTTCTCGCACAACTTTTCGGTGTTGCTCTCTGTTTCCGTTCGTGAATACCAAGATATCATCGATATAGACCACTACGGTCTTTCCTTCTATCAAATCTTTGAATATCTCGTTCATCATAGTTTGGAACGTAGCAGGAGAGTTCGTCAACCCGAGATACATTACGGTTGGTTCATGGTGTCCAAAGGGCGTCTTAAAAGCTGCCTTCCACTCGTCTCCTTCCTTCATGCGAATATTGTTGTACCCCCATCATACATCCATTTTAGAATACATAGTAGCTCCGGTTAATGCATCGATCAAATCTTGTGATCTTGGTAAAGGGTATGCATTCTTAACCGTTTTTTCATTTAGCTTTCTGTAGTCCATGACGGGGCGCAACTTGCCATCCTTTTTGGCCACAAAGAAGAAAGGCGCTGCTACTGGGGATTGTGACTCTCTAATACGTCCCAATGCAGACTCTGCCTTTAACCAATCTTTCAATGTGTCCATTTCTTTAGGTGACAACAGATATGGTTTCACATTTGGAGGAAGTTCGCTTCCCTCTTTGAGATCTATCGCATGATCCCACTTCTTTCTTTCAGGAAATCGTCTTGATTCCTCTTCTGAGAATACTCCCAGGTAATCGTGAAGCCAATCTGGAACCATCTCGTCCATAGATTTCTTCACTTTTGTAGCTTCTTCTGCTACCTTCTGCTCTGTGGCGACTGAGCTTTTTCTTACCCATTCTTCAGGGCTATCTTCATCTTCTATTTCCTCAACCGTCGCCCTCTTCTTCTTCCAATCTTCATCGTCATCTTCTTCCGTGGGAATTAGATCTGGAATATCCTGTTTTTGTGTTTTTCTTTCTTCACGGTTTCGAAGCCTTTTCTCTTTCTTAGTCTCACACTTGACCGGGCAACGTGTAAGCGAGAATCGTCCTGCGTTCCAATCAATCTCAGGATTATGGTACCTCAACCAATCAATACCGATAATGGCATCATCATTTCCGAGGTCTGTGACCATGAAGGCTGTTTTGTCTTCTTCATGATCTCCAATCTTAAGACCTAATTCGGCGAAATGTGTCATCAATCCAGCGGCATTAAGGGAGCCATCAATGTTTTTAACAGGGATTGGTCTCGATAATTTAAGGCAACGAATTCCGTTTTTCTTCACAAACCCCACATCTATAAATAATGTTGATGCACCACAATCCACAAGTGCTTTTACGTCTGCTTTTCGGTTCTTTCCTCTTAGCTCAATCGGAATGTAAAAATGCTCTGATTTCGATCACAAATATACTTCTGATACATCCGTAAAACTAGAGAGAATAGAGAAACGATTGTTCGGATCTAAGTCTGCAGACTCTGACTTCGATCCTTCTAAAAATCCTTGCCTTGCTTAGAGGCGAGCCAAAGCTCGAACCACTTAGGCGGCGCAGACTCTTCCACAGACTTCTTGACTTCGGCCTCCGGTGCCGTCGCCTTCACTTGTGCTTTAGGAACACCTGTACAGTTTCTAGCCATGTGGCCTTCTCCTCCGCATCGGTAACACAGGAAAGCTGGCTTCTTGCCTTCTGCTCTCAGGGTCCCTTTCTGTTTGCTGGAGTCGACGTCCATAGCGTTACTGTCTTTTGCCGGGGTTTTCTCCCAGCTTCTGCGCGAGTTATCTGTGGATTGTCCCTCATTCTTTGGGTTCCACCATGAACTGCGCTTCCTTTCACCGTCCAACTCCTCGAAGTTCTGTCCGATGAGGACTGCCTTGTCGATCAATTTCTGGAGCGTGTTTCTTTCTGACATCGCTACTTGTGCCAGCACTTCCTTGATCCTGTTTGACAGGCCCGTTCTGAACCTCTGCCTGAGGTCGTAGTCAGAGTATCCGGTGTAGGCTGCTTTTTGTCTGAAAGCAGAAACATATTCAGGGACACTACTTGTGCCCTGTTTCAGAGTTTCCAATTCTCTGACTGCCTTTCCTTCTTTGTCCACCTTGCTCCACATTGCTGTGAAGTCACCAAGAAGCTCTTCTTCTTTGAGCTTTCCAAGTCGATATCTCTGGATGTAAGGTTCTACCCATTTTCCGGCAGATCCTTTCATCATAGACATCAAAAAAGACATTGACTGATTGGTGTTGATTTTTGGGTATGAGGATAGGTAGAGATGGACTTGTGACAGGAAGATATCGGCGTCGATAGAATCTTTGTCTCCTGTGAATTCATCGGGTTTGTTGATTTTTATGTTTTCGACTTTCGGAGCATTGTGCGAAATGGATGGATCGTTCGCGAGATCTTCGAGTCTTTCTTTCAAGATCTCGTTATTGTTTTCTAGCACTTCATTTCTAATGCGAAGTGATGCTAGTTCTGCATTGATCCCTGCCAATGCTATGGCAAGAGCAGTTCTGACAGCCTCTTCGACTGCTTCTGCAAATGGGTCTGCAGAGGGTCTCGGAGTATCTTCATCACGATCTTCCATAGATGGCTCTTCTTCGCTTCTCCAAGCTCTGCTATCTAATGAGAACGACATAGTGCCAGTTGTGTTCTGGAATCCTATTCACTAATGTCGGTTTGGTTGACTAGTCGTAACGGTCAACCCGGATGGGAATAATGATGAAAAACGGGAGTGTGGGAAAGTTTATGTATTCGGTCAACAGAAGCGGTCCCCGATATCTGATCGGATCAACCTCGTACTTCTGGTGCAAAAGGTTCTTTAATCAACCTTACTGCACTTTCCCTATGATAGACTGACTACAAAAAGATACGTAATGCTAATCCTCTGAGGTGGGCAAACTACAAGGACACGGTGACTCTTCCAGCCGGAGCTTACAAATCACCAGTCTTCGAGTAGAAAATGCCTCTAAATACCCTTCGGGGTTCCTACGTGCGTACGAAGAAAACTACGGTAAAAGAAACTAAGAGATAGAGCTCAGCAGGCAGGGTTTTGGGCCAGCACTGAGGTCGCGGATAAAACACCTATAGTGTTCCTCCAACTGATGATAGCAGCCGCAATGTAAGGCGGGGCCTGTCACCAGACTAATGACTACAAAAAGGTAACAGTAGAGAAGTGCGCTCAAGCGAGCAAAGGTTTCGAAAGATGAAAAAGGTCACGTTTGTTTAGACCGGGCAAGATAAAACGTGTGGTGATGTCACTAGGGCGGAGAAGATACAGATTATCTTTCACGCCGTAGAGAAAATGGTGCAAGCGGTATGCGAGTCGGAGTCCCCTTTAGTTCAAACCTAATGTCACAACCCCTTAGAACGAATTAACGCAGGGCAGAGACTAGGACTCGAACGTTCAGATATCACAAAGAAAATGGATTGAGCAGGAACGTTTGGGCTGGTACACAATGTACAGACGAAAGGTTTGAACTAAAGAACTACTGACTACAAACGGTCCATACTATATACTACTATTCAAGCGGAGATACAACTGAGTCTGAACTAACTAGCCAATCATAAAATAGAAACGGGAATCGTACGATGTGATAATGTGAAAGAGAACTATGATGTCATGATAACTGATGCTGCGGTTGTGAGGTTCTGGAAAGTTCTAGGAGAATCTCGTGATGTGAGGGCGTCTATATCGGGTGTCTGGATTTCGGTAATGGTAGCAGTTGGTACGTATGACGGGCGCTTATGAGTTAACGCTGGGAATGGGCGCTTATGACCAACGGTCGAAAGGAAAGAATAATGATTTGTGTTTGGTACTCATGACAGCCAGGCTTCTTTCTGCTTTGGTGTGCCTTTGTCCCGCAACACTTCAAACCGGCTTTTATAGCCCTCGTGGTAAGAAAACAGTTTCTCGCATAGAACCCAATGCCAGTGAGTTTTTGGGACACCTTGATTTCTTGGATTCGAGCCAGGAACTGGAAACAAGCCTTGTTTGATATCCTCGTCTTCAGTGATCTCAGTGAGCATCTGAAAGGTGAGTTCTTCGGTCCACCTGCATACAGACATGGTCAGAATACACTGATTGACACTACTAGAATCCACGCACTCAATTTCAGGCGGCTCAAGGCTCACAGCATCACCATCCTTGTCTCTCGCGCTATTTTCACGACCCTTCAACCCTCTCTTACTGCCGGTCTCGGTGTTCTTCGAGTTCTTCTTGCCTTCACTAGTGGATTTTGCAGGCATGTTTTTACTTGCTTTTGCCATGAGAACTGGGATATCAGTGACAGGAGTCGTTGTTCGTTTGTAGTTTTATTTTCATCATATGTTTTTGATCACTATGTATTTAATTTTTAAATAAAATTCAAATCTAGACATATCAGCGGTGAAACGAATCGTTGAAGCGGCTCTGGAGCCGCTTCAACGATTCAGGGTGATTCACGATTTGCACGATTCTGACGCTCGAAAATCGACGTCAGAATCGCCGTCAGAATCGGTGCGTGAATCGCCCAGTTTGACTTCCTCTATTGACCATGTCAGAGTGACTTAGAAATCGGTATCTGGTGTGTGGTTTGATGTCTTGAGCGAGTGAGAGGAGGTGTTTGATGAATCCCTCAACCTCAGTGCACCCACTGCAAGGTGACATTGGTGTCGTCGTGAAACCTGTACAATTAAGAGAGTATCCGTGAGGAATACTGCCATGCGTGTCAATGCTGAAAGGAAGGACTCCTTGGCCTGCGGAAGCTCGACCAACAGGAAAGGTTTCAAGAAATGAAGGGCCCAGAACAGGCCAATGTATCGGAACCCCAGGGCACACATTTACGTCCGTTGCATGTGATGTTTTGGATGGAGTAAAATGAGGTGAAATACTCGAGGTGGAGCTGGCTGTGCTCAGTGATGGCGATGAATCTGCTTGATTGAGGCCCTTCAAACACTTTTTACCCTGCCGGTGATCGCTGAGAGTATTGAAATACCCTAGAGCATCTAGATCACTAAGAATCTGGGTTGGAAGGGTGGTCTTGATCCATGCTTTGCAGTCTGGACACTCAACTTCCCACCGGTGGGTTCCAGCGCGCCTATTGATAAGATTTGCTGAAAATAGACACATAAGATCAGCAGGCGTGTTTGATTTGAGTAATGTGACGGAATCAAGAGCCAAAGTGTCAGAATCATCAGAAAAAGGTATAGCCGCAGTGTTGGGTGCTTCAGATCGTGTTCCTGTTTGACCAATGGGTAATGGCAGTGCATGAGAAAACAGAATGGGGGTATTAGAGTTGATGGAAGCTGCTGGCGCTAGATCATCAAGAGAATACACATTAATATCAATCGGACTGAGGCTCAGATCATTGTGCGGGAATTGAGAAGGATCAAACTGGTATGAAAACTGATCAAAGTCAATGGGTTGAGAAGCATAACTGCTTTGCGAGTCTGATTCTTGAGAGTCCACGGGAAACCAAGACTTGTAACGGGCTGGGTACATCATATGGTAGTAGGCTCGACACAGTGATGCGTTCCAGGACATATGACACTCATTAATTAATTGTCACGTGCAATTGCGAACTCACATGAAGCCAACAAAAATCAAAAACATTCATTTTGCAGGGGGATTCAACAATATCATAAGGAATTTATTATTCTATGTACCTAGGGCTATTCTAATGTACCTATAACCACCACCTCCCCCGGGTCGCGGAAAGATTCATTGAGATTTGATGATGCTGTCGAGAAGTTCAAATGACAAGACGGTATAATGCCAAAGTGGCTGAAAATAAGGTTTTGGCTTACCATAAGCAAAGTGTTGGTGTTTCAGCTTTCTCCGTCGCACGCCTCTTGACCCATGACAACACCAGTGTGGATACTACCCGAGCCCTCTATGCCATCGGGCATGCTGCGTATGGCCATACGACATGTCAGCAAATGCTGACATGGCACGAACGCAAACACACAAGGAACAAGGCTGGGTTGAAGAAGACCTTTGGCACCTTACCTAGCCCTGCCCTGTCTCGCACTCTCACACTTGCTCACAACTTTGTGCATGTCCATGCATGTCACCACTTGTTCCCAGTAATATAGGTATATTTTTTAAATCTATGTTTGTATGTACATTACTTACTAGTATTGTCATGCTCATCTGCATCTTGTCCCTGCTTTATTTGTATGTGTTACCCGCGGGTAAACCCCACACAGGTGCGGGTATGGGTCCGAACTCATCATACCCGCCAAAAACCTGTACCTGCATTGACGGGTACGGGTTTTTGCTGAGTACGGGTGCGGGTATGGGCTCTGGTACCCGGGGGTTTACCCGTGCGGATCCCTGGGACTTGTAGCATATGTGCTAATATTACTAAGTAGTAACATAAGCGGTGACAGTCAGGTGGTTGGTGCTGTGGCGAGAGGTCGGTTTTTCCCGTTTTGCACTATATACATTGCGACTCCGCTGTCGGTTAGACCCGGCACATATTTTTACATCACGAACAACACAGAGACACTAGGCAGGTTGGAAATAACAATCAAGATGCGGGGCCACAAAATTGTTACTATGTATGTAGATTCAATTGTGCCGCATCTTCATAGCCAATTCCATTCAATTTCCCTTGCTGGATCTTATGATTCTGATCAGGAATCAATTAGTAGTTCAAGACTAAAAAAGTGTGTCTAGCCTTGCCACTGCCAGCCCTGCCAAATCCCCCAGTCACCTCGTTCAATGGACTGCAATGATTCGAAAGATGTTTCACATTGCATAAGCAACAGCCCGACGAGTAATCAACGTGACATACAGTGTGTTGCAAATGACTTTAGAATCGTGTTTTCAAAATTGTGTTTGTTCCTTTGTATTGACGTGTGACTTGTGTCACGCTTGGTCAATCATTCCGGTTTTCATGCCACTGCCAACCAGGCTAGATTATCTGATGATCAACTAGAGTTTGCACATTTTAAAACATCTGTATCTCTACAACACATCCACATAAAAATATAATTTCTTGACGGATAGATAGTCTGATATTTAAAGTACAAGACCCGCTGGTTTTTTCTTTCAAAATTGACATGTTGAGTCCAGCGGAGAGTTACCACGCAGAAAAGTGTGATTTTCCCTAACTTGAAGTATGTAGATTCAGACTAGAGCCGATGCGCGAACTCTTGTGATGCGCGAACAGATTAAAATATTTAGTATTTAGCATCTCTGATCACTCCTGAATTCAATTCAGAATGCACCAGAATATGAACAATGGAAGACTGTTGGAATTTTCTTAGAAAACTAGCTCAATGTCTTGTGAAATCACCGCGAGTATGGCCAGAGTTACTCGTTGCGGACAAGGCCTATGATATATTATAATTATTTAGTATTGACAGTATTGACAAAGGGAGTGCCTAGTGTCAGAGTGCAATTGATACACCCTGAGGTGGAGGAGACAATATTTTCGAGTCGTTGATGTGACAGAAAGTCCCGCATTTGGCTATTACGAACTATTTTACAAACACCGAGCTCGCAAAAAAATTCTCGTGCATTCTAAAGTCATTTGCAACACACTGTAAATGCCAAAACTTTTACAGAGAATCTGGTCCTTTGCGTCTGACAGAACCGGGGATAACGCGCACTCGGAACTTGTAAGGTAGACGACATTGAAATACAACTAGTGCCGCCATGTGATCACGTGACTGTTCCCATGGCCAAATCTCAGAATTCAAAATTCGAAAATCTCAGAATTCAAAATTCGAAAATCACTATTTGCCTCGAAAATCACTTTGACAACATCAAAAAAAAAAATAAAAAAAAATAAGCTTTGTATTTTACCCTACATCCACACTTAAAGTACTAGGAGTATCAAAGGAGTATGGTTATGACTGACTACGCACCAGTAGTGCTTACCTTGATTGTGGCACAGCCTGGTGTTATGTAATCTACCATATATGGTTAAAGTGGTATCACGTGACGTGGCCAAATCTACGGGACAAATATTTTATTTTCCGCCTATAGTGTCAGAAATGTATTTGGAGATGAAATACAACATATAGAAAAAGTGGAAATAGCTCTATTAAATTTCAGTTTTGAGAAAATTTGAGACCATCAAGCTATCTAGAGAGGTCTTAGGAACAGATTGGTGCAAAAAGAATGTTTGGAAAGTGGATGAGGAAAGTGCAATAAGTTGTGCAAAATGGTGTCTCAAAATGTAGTTGGATTTTAATGTCGTCTACCTTAATAGCATAAGGAAAACTGAATAGTCACGTGGTTCAATTTTGTAAGCAACAGGCTTAGTAACATCTGAATCGTGTCCTGAAGACGGTCATGGACATCCCATGTTACAGAGAAGCTAGAGGCTTTCGAATCCATCACGGTCAATCTTCGTCGATTCGTCAAGGACGCGACCTTCTACCGTCACAGCCTCACTGGTTGCGCTATTAAGGTATAAAGTTTTCCTGGCCAGAGCTTGGGCAGGTGGCTAGACATTGTGTAAGATTCAATCCCTTCATCATGTGATATTCACCCGCTTCATCATGATGCACCTCCACTGCGCGATTCAGATTCCAATCCTTTGCACTTCAAATTCCAATCGTTGATTAGCTGTCCTGCAGATGTTCCGCTTGAATTGGTGCGTGCACAATCTCCTTATGTGATTTCCGTTGTGTTGATATGATCTACTCTAACAGTTCGAGGCAGCTGTGTCGCAATTGATTCATCACCCGGAGCACAATTCGACACTGATCTTGCGCTCAGAGACCATCTCAGACTCCGATAACACCATCCCATCGTCTGCTCCATGTCTGGAAGGATACAGCCCAGTGCGCAATGTCCATCGCAAGCTGCTACCGCGTAGGCCAGGTCAATACTCGGGACTAGAGCAGCACCGTATGCTTTACGCCTTTGGAACCGGTGAATTCGCATGTCTTCCATCCATGTTGGTCCTTACACCACTTGTACCCGAAGGAGAGAGTTTACCCTACTACCATCCTACGGTGACACATCTTGCTTTCCGATTCATCCCTTCCAACCTCACCACGACCTCAGATTCAACCTTTGCACAACCGGCACTGCGCATTGAAGTTACTCCGCTCCCAGGCACGCCTACTGACCTCAACAATCGTCTCTACCGCACGGCACTTGCACTCCTTGACACACTCCACTGTTTTCTACGGGGAGCGTATCCATTGCCAAGAAATATTTTGACCTTACCACTGCAGATGGTGCGGTCACATTTCTTCGTGAGATGTACATCGCTGAGATGCGTCGTGAACGACGGAAAGTGGAGAGATTGACTGGGATTGTGAGGACGTTATGTGATGCGATCGGGTCTGGTGCGCTTCCCTTTCCCCTTCTTGTGCACTGCCAAGTACTAACCCACGTACACAGTATCACCGACACTAATCCAAGATCTCAACGCCCTAAACGCACCTGAGCCCCTCCCCCTCACCCGTCCCTCCAAGCCCGATCCCAAGCGAACATAGCCCAAACATCTTCATCACCTCACCCCCATCCCCATCCCTCTCGTACTCACCCTCGCATACACACTCACCCTCGCATTCTCACTCCTCTCACACCCATAGCCAAGGCCACGTCCAAATCCACCACCCACACAGTCACCACCCCTCAGTCCCCATGCTCAACATCCCCCAATACGCATTGCACACATCCACGCCCTCCCCAACATCTTCCGAAAAGTTGTAAGCCCGTTTACCACCTATAATTTCAACATCTAACACATCACAACAGAAAGTCTCAGGACTGAAATCCCAAGGCCTGCAAGAACTCTACGACCAATCTCTCCAGGACATGCATGCGCACTGAGCCCGTCAGGAAGAGCTAGCGGGGCACATCGAAGACCTCGTAACCGAAGTCAAAGGCGAACAGGAAGCTCGAGAGAGTCTTGAGCGCGAGTTCGAGTTCGACGACGTATAGAGGACACACGAGTCTGAGCTCCGACGTGAGCGACGTGCACTTGAAGACAAAGACTCTGCACTGCACAGCGCCCTCGACGATCTCTCACGGACACAGTCCCTCCTCTCCAGGCGACCTCGAAGCTGTGCAAAACTCTCTTCGGGACATGGAGCAGCAGTCGAAAGAACTCCGGGAGACGATTACAACAGCACGGTTCTCGTTGCAACTGGAAGTCGACAGATTGAAATGTGATGTCGATCGCCTAGAAGACGAACTATCTCGTACGAAGAAAGATGTCGGCGACCGAGAGGGCACAACTCGCGATCGTGAAGATCTGATCCATAAACTGCAGCTCGAAGTACAACAGCTCACTACACAGCTCAATACCCAAACTCAAGCGCGTCTCGGTCTATCCGAGAAGCTTGACAGCACACAGACCAGCCTCAAGACTGCTGAGGCGGAATTGTTTGGGTACAGGACAAGAGTGAACGAGCTGGAGACGCGGTTGTCTAAGGACCAGCGGACGTTACTGAGTGCTGAGAATCCATATGGTGATCAGCTCACGGAGCGGAATACGCTGCTGCTTACGATATATCAATACATGGATAATATCCTCGGTGTGGACAAAACTCCCGTGAGTCTCTTTTATTCTCTCTTATGCCTTGGCACTCATATCAAACACTCCATTTTGCAGAAGAAAGGCAAACAAGCAGAAATGAAGCCCTTCACCAACTTCGGCTGTCTTCCACGACAACCTCATCACGCGACTCAAAGCTCTCTCCCAGATCCAACTCGACTTTGACAAACACGTCAAAAAAGTTGAAGGGAAATTCACTGAGAAGGTTGCTGATATGCGGAGACAGCTTGATATGCGGTGGAAACAGATCGACAAGTTTGAGTCGAGCGTGAAGGCATATGAGGAGGCAAAGGCTACGTGGAGACGGAAGTTTACTGCGAAGGATGGAGAGATTGAGGGGTTGAAGGTGGGTTTTTGATCTGCGGTTTTGATTTGCGTTGACTTTGACTCACACTGATCTGTGAAGGCTACCAACGCAGAACTTACCTCTCAATTGGTAACATCCCGACAACTGACTTAAGGCGACTCCCAAGAAACCAAATCCCTCCTTTCCCGCGCAGTAAACGCTGAGAAACGCCTGGTAGTAGTTCAAAACCAGCTACTCCTAAGCGAAAAGAAGTTTTCGAACATAAATCAGAAGACGACCACCGCTGATCAGAAATGGGAGGCGCTGATCAGAAATGGGAGGCGAGGGTGAAGGAGTACGAGGCGAGGTTGAAGGCAGGAGGAGAAGTACAAGAGGGAGAGGCAGGGTGCGAAGGAGAGGGTGTTGGAGCTGGAGAATCAGATGAGGTTTGTTTCCCCCTTTTCTATCGATTTCCTCCTGCCCGTAAATTGAGGTCTTGTGCTGATGATGTTTTACGGTAGGAGTCTAGAACGGCAGAACGAACTCGCTCAAAAACGGAGTGCGCAACTGGATCATGTTGCAGAAGCTAATAAAGTGGTACCTGCACGGTCACGATCACGGTCACGGAGTTCTCCCTGTTGTTTGTCCACGATACCCTCCTTATGCTTGCCGTGTTGCGAAGGTGTGCTCTTGCTTTCGTACGGTTCTTGACGTCACATTTTTGTATTGATCAGTAGCGTACATCTCATGTATTTTTATTTTCTTCTGCTCTGGGACAATGATCATTGACTCCTGATTCGCGTAGTGGACTGCAGAATGAAAATGTGCATGGCTTCAGTGAATGGCTGCTGCCTCTCGGATCGGTGATGCGATGGTGGATATCCTATAACCTGATCACACAGACAGCTATTCCCTGTGGACTCTGATGGGAAGACATAATTAATCGTTCGAGCACGAAGCGCACAGCATTTGTTTAGAATTAGACTCTCCGGTATTCAGTTCGAGCATCAAAGAGCTTGGTTGCGAGACATTGCACACGAATTCATGTTTCAGCTTGCCACGGGTCAGTCATCTGACAATGGCGCTACCCTTGATCTTGCACACAGGAGCCTAACAGATGTCGGTGAGGATGGTGCAGAACCATGGGCAGGAATGGCTCCCTCGATGACGAGAGTCCAGTACCCCAGGTACGTTGCTGCGACACGTTGTTGCCGCAAGTTCATAATAGCAAGTTCCAACTGCTTTAGGATCGCCTTGCTACACTCCCTACTACATTTACCCTACTATCTCGCTTGAGATACTTGAATTTGCAGAACAACAGTTTCACCTCTTTCCCCGATGTGGAGCCCTGACGTTCACGCGTTATACGCTTGCTGAACGTAACACAGTTGATGGTCATGCCGTCCCTAGAGATTCTGGACATAAGTCGAAACAAAATTAAAAGACTACCGAGCCAATCAGGCTCCTTGATCCACCTGAGGGTACGTTCCCTAGCCCCATTCTTCCTGATAGCGTCAAACGTGCTCTCGTCAGGTTTCTGCCTGTCACCGCAACAAAATAACTCGCATCCCAGGGTACTTTGCATACTTTCGTGAACTCGATGTCTTAAAGGTAGACCACAATCCTATAGAGTGGCTGCCGAAGTATGTTATGGAAACACCAGATGGAGGAAAGCGGTAGATAACATTCGTGCAGAAGTGGATGAAGAATAACTCTCGGCCTCCCTTGGACGTGAAACAGCCCAGTGTTGATTCGTTCCTGAACGCGAATGCTGCGTTGAACAACTCTATGTAGGGATTGAGTCTTTGTCATACCTGAATATGAAGAGTGTGTGGATCGCGTGGGCAGTGAATGCTGCCTCCATTTCGGCAGCGTGACGTATGGTCCCAAGTGACGTGCTTCGCACGTTGGGACTCGCTTTGCTCCGATTGTTGCGCTGACAGGCTGAAGGGCATGTTCAAGGTGAAGTTCAGCGGTGAGGCCCATCAGTACATCCGTTTCAAGTGTTCTTGCACGAATGCCTTCCATGGATCGAGCAAAGCAACCACTATGTGAGGAAAGCGGTTCAGATCCAACCCGATCATAAAGCTGCCATCCGTACCTCTGCTTTTAGGCCCTTGGCCTTCAAATCTTGGAGCAGTGGTTTCAAAGACTTGTCGTGCTAGTTAGGGATCACAGGCGACAACACGAGGTTCGGCATTCCTCGTCTTCCTCTTCCTCTTGCAGAGCTCTGGGTATGGGAATTCTTGGTCTCTCGAACTCGGCATATGATATACACACCTTGTGGTAGTCCGCTGAGGACCACCAGGCGCTCGTAAAGTGATCTCGTCTTCTCCCGGTCACCCTGCTCATCGACTTCGAAGTCGATATACTTCCAAAGGATTTCGGGACATCGATAGTGATGCTTGAGACACTCCAAGTTCAAAGATAGCCTCTGCACGGGTGAAGTCCTCGAGAGCCGTCTCGAGTTCAGCATATTCAACCTACGCTGCTGAGTTGGTGGGATCGTACTGTGAAAGATGTTCTATCACTGTCGAGGAACGAAACATACTTTCATGACATACCTCAAGATACTTCTCGTATAATGTCCGCACGGGATGAAATTATCGCAGCTTAATATGATATCAGTATATCGCAAAGACGAGAAATCGAAGATCATAAATCTCGAGTTGAATACAAACCTTGAATAAAGCATCGTTCGGGCACATGCCGATGACCGTCCCCGAGAATTTTGCGCGCTGCCACCAAATCCAGCCGCCTGATCTCAAACCTCGCAGCCATGACACAGTTTTGCGAAAGTAAACTGCTTGTGCGGCACAAGGTTCAGAACTGTGAAATTTACTTGGCATGCAGTGTGCACGGTCATAGTCCTGTAGAATAATGTCAGGGTGAACAAGTGGTCTGTATAGAAATGAAAAGACCTTGGTTTCGATCTCCTCGAACAAAGCATACTCATGAGGCCAAAACCAATGACGCTTCTCTTGTCCAGGAGGTACATATGCAACAGCACGCTCAGTAAGCGTCTCGCATGCGCTCCATGGCAGCATCCTCCTCTTTCTTGGTGCCTTCTTCTTGCAAGGTTCGTAGGGCATGTTGTAATTTCGTCCGTCCTCGTCTTCGTGCTGGATTCTTCGCCTAAGTAGATTCTACAATGGACGACAAACTCAACCGGGAATATCCGGTTCACCATTTAAACCCCGAAATCCATCCGTTGTCCTCTTTTCTCTTCTTCCACCATCTACATACATCTGGCTATGTACAGGTACCCTGGCTGCATAAGCTCTTGACTTACAATTAGAATATTATTACAATCAATGTATGATGACTCAAGCTCAAGTGTTATGCATGGTTCATGTTACAGTTCATGTTATATAGATACATAGGAGCCAGGAACATACCATGGGAAATACGCTGATATTCATTGCATCTTCAGCTAGGCCATATTGCGCTATAGGGTTGCGGCTCATGATCATTCTCAATCTGTACGAGAACATACGTGTCCCAACTTAAACCTAACCTAAACCCTACCCTAAAACTAAAACCTACCCAATTAAAACGTCACCGTCGCTCGGACCAAAATTTCTTTGCATGCCTCCACAAGTTCCTATTATCGAGGGTTGCTCCCTTGCCGACTTCAATGATATCTTTTTTCGGATCATTGAACAAGATGACATTCCGCCAGAGGAGTACTACAGGGCCTGCAATTTGGCCCTCACTGGAAAGGATCGCAATGTGCAGTATTCGATGGAACCCACTCGTAACAGGTTTGTTGCACCCAGAGTCGTCAGTGTTGTTCGGGATTACGACAGTATCATCTCCTTCACGAACTGGCTCCCAGTCACATCTGATCTCTTTCTGTATCCCGTCACCAACCCTGATGATACCCTGAAGTCATCTCTGCATTTGAAGGTGCCCATGAAAACTTCCAGTCGTGATGTACGTGCCACGTTTGTTATTTGTGACATTACGCTCATCCGGCTCCCTGGGGGGACCTCACCAGCCACCTACACCTTTGTCGCCTCATCGAGTCCCAAACATATGCTTGGCTTCAGTAGGCGTCCGCACCAAAGTGTGAGCTTTCTTTCCTCATCTGTACGATCCAGAGAGCCAAGATGTCGAGCTCACCCAAGAGCAGAAGAAGGGGATCTATGAGAAGGGAGTACGACCCGTCATTGAAGAGCTCAATTATGAGACTTCTACAAATTGGTCTACAGACTATGAGGGCGCTCTCACCCGTGCCACAAAGAGAAACAACAGGTATCAGTACGGTACCCGTCCCTTCCCTGCCAACATGGTCTTGCGGTTTGGATATGATCTCCGCCTCGCTTTGATTGATGCGTTCCCGTGGGCACAGGACATGTTATTTATGGTCCAAGTTCAGGGCGTCAAAGAGGCTAACCAGCACAACCCTGGTAATGAACAAGTTGCAACAACGGCTTTGAGGCGTGCAATGCATGATCTCGACTACCTTGGACTTCTGGATGAAACGCATTGCTATATTGATGTGGGCCTAGAGCTATCTGAGCCAAACCACGCATATCAATGGCGAACAGATGCTCACGGAAAGATTATCCTAGCATACACTACTTCCTACGATGCCAGAACAGCAGCTACTGCCACAAGGTCTCGCAGTTACCAGAAAGATTGTGCCTCTGGCTTAATGCACGTTGCCGGATTTCGTGTTACATTGGCCGCAAGGAATCCAGATGAACCTGTCTACATGCAGGTTTATACCACAGACAAAGCGCTCGTCCACCAGCTCGATGGTGGACGACATGGCTTGGCCCTCACTGGACAAGCTGCCTTGAGCCATACCACTCCACCGCACATGAACAATATGTACCGACTCTTCAGACATGCTGCACAGCACCACGACTGCGCTGCTAGACTCGAGGTGCGATTGCCCATCAGCGCAGCAGCGCAGCAGTGTGGAGTGCCCTTTCAGTTGCAGTGGAGTTGATGTCCCAGTCACTGTGTGTATTCCCTAGGGTAGATTGGTGGTGAGCGTCTTATCTATTCCGCTCTTATAACATTCTATTGACTCAAATACTGTTTTTGTTCATTCTGCGCACTAAACCAACCAACCAATCAGGGAATGGCGAGTTGTCCGTGCTCTAGGGATGATTCACACCATAGCATTGCAAAACCAGGGGTCTCCTGACCTTCGCTTCACAGCAAATAGCCTATCACTCACAGCTGGACTTATATGGCTGTTCAATGGTCTCTCCTCCCGCCCAGATGACGGATCTGCAGCCCGTGATCTCATGTGCACTATTCTTCCCCTGACAGCTGATTATGATCAGGATGGCTTGCAAATGGTTCCTAGACAAGCTGACCGCGACAACGGAGATCAGCTCCCTGTTTGTGCATATGGTGCCTTCTTTCTGAGAGATTTGATCTGGCCTCCAACTGCCGATGTTCCACGGATGCAATACGGTCATGTCATGCACGCTAGCTCCTACAAATACTTTTTCGGCCTCGACTTCCATGCCCTTCGCAACAAATATAATCCCACTGCTTATATCCCTCGTGCAATGATTCCTGCATCTCACGTCAAAACCCAAAAAGGCATGTCCAAACGCCATAAGCCTGAGGCCGATGCACCTGGCGCAGCGGCCATCTTCCAAGACTTGGATTTTCCAGTCCCCCCGCTCCCGCGAGACGTGGGAGAGGATTTACCATTTGATGAACGACTGGACTTTCCCCCTACTCTCAACGAGGCCTTCCCGGTCACCGTCACAAAGCACTGGAATCAATTTTGCAGTGACGTCCTCCAAAAATGCGGTAACATGAGGGCCCAGCCGCTCCACCCTTCCCATTGCAGACTCACCATGAATGAACGTTGCAAAGCCACAGATGATGTTTACAAGGAAACAAACCTGGCTGTGATCTTTTACCGCGTCCAGTGGAAGAGAGCAAGTATGATAGAATGGCGGGAAGCTTTCGATAAGTTCTTCCCCCCTCCTGGAACGCCCCCTCCTCTCCAACCACAGAATTATACAACCATGCAATCCTGGCTTGACTGGGCAGATATGAAGAGGGACAAGCCACGAGACGTGGTCGACGCCGTTCGGACAAGATACTTGACTCTCTTCAATCAATTGGCCTGGATCCCCAAACCACACAACGACCGCCTCTGGAAGTACACTCTGGACGATGGCTTCACCATGTTACCTGCCACTCACCGTTCAAGTGCACCGCAAGTCATTTTCAAACCTGGTGCACGCATTCCAAGTTGGGATCCTGTAAACATCCCCGGGGAAATTCATTTAGAGGAGGAGGAGGAGGAGGAGGAGGATCCACAGCATCCTGATTATGTGCCCGCTGCACAATGGGTGAGTAATGTGCGACCTGTCCCCCTCCGTATCTTGCAGATGAGGGAAGAGGAAGAGGAGTCTGAGTCTGACGCTGAGTGAGACTGCGGTTGCGCTGTACATATTATGCAAATCATTCTATTATGTGTACTACAGTCTTACGATACCACAGCTGCACAATCAGTGAGTACAACTTATGTGCGTTCAGACTGTGGCCTCGGTAAATAATTGCTTTGCCTAACACATCGTCTCTAACTTCGGAATCAATCAGTAGTACCAGTCGTTTTTGGACAAATTTTTGTACTGCTCGTCCAATGTAGATGAATCTATCTGAAAATGATCGACTCAGTCTAGTCTTGCTCGTGGCCCACCAAGCTCGAGGTTGGATAGCAGATCCGGCATTGAGCGAAATTGTTTGGCTCTATTTGGTGTGATGTTTGCTGGTACGTAAGTGTCCTTCTCGATCACTACTACTGCACAACCGATAAAGCCAAATTAGGAAAATTCACGGTAAGTAATACATATGCTCAGATCTCTCTCTGATCGCATTGACTTAACAGTCCACTTAACTGTTAGACATGTCTCGCGTGATATACGGACCTCAGATCGGTAATCCTCGCGTAAGTCTTTTCTCAGTGATCTAGCCCAAACTCACATTTAATAGACGCAGCTGGAGATGTTAGCGGCACATACGGTACGTATTTAGTGCCGTATCGCCGCCGCAGAGCCTGATTTCAGCATCCGAGGCGGCCACCGCTCCGCCAGCACCAGGTCGGATCAAAACATTCATGCGCTTCTGCGCTGACGGTTTTCGCTCGCATGGTGCAACGCTTGAGATCGGTGATACGGAGGGTGAGTACTGAGTTCTCTGCAATCAATCACACAACTAATACAATGTTCTAGAGATGAATTTACTACTACAGGATGCAATACCAAACACCATGCATACCAGTATTACCATCATGATAACACCATAGTACTACCTACTGGAAGTAGTACTCGCCATACTAACTCTCCCCATTAATCATTCATGCACATGTATCACTGTATTGGTACCATTTTTCAAATCAAGTCGCAACAACAACAATTCATGTACCACGTAATTAGAACAAGTATAAAAATACTACTACTACTACTACATAATAGATCAATATGCAATGTTGAGGATTTTTACAATATTCTATTTTCGTGTACGAGCTGTCTGGTAATCCTTACAAGTCGGAGAGCCGAATTAAAATGCAGTTTTCGAGGTCTTTTGTGATATCCGTAAGGCTCGGGCGTGGGTTCATGTTCGGACTTTGTGGAAGAGTTGTTGTGGGAACCGAGTAAAGTCCGAGTGATAACAGGGTACCGGATACTCCTTTGCTGGGAGTTGAAGTAATGCACGCGCGTACCATGTTCTTATCAACATTTGGGCGCCGAAGGACTTCAGAAGGGTAACAGGGCACCTACGACTCTTCCTCAGGTCATTAAGGAACCGAGCTAGCTAGCTCAGAGTCAGGGTTCTCGACTGTCACATTTCTGGAAAACAAGTGTTTCGTGAAGCGGATGCCGTGATACCGCAGCAGATCAGCTCCCGCATTGTATGGGTCGGTAAAGGGCGCAATCTCACTGCCATTGCGAGACATCATGTTGCGCCCATGAGTTGTGATCCGGAGCGACAAAATAATAAAAAGGGGTCTACGTTGCCCACCTATGCTAAGTCAACAAACCAAACCAATCAAAAAAACGAACATCACTCACATCTGTGAGTTCTGACCACCTATGTGTATGCACCGTAATTCTCATCTGTAGGATTACAAGTATGAGTAAGAAAATGCAAAGCGCCATCATCTCTGCCCTCCTGGCAGGGAAGGCATGGATATTTGATGACGACGAGACTCTGAAGGAGATATACGGGCTAGGCCTGGATATGTTCAAGGAGCCACACCAGCACCTGTCAGACAAGCAGCGGGTGTCATTGAACGCCATGCTTGATGTTGCAGAGGCATTGGCCGGCAAAGACCGTTACGATATTCTTGAAGGCAAAGAACAGTCTGGATGGGGTGCAGGGCGAGATGCCCTAAACCACTGGTTCAAGGAACAAAAGATTTCTGCAGCTTTCATAGAACGGATTGACCAAGCCTTGGAAGTGTCGCAGGTACTACCTATCCAACTCATTCAGAGAGAGAAATCTGAGGAGTTCCCAGAGGTAAAGGATGCTGATAGCGGTAAAGAGGATGTCGTCCTTGCAATCCTGGGGACTGAAGCATTGTCGAGGCCATTGACTGGAGAATTTCGTGATGCGTGCAACACCATCCTCCATCACGCCTGGGAGCGCCATCGCAAGCAATACCGGCAGGCAAAGAAGGCATTGGAAAAGAAACGCATTAAATCAATGTCATTGGTGAAAAGTGAGTAACGTACATGCGGTATGCAGAGCAGCACTAACCTTTGGCGTGCAGAAATCGAGGACACAAAATATGTCACACAAAAGATGTTGTGCGATGCCACCAAGGCTGTGAAGGCATACAGGGATGCCGTTTCATGGTTTCCTGCTGAAGAGGAGAAAGCGAATGGCTTGGCTGAGCACGAGGAATTTTTAAAGCAAGTCGTGGTCACGGCTGTGGCACAGGCAAAGAAACGGCCAAAGGAAAAGATTACAGCAGAGAGTTTCAGCTCACCAGCGAGTACGTAGTACAACAGTCCCCCATGGGAGCCATGTATGTAATACTGACCTATTTCACATTGTACTGCAGGACGACGCAGAGCTTTGTGCGCTTGCAGGGTGAAGCCAGTGGTGCTGGCGGCCGCTGGCGATATCGACGAGATTTGGGCATTGTACGTGCAACTATTTGAGGTCGTCCCAGGAGAGGCATTCGTGCCACAAATGGACCTTGACGATCGGAACCCCAGCGGTCAGGACGATTGGCAACGAAGTGATGACCTGGGTGTGGAGGGGTTCAGCAATATGGACGATGCCCAGCTCAACCATCTCCTACAATTCCCTGGTGGGCGCCCAGCTCTCTTCGCAGAATTTCGTTCACAGGGCGGAAAATGTGCGTGGGACAAGGCAGTTTCGTCGGACTTCATCGAGGGCAATACGGACATGCAACCACTGTCGCTGCTGTGGCACCAACGCGTGGGAGTCGCTGCACTAGCGGACAAGATGTGGCTGAAGAAGGAGAATTCGGGTGGTGTTCCTGGAATACTAGTAGCAGACGATGTGGGTGTTGGGAAGATGGCGCTGATGATGGGCGCGATTGTGATGATTATCGATGCATACTGGATTCAGGAGGTGGTCGCAGGTCGAGGGAAACCCACAGGCGTCACGGTAGATCTGAATAAGACGAATGTGCGCAAGGCACCTATGCTAGGTGAGTTGGTATCCCTCAGCAGTCCCTCAGAAGGACACAACAGCCACACGTGGGCCCGTTCCGCAAGGGAGTTGTTTTGTTGGACCTGTTTCTTGCACACGTTATTCTGAACAACGAACTGACATCAGACCTGACTCACTAGAAGAGCGCCCATTTTTCGCAGGCCAAGCCACCATCCCCAGCCTCCCTCACGTCATTGTGGTGCCCAACTCGTTAGTGGGTCAATGGTATGCTGAGCTAAGGACCTTCTTTGCCCCGAAGGCAGTGGAAATTTATGAGTATCCGACTGCAGAAAAGCAGTTCCGTGCATTTTGGACAGGCGACTGGGCAACTTCGAAGACACCGCTGGTGAATCGCGTCATCCTGGTGTCTCATTCAGTAAGTGCTTTGTTGGTGGCTGTGTCCGCAGAAGCTTATGTCGTCAGGTGATGACAACATCAGGGAAGGCCTTCGATGTCAGGAAAGGTAAGGCCGGCAAGAACACCGGAAAAGCCGCAGATGCGCAGCGTCACATCAAAAGTCAGGTGCTGACGAAGACCTGCATTTGGTTTGAGCAGAAGTTCCTCACATGTGTAGTCGATGAAGCTCACGTATTCCGCAACCCAACTGCAAATTTTTATGCGCTCCTGGAGCTCACGAAAGCGGTGTTGGTGTCCCTGCTACCTACAGCCACACCACTATATACAAGTCCCAAGGTATATTTGTTTTTCCCCGTTGACTTCGACACCCTCATGCACCTGTAGGACTTGTGCAATTTGGGTCGACTGGCACGTATACCATACTTTTGTGGGCACCAAGGAGACGATTGTGAGAAGGAGCATTGGAAGTCGCTGCGGGCGGCACGCAGTGCAATCAGTCGCCAAGACAAAGAAGAAGCAGCAACACACACCGTCAAAATATTAGCTGGCGGGGCAACAACAGCAACAACAGAGTATGAAGAATCAGCATCCACTGCGCGTGCGCGCGACGTCACAAGGGAGTGGATCAGCGACATCAAGCAAGGGTACAGCGGACATGTGATCCGACGCACAGTTGAATCTAAGACTCACGACGGGAAGAAGATCAACGATATGTTGCCCCCGTACCGTATGATAATTGTCCCTGTGCACATGAAGGGCGATGAGATGGAAAACATCAATGATGGCTTGGATCGCATTTCCAACAAGTAAGTGAACGGCGCCGTCCTCATGTAAACGCTACGATTGCTGACAACAACACAGGATGATGGAAGGTGACAGTGAAAGCTTTAACACGGTGAGCAGCGGTCTCCCCGGGTGAGTCGCACTGGCTCACCTATACGCGCAGAAATTTTACCTCGTAGCGCGCACCAAGGTGGCATTCCCTCGTCATACATCCCCAACATATCCTACCGTGAAGACGCTGGAAGAGTGGTCCAATGTTAGATCAACTAAAGTCGACGTTCTGGTTACTCTCCTCACTTGGCATCTGGAGTCTGACGGGCACCCCGTTCACGAGTTTAACGTGGACAGCAATTTCGGCAAGGATGAAGGTCAGGAGGTCTACCCCAATGCTCGGAATCAGGAGTTCCCGCACCTGATGTCCATGGGGAAGCGCAAGATTCTTGTTTATACGGAGTTTCCTATGATGGTACCTCTCCTCTCCTCTGTGAGTGCATTCCTGTGCCCTGCGCTGCAAGTTATGCTGATAATTCACACAACTTAGGGGCTCAAACTGCATAACATTGTTCCGCTGACACTCAATGGGAGTCATGGCGTGGATGAACGAAATGAAATCGTCAAGAAATTCAACGCGGATCCATCAGCGCGCGTCCTCCTGTTCTCCAGCGTTGGTGCCGTGGGACTTAACCTTACAGTTGCCAGTGTGGTCATTCTCTTTGTACGTTGCCCTCCCATGTTGCTGGGGGAATATCATCTCACACGCTCTTAGGATCAGTGTTGGTCCCGTATGTTAGTGAACCAAATAATTGGACGTGCGTGGCGGCTAGGGCAGCAGGAGGTTGTCTTGGTCTACAACATGGTGGCGCTAGGTACCGTCGACGTGCTTATGGTTGAGCACGGTGAAGGGAAAGGTACAATGTTAGAGCAGTTTTTGTCTGTCAATCCAGGTACACATAGCTACTTTTGTGTAATCATCTCAACTCACCACACCAACAAACATAACACATTCCAACCCTACCAACCCCACCAACCAACCAAACCAACCACCCCACCAAATCCTACCAACCAACCAGGGATTGCAAATCGCTTACAGCTGGCGGCCGCAGGTGGACGGCACGTCCAAGACTGTGACAATGACGGCGAGGAAGATAGCACTAGTGATGATGACACTGAGGCGCAGGAGACAAGCCCCAACGCACCATCCCAGCCAGTCGCTGAATCCCCGCGGGACACTGTCTCTCGCAAGTTGTACACACGGCCTGCCAAAGTGATGAAGACAGGCAGCAAATGCAGTGAAGATGGTGAGGTCTTGGACTTGACCCTTCCTGATGACAGCGAGCAACCTGAACCTGAACCTGAACCCAATGGCGGCCTCCCTCCACTACCTGCAGGAGGAAGTTCACCACCTGCCGGTCCCCTGGGGGAGCTGCCTGCCGCTGGAAACAAAGGTGATCCTAAACATGTCACCGGAACTGGCAGCGGTTCCCATGGGCAACCGCCTTTAATGCAGGATAAACAAGGCAATGCGCGCGCTGATGCACCATCCTCCAGCAGTCCCAATAAGGAGCCGTTAAGCCAGCATATATGTACGACACGCGCAGGGGTGGAGTTAAAGCCCGAGACGCGCCTGCAGCCCCTTGTGGGGGCCACAATGGACAATGACTCTAATTGTAAGTCTGGTCCCACCACGGAGATCATGGTAATCAACAGCTGACATCTCTTATCGCCAGTTGCTGAGGTTCACAATGATGCGTCTCTCTGCGACGACGCTAATATGTTTGACCCATTGACAATGGAGAACGACATCCCAATGTCGCCCCAGGTGAGTCAATGTGTACACCCAACCAACCAACCAGCCTTCACACGTACCATGACTTACACAGACATGTGTCCACCAGGAGCACGAGCTGATGGGTGGCCTACTTGACGAGCCGACACAGATGATGTCAAGAGCATCGCTGGCGACTTCTCAGCCTATCCAAGATCACACCAGCAATCTATCACATAGTCGAAGCTGGAAAACCATCGCTAAACGGCGGCGCAGCAGCACCGCATCATCAGGCTCGTCCTCCACTAACCCTTGTCCTCTAAAGAGTCCACCGCATATTTCGCCTCCACAGAAAAAGGTTGTTGTGCTTGCCTCGCGGGCGAGTTCAAACATTGTCACGCCTAGCACATCTCGGCCCTTGCGATCCTACAGTGCCGCCCCTATCCCTACGAACGCTCCTGTCCCTCGTGGTGCAAGGATAGGTCCTGGCTTTTTCCGTGGTAAAGGAACAGGCAATTATACCCGCGGCACTCCTCGCTGATGCATCAGGAAAACCCTCCCGAGTGAAAAACATTTAATTTGCATAATTTTATCTAATAGTCTGGCATTCGAGTATTAGGAAGAAAGAGACTGAAGAGATAATGATGTATGAAATAATTATCGCAAAATGTCAGAATTATCTTGCAAAGTGTCAGAAATTGAGAACACGTGGTAAGTGGAATTTTTGTGAAGCCTGCAACACCACTTACTCTAGCAATGCATGAAAGTGCAGGTTCTCACTATTTTGGACCTCGTCAAGCTTCTTTGACTTATGCATTTCCACCAATTTACTGTAAATATAACAGTTTCCTACTGGAGTTCATTTGCTTGTGTCTGCTCCTTCTGTTCGTCATGTTATCGATCATTTTCCTAAGCTGATGTGCAACAACTTTGAGGAGTTGTGCCGTCTTCATTCTGTCCACATTGCCGCTTCTGACTCTCACGATTATCTTCGTGATTCATTGCGCGTTCATTTCTGTACCTCTGAATGTGGTGATCAACTTTTTGTATTTAAGCATTTGTTCAGAGCTCGTCAATGTTTCGCTCCAGAAAGTCTCCCAGAGCCGTCTCTCCTACAGAGTGACTCACGATTGCAGTGGGTTTCATCCCAAGACTCGCAAGAGAGTCGAAAGTTGCGATCTGCAGCATCGTTAGAGCAGGAAGAGTCACTGAAATGGGCCAGATATTACCAAGTGTGTATATGTCAATTCAAATTTGGTGTTCTCCTAGATCCAGGAACCACTCATCAGAAGACTCGACTCGCGACAGAACTCAGCGGCCTCGATTATCGAGATCAGATCCGATCCAGATTCAGAAACATTGGGAGACTGATGGCCTCGAGGGCATTATGTATGATGAGTGGGCGTTATGTATGATGAGCGGCCTTGAGGGCATTATGTATAATGACGAGGGATAAGCATCAACCATACATAAAGGCTCGTGTCTAACCAGCTATTATTATGCATAAGTCTGCCACGAACAGGTGATATATATGCATTATTATGACATGCTAAACAATGCGTGAACGCGACGTGTAAGTCACGTGATACACTCATGTGACACGTATCGCGTTTGCTTCTTATAATAGATCTTACTTCTTCTACGTTCAACGTTCAACTGTTATATTGCTCATATTAACCCTATCTATCTGTATCGCTTCAACTCACGATGAATGTACTAGTGTATCCCAGCACACATCCAGCAACTCCTTCCCTCCTGCAAACCCTTACTTCAATACAGTCACTAGCACCCTCTCAACTCTCCGTGCAAGAATACCTATGGCACACCTCTTGCGTCCTTCATCCTCCTCTCCCCGCCCACAGATCATCCACCTGTTCGAAAATACCTCGAGTCCGGAGGTAGGACATTAGCATTCGGCGTCTCCGTCAGAAAAGGCTTTCTATTCGGACTCCATGACTTGGTCTGCTTTTCTCCGCGCAGAGAGCTGATCCTGATCTTCAGCCTCACATTCTTCCACAGCTTCTTCTGGCTTGTCCGCATTTGTGGGACGTGCAGCATAGCGTCGTGGAGGCACTTCTCGATCATTTAAGACCTGGGTCAGCTCACAGTGACAACGAATCTCAGCCGAACCAGACGCAAGCAATTGGACTATGCTGTGTAAGTGATAATGTTGAGCTCTTTATCATTTTGTATATCTGAACTGGTGACAGTCTGGCTCCGCCCATCCAAACAGATTCCTACCCATCACTTCACCACTAACGTCTTCGACAGATCTTTAAATATACCTTGCTTTATATCCTCGTGGTGTTGGAGAGGAGTGAGGGTGATGTTTTGAGTAGACTGACCGCGGATTCGAGTCTTGTCGGAGAGAGGTAAGGTCTTGCAGTGCTGCGTCCAAGAAAGTTCCATTGAAATGTTGACATACGCAGTATCACACAGAATCTCTCAGTCTGTTGGCCGTAAGTGCTATAAACACAGACGCGCTGGGGCATATGCTCTTCAGGATTCTGCCACGAGGGGGCATTGAGGTCGACGCTTCGCGCTATGGGACGGTGAGGTTCGAGAACATCGGATTTGGGTATCCCAGTCAGAAGGGCGTGCAAATCCTCGATAATTTCAATCTCGAGGTTGGCGTCGGAGAGAGCGTGGCAATTGTGTAAGTCGTGCGGACTGGTAGTTGTTGGTGCTGCTGACCTGGAGTATGCAGGGGGAAGAGTGGTGGTGGCAAGTCGTCCATACAATCGTTGCTTCTGCGGTACTACGGTCCTGTTCGTGCTGAAAATGACATTTGATGGCCAGGGTGGGTAGTACCTATCTCACTTCTTATGATGCATTAACGTGACAGGATATATATCCGTGAATTCAACCCTTCATCATGGCGCAGCATAATCAGTATCATTCCCCAGGCAAGTGCTCCACATTCCTTCACTGAGTCGTCCTTATCTGACAATGAGAAGGAACCTTTTGTGCAGATGGTGAAAGAGGCTAAAGCACTGCACGCAAAGATGTATTTAAACTACAAAATTGACCCACCTTTCGCTGGTGTCTACCGTGTCGGGAAGCAAGACGAAACCATAGAGTCCTTGAACGTCAAGCAAGGTCAATGTTTGCTCCTACACATCGCTACTGCAAACATGAACGTGAGTCTGTACGTTTCACCGACTCACTAGTCCTGTTGTGGAGAGCTGAACATGTTCCACGTTCCCACCAGACAAAGACCCATGGCCAGCATACACAGTCTGTAACAGGCGCAATACCGGGCGATGATTTCAACAGCGGAAACGAAGCCCTAAACCCACGCGCATTACAACAGGACGGCCAAACCTTCGGTTTATGCTACCCTCCATCTGCTGTTGAAACTGCAATCTCTCGCGGGAAGGACGACAAAGGCAAGAGCGCAATCGAGATGGATCAGACATACAGTTGCGGGACCCACCAATAGTCGAGGTCCCATGCACAGCAGGCAAGCCTGTGTGTTTCCCCCCTTTTTCTGTTCTTCTTTATCACTGACCACTTCTCGTGTAGAGAAACTATCACGCTCGGAGAAAGAAGCCAACCACCAGCTCTTCGCAAATTGCCCATGCCCATCCCACCCAGCAACCACTTCCCAATGCTAATGTCACTGCCTCTACACCTCCCGCCGTCGCTGGTGCCACGTGGACAGCGGGAACGATCACGCGTCCTCAACGCACCCTAGTTCCTGTCCGATCATGGTGTTCACCCAACTACAGTTTACAGCGCTTCAGAAGTCCTTCAATAATACCCCTGCTATGTAAAATTCATTTGTACTCTGATATTTTTATAGGGCGTTT